GGTGAAAAAAGCTATTGGTGTTCTGTTTTGAACAATCACTTGATTTGAACGATTCGATAATTCGGCAGAGGTGGGTGAATAACGGTATTCTGGAATGGTTTTATGGATGGCATATTGATTAGGTATAGAGATTCCTCCTTCCCTTCCCTATTCCAAAACGTGTATATATGGTTTGACTTGTGAATGGAGTCTATTGGACTATTTGTTCTCGACCGTGGATTTGGATAAGGGCTTTGTAGATATAAATATATGCGTATTAGATACAGGTAAACTCCCTCTATTATTTCTTTTCATCATATTTGTTTTTTTCTACTTGTATTTTTATTTCTATTAATGGTTGGTTATCTTCACCGATAATTTCCCTCTCCTTTATATCGATCGATATAATCGCCATCGCTTTTATATAATATAATTTTATAGGAAATACAATACTGTATATTCCAATGCGAACAAACATAAAAGATAAAAAGCCATGCAATTTATTAATGCATTTAGTACGATTTTACAACACTGAATGTGACATACTGTAACATATAGAAGTAGCCACAACCCCTTATCCCAATATATATATCTCAAATGTCTATATCATAATAAACACCAGTTGTTCTTTCGTACTATTACAGTTGGTAGAGAAGTTTTTCAAAAAAAAATGTCTTATTACGATAATTCATCACAGCCACCTCATAATCCAGAACAAAACAATCCGTGGGCCTTAGAGCATCATGTACCTGCTGGTCCTCAACAACAACAGCAGTCGCCATTAAGTGGATTAGGTGACAGCATCCATCAGATGCCACAACAACAAATAGTCGGCAATGAGCAACTCCCACTACTACAACAACAACTGACCATACAACAAACCTTTTATCAACAACTCGCGCAAATGCGTGCAGAACGACAAGAAGCTCTGCATCGACAACAGTAAGAAATGATAGCATGGCAACAGCAACCCGAAAGAGAAATGCAACAAAACCTTGAAGAACCCAGTCGTCAACATCAAGCAGAAGTCGATCAGTTAAGTCGTAATATGGATCAGCTGTATGATGAAATGAACCCAGTTGTGGAATGACAATCCCTAGAATTTTATGACTTGTCTTCGTCACATAGAAGTGGTGAACCTCAAGAACATCAACATCGTCATCATGAGGAATTAGTACAACAATCAAACCACATTCAGGGGCAAAATCGCGATTATGGCGTAACAACTAAAGTAGGCGCATCAATTACACCAAGAGCGAATCAACCGCCCCTTGTTTCGGCGTTACAAAGTGTAACCCAAGCCATGTTACAACAACAACAACCAGCTCCAAGCTCAACACCACAACAACAGCCGAGAGTACTAGTATCGATTATTTCGGAGGGATCAAGCATGTCTGATTGGGCGACCGGAAGCGAACATTCCGATTCAGACAGTCAGAACAACAATAATAATAATCGCATACGACAAGCCCAACAAAATGACGCCACAACAGTAAATACCAAAAAGTACAGACGTTTGACTTTGCGACCTTATGCAGGTAAAGCTGACGAAAATCCATATATATGGTTATCAATTTTCGACAAAGCCATTAGTTACTATGGTTACGATAAATAAGAAAGCTGTCTTGAATTCATAATGCCAATAGAACACGATGGGTACTGTAAATTTTTACGTACTTCACCTTCCTTTTTTGGATTTTTACGTACTTAGCCTCCAAGTTTTTATGTACTTAGCCACTCAAGTACGTAAATCGCTTCTGACGCTGTATATTTGTACTATAAGATTTTATGTACTTCCTATTTGGGAATTTTACGTACTTCTTGTCTTTTTTGTGCCTCGTTTGAGTAGATCATACAAATAGCTACCATTGATGTAGCCTATCATACTTTGACTCTGTATAACCGTCGCAGCTACGATGGCTACTGTAAATTTTTTACGTACTTCACCTTACTTTTTATGCAAAAATTTATGTACTTGGCCACCGAAGTACATAAATGTCATAAACATTCTTCGACCTCTAGTAAGTGATCATCCTCAACCTCGTTGATGACATATTAAATCCCCATCTATCATCATCATCCGAATTATCGACCTTAATACCAATCTTTCCGTTTATTCACATCATTGAATTCTATAGTAAAGACATATATATATATATATATATATATATATATCATAGTCTTTGAACGATAAAACATCAGTCAGTTATCTTGTTTCCTCCCTATACCTTGTTCTTGTTTCTTTCCTCCTTATCTGGTTTCCTGCCTTCTGGCTTCCTTCTTGTCTTGTCCTGTTCTTGCCGAAAGCACCTAGCACATTCTCGTCCGGTGTTTCTGGCCTTGTGTTGTCTTGTCCCTGTTCGCACCTTACAGTAAATCAGTTCTCGCGCTGTATATTTAACCTATAAAATTTTACGTACTTCTCATTTTGGAGTTACATACTTCCGATTTTACGTACCTGCTGTATATGATTTTTAAGTACCTTGAGCGCTAAAAGGACCATACATGTTGTTGTTATTACTTTGAAGATTTTGTATATATAATCAAATTTCACGGAAGGGCAAGAAAGCCCACACTATGTTTTAAAGGTACGTAAAGGTTGATGTACGTAAAGATTGGTGTTAGTATGATTGTATGACTAGTGAGTGTAAGTAGTCAAGGAACGCGCTCAGAAAAAAGAGACCGGTTTTCCTGCCAGAGCGACTGCTTTACCTGCAATCGCCGAAAATGGAAGTACGTAAAAATTCGCGCTCCCGAACACGATGCAGTCGTTTGGTATGATTCGTTAGACGAAGCAGTAACAAAGGATATTGATCAACTCAAAATTTATTTTATCGTTCATTTTGGGGGCGCTCAACATGCATCTGTCGTGGCACTCTCGAAATTACCAGAAATGAAACAACAAAACGGAAGTATGGTTACTTTTAGCGCAAGATAGAAACTTTCATCGAACAAGATCGACAACAAAATGAAAGAAGAACTGAAATTATACTTTTTTCATTATCACTCCCATCCTGACGTCGTTCGTGAAGTTTCCCGAAAGAAACCCAGTACTCTCGACGAAGCAATCCAATATACCATTTACCTAGAACAAACCGATAAAACAGCCACAGCACATATTAATCCTGTTTCATCACGGTATCCCAAAACTTCCTTTTTCAACTCCACCAGCCATGCATCCACCATCAACAACAGCACCAACAACAACAGATACAGCAACCCCTATGGACTTCGATAGTAATTTTCAGCGTAAACAACAAAATGGGAAGAAATCTAGACGACGAGGCAACTATGACAACGGCAGTAACAAAAACAATAATAATAATGGCAGCAGGAAAAGTTCAATGGGAACTGTCATGGCTGTGGTAAATTTGGCCACAAGCAAACAGATTAAAGACAACAAAAATAAAAGAAACAACAATGAACAACAAGTAACTCACCAAGCATCAGTATCAGTAGTGAGAGGATCTAGTAAAGAAGGCATCGACAACAACAGCACAGGTTTTAGCATAGACACAACAGATGATCACGATACATTCGAATCACGAATATTCCAACATTTATCTCAAAACAGTCAACAACCTGAAGCAATTCCAACTAAACAATCTTTACAAATTGACAATAAAAATCAAAATTCTTTGCGTTTTACAGTAAATGCCAAACTTGATGATGTGATTGTATCAGAATTAATTGACACAGGTTCAGAAGTATCGACAACCGACGAGGCAACAGTTCAACAATCGCAACTATCAGCTGCACCTGCATCAAATATGTTTATTCAGTACGGCAATAAATCTAAAGCCTTGTCAACCAAACAACTTTTTGTCACCTTGTGGAATAGGTAGGATTTAAATAGAGAAAGCAGTAAAAGAATAAGTATTGAAAAGAACGATAAAAAGAGAACAAGTATAAGTCTTGTGAGAATCGATTTAGGTGTTTTATTTGATGAAAGAAAAATATAATCTGTTCTTTATAATGATTTCTAAAGTAGTTGTTTATATATGTTTTTTTATCACAATATTCCGAATGAAATGGTAGTTGTTTGTTATTATAGATACAATCGTGGATTGTTCTCATAATTGATATTGGTATTATTATTGGATTGTATATGTGTTTGTTTGTACGGGACTTTTGGGGAGAGTACCCTTTATTATTATTATTATTATTATTGATTCATATTAATTGAACTATATTTGTTATTTCTTTATGGATGATTATTGTTTGTAGTAGATCCAGGAACTTAGCAACCGATTATTATTTATTTATTTATTTATTATTGTTTGCTATGAGATATGATGATATTATTATGAGAGCGATGTATGGGAATTGATTTTATGAAATGTGGAATACCACACACCTTTGAAATGAATGATCAACAATATCCAACCAAATTGCGCGTAGTCCCACAACAAAACATCAAATTAATCCTTGGTATGGATTGGCTTGTGGGATTAGGTACTTTCTTGGATCCTGACACCAGAACCTTGATCCAGAAAAAAGATATCAGAGTGGCGAACAGCAACCGTGCAACAGCAACAACAGAAATGACGACGACGGATTTATTAATAACAATACTGGTACCAATTCAACAATTATACTACAACATCCCGATTTGTACAACCAATCACTAAAACAAACAAGTGTACCAATCATGCATTATATCAACACAGGCAATGCCGCACCTGTTTTTACGCCTGCTCCACCGACGATCACTAGCTGAAAAAGCTGCTATTGCTGCAGAAGTCAAAAAAATGAAAGAAAAAGGAGTTATCGTCGAATGTTCAAGTCCATGGTGTTCAACACCCGTTCTGATTCCCAAAGCTGATAATTCGCTACGTTTTTGTGTCTCATAAAAAATTAAATTCGAAAACGGAAAAAGACAAATTTCTACTAGCAAGAATTGAGGAATTGATTCGTTGTCTAACCGAATTCCGAATGAGATGGTCTGTGCGCACGTTAATAGTTAGTAAAAGCGCACTATGTAAATTTCTAAGGCCAAGTAATCGGATTTCAATTATATGGTGGAATTCCTCATATTTGAGAGAGATATTTGTTTACAACAAACAAAAAGATTATACAACGCTAACAAATCATTTCTTGACTTTGACTATATACGAGTAGTAATAACTCAATAATGATGATTTTAGATTATTATTTTATCTTTCTAAGACCATAAAGCAGCATAACAACCACGTAAAGAGCTTTGAATAGGTCCACCCGCAGTGAACAGCTTGCCGGAATCATCTGGACTGTATTCTAATGTGTATACTGCTTGCGGCATCAGTCGGTGCTGACCATGAAAATATGTCTGATAAATTGAGCTCGATTCGTCCAGCCATCCCGATGAAACGGAGCAGAAAGTATCGGACAATGGAGGAGACGACAATAATGAAGGCGATGACGAAGAAGAAGAAGATGTTGTCGTGTTACTGTTCGAAGGTATAAATGCCTTTTTGCGAATGTCATAAAACGATACACGGCCAAGACCGCCACCGCACGTCACAATATGATCATGAAATGCCAGTGATCGTACACCCCAATCCTGGTCCTGCGACGGAAATTCTTGTTCTGCAGAAGCGGTGCATGAAAGTCGTGGATCGAGTAGAGTAACATGCTCTTGTGACCCAACGGCTAATAACCCTCTTTCGTTTCCTTGTTGTGTTGCAATACAGACAAGCTCTCGCGTATGCCATAACTTGATATTCCTTTGCTGTTTTTTTTTCGAATAATGTACGCCATGTTTAAAAATTTAGTGTCATCTGAATCCATTTCTTAAGGTAGAATATCGTTTACCTTTTGCCGCTCCTTTAGATCCCAGATCTGTACAATTCCATTTGCCGCCAAACTCGCTGCTGTTGTGCACCCGGTCAGTTTTGTGTCCCGGATCCGTGGAGCAAACCCACCAGCAGTTTGACTTGCCCAAATGCGTGGTATCTCTTGCACCGTTCGTCGTCCGATATCATCATTCTCGTTCTGCTCCCTGTTGTCATCCATTTTCCACAGACCCAACGACCCGTCGCGTGATCCAGTAACAAACGTGGTATCATCCAACCACTGTACGCTAAAGACTGCATCACGATGGTCACGGGCGGTAATGCCGGCTGGGCTGAGTTCGGGCAGACGATAGATCATCACGATGGGTGGGTCCGCCAATCCAACTGCAAGTAGTGTTTTGCTCGGGTTTACGGACAGACTACGGATTCCTTCACACTTTTTCTTCTGTTGCTGTTCATGATGTTGTGACGAAACGCCAAACCGTTGCCGTATACTTGTGGGTGTGATTGGCTCGCGCATGTACACATTACTTTCATCATCATCATCATCGTTCTCTGCTGTATTGCTGCTGTTGTTGCCTTCGGCTGCATTATTGCTTCTTTGTCCTTTTGTTCTTCGACTTGCGGAGGTGGTCATTCGTGCATCGGTGCTTCTACTGACACGTTGATGATTATTTGCTACAGATGCTAGTGACGGCGCCTTGTATTTCATCAATGGAATACTTGTCCATGGGTTTTTTGAATCATTAATGTTGAGCAAGAGTAGCTAGTCAACGAGGAGGTTTTTAATTTGTAAGATCCTTCAGATGAGGAGCCTGTATGCTGTATGTGTTTATCATCTGCAAAGGTATACCATTTACCTTATCCTCTTTGGTCCCAATAACCACCCTTGTACTACCTGTTTGTTAGTTACCAATCATCAGTTTCCAGATGTGCTTTCTTTCTAACACAAAGTTGATCAATCCAACAAAAGGACGAGTGTGCTTACGTACTAATCCACGCAGATGCAAATATTTTATCATGGTCTTCTAAATTGATGGGATTCTCGGTCAATGCAGCAACTGATTGTGATCGCACAGCTTGCAATATCCTTTGTCGTTCCTGTTGGCTGTTGTTGTTCCTTCGGTTGTGTCCTCCAATCCCTCGTAGCCGTTTTTGAAGATAGTCGTAAACATATCGACTCTCATTAAAGCTTGATCTAGAAGTTGATGCTGATGAGGACGGTGGCAGCATCCGTACAATAAAAGAAAGCAAGAAAGAAGAGGAGAAATTATCGTAGTAGTGGTGATGGCACAAGTACGGTTGTATATTGCACAACAAGAAAGAGAAAGAGAGATAGAGATCGAGAGAAATAATGGCTCGAAAATGGCAAGTGTTTTTATTCGAATCAGCTTAACAGTTTTTTTAAGATTAATAACTCACCTGGCATAATTATTGCGTCTCATGAACAACGAAAAAGTGATAGTGGGGCCTTAAAATTTTTATTTGTGGAATTAATGCTACGCAAACACACGTAGCATGTGACATCCTCCCATTAACGCTTGAGCAATACATGTCACCATAAAGCCTTGCAAATCCTTGTACTGCTGCTACTCTTCTGTATAAAAATTTGACATGTTGTGGGATACTTCAATTTAATCTTAACTGAGTTTTTCACCAAGGAAATGTTGCTTTTTCTCGTGGACGCTGATGAACGAGCACAGCACAATGTTATGACTTTTTCACCGTACATTGCTTGACATGGTGAAGTGATAGATACTGTCTGTTACAGCGGGCGCAAATAATTCCATGGTAATAACACCCCTAGCACAATCTGCCACAATGCGCTATGTCAATGACATGTATTAGATTGAAATGAGTTGACTGCTACTGTAGCTGTCAGCGGTGGCATGATGGCTTTTTACAGACTGCTGTGTTGGCAACTACGCTTGTGCTGTAATGTGTTGTGCTTCACCGAGAAACTATGCAAGGTCACAGACATCAACGACTGATTTAATTAATCAGTAAATCCCCTTATTCGTTTAAGAAATATCTGATTGATAATACAAAACAGTATACTATCCATCATCAACATCATTGAAATACAAACACCTTTTGGAAACTTAGAAGGATAAAGCGTTGATTCAACAACATCAGCGCTTTTATGTAAGTGATAAAGCTTCAAGTGCATACAATCCTTCATATGATATGCTGTTAGTTTGAGTAGCATAGAAAACGTAGTTTATCCATCAGCTTTGTCATTCTTTTCTGTGTAGTATCGTTGTTATTGCTTTACTGAAGTATATTTGTTTGAAGGATTAGCGATGGTGCCGTCTTAGACAATGCTTCTGCTAAACCTCATCTTGATCTTGTCCGTCAAATTCATAAGAATAATTCCTCCTCAACCAGTCCCTTAAAATTTTTTCTAAGAAAACATCGATACAAACGATCGACCTGCTACAAAGCACGCTTAGTGCACGATAGTTTCGATAAGTAGATTCATTATTATACTTATACCGAAACGTGTACACCAGAAAGAGGAATGGTACTGATACCATCATCAACAGAATGGGGTCGTGTTGTGTTAGTACTAAGGATATTCTTTTTGTGTTCATTAGCTCTGTTACTGTACCGTTATATCACCCATGGTTTTCGGCAAGCGGATGCGAAACCCCACGGACTAAAGTTGCTCTAAAGTAAGGGAGCACGATTGTACTGTATTATCGCCCGTAGCGAACTTTGCTGGTAAATACAAGGTTGGTCGGCGATGATGCAACGCGAAGCAATAGACTCGGTGGCGATCCCTGCCCCCGCTCTTTCAAGCACCCTCCACGAACTCCGTTTGTGCGTATACATGCGTTATGTGTAATGAATTAAAGTTTTGTAGTGTCCTCGTACAACAATAAACAATTATGCAATTTGTCCTAAAAGATATTTTGGCCACCAGCAAAAGAAGCACTGTATGTAGTGGGACCTAACAGTCTTATGTGCCTCTTACATTTGTCCCGCCGAGTTTGCAACACCACTGGAAGAAAAAGGTGATGTCGATGCACATTATTTAATTGCTTGTGCAGGCTCATACAGAGAAAACCTGTTTTTGTATGTCTGTGTTGTTGGATAAAGCCTCCTGTCTTGTATACGCTGCTGTAACAACAAGAACATTAGCTATTAATAAAGCGTTTCGTGAAAACTATATACACGCACAACAACAACAGTCTCGATGTTAGGTTGTATAATAGGGTTCCTTCTCCTCCCATTAGTCATACATGTCACAAGCGTGACAAGGAAGAGAAACGAGAGAGTGCGGTACGCGTGCTTTGATATTACAGTATTTTCACTAATGGTTGCCTCACCTTACTTTTCCAAGTTGGCGTGACACAGATTCCCTGTCTGGTTGAGAGAGTTGGGGGCAGCTTGGGGGCATAATGTTTTTTACTTAGCATTTGGTTTTTTTACATTATGGCTTGAATGGACATTTGATGTGTTTTGTTTGTTTCAGCGAATTCAATTCTTTGATATCGTTAATCTACTTCGTTAACCACTTTTAACAACATGGGCTAATAGATTAAAAGATCCCTTGAATTCATCAACTTCTACTGCCTCATTTACGTTTTTCGCATGATGGATACTTGCGTCTTCCCTTGTCAGGCATATCACTCTTGTCCAAAATATCCATTACAGTATACAAAGCTACGCAAAGTGATCGTCTCATGTAATGCCTTGTTTTTTTCAACTACTACTTTTGCTGGTTCGCCTTTTTCAGACCGTCTAAACGTACGTTTACTATGTAGGTTGGATCCTGCCTCGTCAACATATACGTAGCTTGCAAAATATATTTCTGGATTGTTGTTGACACCCAGTCCATCCGCTCTTGATAGTTTCAGGTGATGTACGTGCTTCATTGTAAGTCTTTTAACCGTTGGGCCACACTTCTGTACAAGGTGCCTATCTAAACCATTTTGCATGATTGCCAAATCAAACGTGTCCCAAAGCATTCTTGTGTCTGCTTCCTTGTTTTAGTTCAATCACCATCGTAACCTTCCGAAAAGTTGTGGTTATTTGGCCTAGTAAATACGACTCTTCGTTCTTGAAACGCTTCCATTGATTCCGTACAGTACGTACCAGCATAATAGGTTTACGAACAACTGCAGCTGCACTGAGTATCACATTTCGAATCAAATAAGTAAGTTGAACAATCTGCATATCATTGTATATACCATGTAAGATCCTGTCAAATAACACCAGATTAGAAGTTTTAAACAACGTGAATAGATACATGGTGAATTGGATGATGGCTGTCGAACTAGCCCGGTTCTTTAATTTAGACTTTTCTTGTCTGTCATCTGCAGTTTTGATTCTGAAAGATTCCTCTTGTAAATCAGTTTCTATATAGAGCTCATCAGATACCTCATGCTGTACCATGACTATGTAATTGATATTAATAGTGTGAAGAATGATCAATTGTATAGACAGTAAAAAACGTAAAAGAATCAGTAAAAGTTGATGAAGACTAAGAATTCTTTTAACCTATTAGTCCATGTTGTTAAAAGTGGTTGACGAAAAAAATGAACGATATCAAAAGAACCAAACTCGCTGAAACAAACACATCAAATGTCCATTCATGCCAGAATGTAAAATAACCAAATGACAAGTAAAAAACATCATGCGCCCAAGCTACCCCCAAACCCCCTCAACCAAACAGGGAATTCGTGTCACGCCCAAGTCTGAACGCAAGGTGCGGCAACCATTGGTATTAGAAAGGCGAAGAGGGTGTTACAGGATCGGTCACTGTTTTGTGTAATAATCGTGTTTCTGCATCACAGATACCAGTTCCTCTTCCACCTCCTCTCCTCTCTCCACCATGATTCGCACTGATATATGCTACCTAGCATCAGCTACATTTAACTAGGGAAGAGCAAATCTATTTGATGGCAGGATGATTTCCCCCGCGGACGACTTTCTACACATCATTCCCCCGTTTACCATACAGCAATTATTGGTTGTTAGACATACTCTCGATCATTACGTTTATTCTCCTAAACACAATATTTTGCCCGCAATGGAAATATGTGAAAAGTCAGCGACTGGGGGTGGCGGAGGGATAGGAGTTCTGTCATCCACTATTTACAAGAAGCGCTGCTGTGTGATTCGATGGGTTGATCCGGTCAAAAAAAGAAGAGGGAAGGTTATGTTTTAAGATACACAAGGGTGAGAGAAGATGCGCTGCACCACACAATGTGACGATAATAAAAAACAAAACATCAGCCAACTCAGTTGACTGTTTTCCAATGATGGTGGCCCAAAATTCAAGCGTAGCAGAGATCCATTATCTAACCACTATGTAGTACTACGCAGCTGGAGTGTGCAAGGAAACACCAGAGGAGAGAGGCACCCATTTATCGCAATGACGATATGACTAAAAACAACAACAGCTGGCTGGGTCATCTTACGTTTCACTTTGGGTACCCATTCAAAAAAACAACTCTCTCTGATATGATCGTTTGTATCACCGCAAAACAGAAAAAGAGAAAAAAAGAAAAAGCAAGCATGGATGGTAAAATTGATTTACCCTGCCCGGCCTCCTTATCCCCTCCTCCGATCTCCCGCTCTCCCCATCACCCACTCCCAGAGAAATTGTGTAGTCGTCAACAATCGCTGGAAATTAAGGAGACACGGTGGGTGATGATTCAGTCGAGTGTTTGCTACTAGTGCGTAGTAGTAGCAGTAGTAGCACATCATGTTAGGCGCGTTAAGTCAAAAAGAAATGGGGTTTTCTAAAATGATCAGCAACACAAACAACGGAAGCGTGGGTTCCGGCCATGCGGTTCTGAAGCAGTTTGTGCTTAACAACAAATGATCGTTTTGATGTCACATTTGACCTGAGTCTGTTCTTCACTCTTTGCGCGGGCAAGGCTGGGGTGTGTTTTGTGTATACAAGCAACGAGCTTACGGGTACAAGGGAATTTTCTTGTGAAAGGCAGCTGTGATGCGTGCCGGGGCTCCCTATTCGGCAGCGGTCTTGTTTCTGCTGTGCCATACTTTGCTGTAGCTGTGTGTCCACTGTCCACCCTTCTTACTTGGCCGAACATGATACAAGCACCGATCGGATTCTGTTGGGGGGAGGGGGATGGGGGTGGGGGTTGAACGATGGCTGCTGTTGGATAGAAATAATTTGTTGCTTTTTTAATGCTGCTGCTGTGTTGATGATGATGATGATGCACGCTCCCCCCACCCACCCACCCATCCGCAAACTGTTCGGTATTTATGGGTATCATCTTTTTTCTTTCTTTTATCCCTTCTCTTGTGTTTTTTTTTCCTTTTTCCACCTTTGTGAATCCAGCTCTCTTCCTCTTCGCTCCAACGACACTCTCCATCTCTAATACATAACATCGCCATGGTACTGGTATCGTGTTTACGGTCTGCACAAGAACTGCCCAATCTGTGCACAGTCGTTGTCTCGTCGCTATGGAACCAGTACCCACCACGCCAGAAGAGCCATGACAACAGCTGGGACGATGCACGACGGCTGGAGTTCCATACGTTCGCCCAGGCCGTATTGTCCTATCTTAACATGTCGCCTGCAGTCGTTTACACGAGGTACATGCACACCATAATGTAGATATTCTACGAGTGTATGCAAAGAGAACGACGATAACGACACTATGGACGGGCAACCCACAGCAAAGATGTATACATGTATTCACGCATCTCCTTCATCGTCATTGCATTTTTAGTTTGAAATATGTACAAAAGTATCTTTCCTCCTTGCCACCGTCCACACGGAAAACGCTGATGCACGGTTCTGAGAGACCGATCTTCATGGTGGCACTGATGCTTGCGTACAAGTTTGTTGAAGACTGTGGATCAGTTGATGCTGTAAGTACATCCTCTCTCTCTCTAGTCCAAAAGTACTAGTAGTAGTAACACAAATAGGAAATGGCGTGGGCATTTCTGTTTCTAATTTTTATTCTCATATCCTAACCCACATTTCTCATACTTCAGAACTATTGGTCGCGGGCATCCATGATCCCTGTATCAGCCTTGGTGAAGATGGAAATTGATTTTCTGTGTCAAGTGAGCCATAAGCTGCATGTGGATAAGTCCGCTTTCGTGCGATGGGTGAACCAGTGCAACACCACGTTTGAGCAGCAATTTTATTATTTCTACACCTATGCAACAGGGGTTTATCCTGACAACTCGTTCTGCTATTATCCTCCAATGCAGCAGCAGCAGCAACAACAATACCCTTGCTATGTCCAGCCGACTTCGACTTACTGGTATAATAACAGCAGTAATAACCATTATCAGCAATACATTCCTCAACAGCAGCACCAGCAGCTACAACATCTGGAACAACAACAGCAACAACCACCACCGCAATATAGCCAGGATTACCGATGGGAACAGTCCTCAACACCAGACAGTATCCACAGTAACAGCACCACGTCGTCTGCGTCTACACTAATCGCTGCTTACGGTTATCCTGACGGTGACACCACGACCAACAACAAGAAGTATCGCATGCCAACATCATCGCAGCAGCTATGCTATTATGCAACTGACTATCCTCGAGACCATTGGACTACAGCTGTCCCGCCAGTATCGCATGCTTTGATGCAATGATAAAAATAAAACCTCCCTTCTCTGGTCTCCACCTATCCAAGTGCTTCTTTTTTCACAAACAACACTGCAACCTATTAGTAGTCAGACCCCTTCTCACTTATACTTCTCCCCAATCCCTTTGCTCCTTTTAATTTGTAAATATCGTTCTTTTTTCTTTTTTTATGTGCCATACTTTTTCAAAATAATGCTATAGAAACAATAGTAATAATAATGCGTGTATATATATATATATATGTTGTGGAAATGCAAAATAACAAAGACAAGCTTTCTCTTTCTTTTTTTTAATGAACTAAACAGACTGGGGATGGGTGTGGTGTTGATGGAGACAATGAACATGGATAGTATTTAACAATGAGTTTAAAAAATGCTTATTTCTTCTTTTGCTTCTTTGCTGCTTTTCCTCCTGCCGCCTTTCCTCCGGCTGCTGCCTTTCCGAACGAGGCATCAGGCTTTCCTTTTCCAGTGACCATCGACGCTAATGATTCATCCAAATTTCGCTGTTGACGCTTCTTGTTCTTCTCCACGCGTGCTCGCTTCTCCTCGTCGCGCTTGGCATACTGATCCTCCATGGGATCAGCGTTCTGAGGCACCTCAATAAGCCAGTCGTCCAGCTTATCCTTTTGGCCACCAGCATAGCCCCAACGTGGCACATATTTCTCTTTCTCTTCGTCGTAGACCATACGTTCTCGCTTGCGGTTCTGGATGCCCTTGACCTTGGCAAACTTCTCCCATCGGGTCAATGGCTTGTCCTTGGGTAATGGCTTTTCACGCGGCAGGGTGCTGCTGCGTACTGGTAGTTTAGCTAATACTCCATTATCACCGCTTTGTACTGGAAGCTTAAAGATCTCGTTGATGATCAATTGTGTGTTGTCTCGTGTTAATTCTTTCAAATACTCTTCTCGTTTGTTCTTGTTTCTAAAAGAGGTACCGTTACATGTTAGTCTCTCTTCTTTCTACTTTCAAAAAAGGTTAAGACATAGTAAGAAAAACAATGACATACGCTAGCCGCTTTTCGTCAAAAGCATTGGTATCAAAGCTGCTCAAGAGATTAACGTCGTAATCGAGAGGAACAAGCTTTTCGACTGTGATTGGCTTACTATGGAACGAACAAAAGCGATCTCGAGATTAACCATACATGTATGACAACTCCAAACGTTGACGAATGAAAATTTGTATTTGAGCTTACAATTGTGCCTTGTGTGCGTCCAAGATCTCGGTAACGTCCATGATCTTTAATATACAATATATATGTGGTCAAGAAGAAAAAGAAGAAATAAAAAAAAAGTTCGGGCAACAAAGTTCCTGCGGGTGCGGGAATTTCGGATGGCTTATACCAGAACGCAAACCCTCTAAAAAAATCTCTCTGCTTTTGCCCTAGTAAACTCTTTTTTTTTATTCATTTTCGCAAATCTACCATATATAAAAAAACATGGACCGTCGTACGCTCGAACAAGAACAACAATCACAAGAATCCCCATCGTTCACTCAAGCAGTGAAGGCACAACTTTTTGCTCCCGAAGTTCGACAGGGAAACCTTAGCATTGCATTGTCCGTTACCGTCTTCACCGGCGCCGTCTTCTTCTTGCGCAACTTTGGTGAATTGCTGGCCGTCTAAATTGTTTTCTTTCCCCCCCTCCACACCATGAACAACAGCAGCAACTAGAACGTACAACCTTTCAACTCTTTACTCGCGACGAACGTTTTTTTTTTCTTTTGTATAAAACTAATTCTCGATATCAAAAAAACCGTCCCCAAACATATAAAAAACACGACACGTCCTTTTTGTTTCGACTCTCTCCTTTATCATTGTATACACCACACCCGCTCTCTTTCTCTTTCACTCTCACAGCACCTTACTGAACCCTTAAAAGTCGATGTATAAAATGAAATAAACGTATAATGCCCCCTTCCATAAGGTGTCCTCCAAGCCCTTTGATAAATTATTGTTTGTTTTTCGTACTATCCATGTTGCATGTCTCATCACTCGCGATAGAAGGGATAATTGGACTTGTATGCCATCGCGTATGTTGCCAAGCGGTGATACGTTGCCATGGAAACCGTCGTTCTGGAAACAATTGCTATGACAAAGCCTTATTGTACCATGGATACTTTCATCATATTCTGTTGAAAATGAATCGACATAGAACCCAACAGTATTAAAGAAACAACCCCCGGTCACGGAATCGTGACTCGGAGTAAGCCAAGTTGGGTGGCAATTCGAACTTGTTTTTTGTTATTAGTGGACTTGGAAAAAAAAAGAGACACACACAACATATACACTTTTTCTTCAATGGCAGCCGTTCTCGAGAAAATCGCAAAGTTCGCTATCCCTGCCGGTTTGGCTGTTGGTGCCGTTCAATCGGCCATGTACGATGGTAATTAAAAAAACGATCACAAGCTCTCCTCTCTCATTGAAAAAAATATAATAAAGAATATCTGAACATGCTTAAAAATATGTATACTATAAACAATAATAGTGCAAGGTGGTCACCGTGCTGTCATTTTCGATCGTCTTCAGGGTGTGAAGCCCCAGTCGACTGGTGAAGGTACTCATTTCCTCGTTCCATGGCTCCAACGCGCCGTGTTGTTCGATGTTCGTACCAAGCCCCGCAACATTTCGACCACCACCGGTTCTAAAGGTTCGTAATATTCATTTGGCAACAACGATAACGGCAACGGCCGAGAAAAATATATGGATATTTTGATGTGGTAAGAAATATACTTTTTTAACATGCTTTAAATTGAATAGATATGCAGATGGTCAGTTTGACCCTTCGTGTTCTCCACCGTCCTGAAATCAAGACCTTGCCCGTCATTTACCAAAACTTGGGTCTCGACTATGACGAGAGAGTTTTGCCCTCCATCGGTAACGAAGTATTGAAGGCTATTGTTGCTCAGTTCGATGCTAGTGAATTGATTACCCAGCGTGAGGTTGTTTCGGCCAAGATTCGTGAAGAGTTGTACAAGCGTGCCAAGGACTTTAACATTTCATTGGAAGATGTCTCTATTGTAAGTCAGGAAAATTGAGAAGGAGGAGGAATACTCGACTACCGCAGGATTCGAAATGGATGAAAGAGGTGGTCGTTACTTATACACATGGATATCTGCAATATAGACCCACATGACTTTCGGTCGCGAATTCACAAACGCTGTCGAACAGAAGCAGATCGCTCAGCAGGAAGCTGAACGTGCCAAGTTTGTGGTCGAGCGTGCTGAGCATGAGCAACAAGCCGCCGTTATCCGTGCTGAAGGTGACTCCACTGCCGCCGAGTTGATCTCGCAATCGCTTGCCAAGGCCGGTCAAGGTATCATCGAATTCCGTCGTATTGAAGCCTCCAAAGAAATCGCCGGTACCTTGTCTGCTTCCCGCAACGTCACTTACTTGCCCAGCAACAGAAGCGAAGGCAGCAACATGCTCTTCAACGTCAGCACTTGAGTTTAAAGAAATCAAGATCTATAATTTTATCTTTTCCATTTTCTTTCTATCTCTCCTTTCATACATAAAAAAAAGTACGCTTATCATTGGGAAAAAAACGAGATCTTTATAAATAGTTTCATTGGTTGAAATCGAGGGAGAGAGAGAGAGAGACTGCGTGTGTGCTCAAGATGTCTATTAAAGTGCGGGGAGAAGAGAATGGGATAAAGGGAAGAGGGAGGGGTATGCGAGCTTATAATACAATAGGATCTGCGTGCATGTGCGTGTGTGTAGTATGTGTGAGTTTGGATAAGACGAACAAAGAAAGAGAACAAAAACAGAAAAACGTGTGCGTGTTATGTACGTTTAGAAAGGATTATACTAAATGTGCTTATTGTTTGGCCTGCTTCCATTTTAGCAGCTTCTCCAATGCATAACGGGTCGTCTTTAAAGGACCAGCAGTGAAGATACCCTTGACACTTTGAGACATGGCCGGGCCGGCGACAATTTGCCGTAGACCTGTTTGAAATTAAAGCGATGTGGTCCTTTCAGTCCATCTTGTGTCACCATGCATACTAACAGTTTAAAACAGACAGAACTTACTTGTGTTAATGTACTGCGTCAATTCGGGCGAAGAAGCAATCTGTCGATGCAACTCCAATTTATCTTCCGGGACTGTGACCTTGTTGCGGACAGAATGGATACGATGTTCATCCAGCACCTTTCTATACAACGTAGTCGGCAATTTCTGCACCATGAGACCGCGGAAATGCGGATTTAAGTTTTGCTATAATGTAACGTACAACCATCGATCAGTTAAACTTTAATTCGCAAAAGATAAATGATAAAGAAAAAAAAAGGCATTTGATCCATTACCTGATACTGGCCGTTTGATAAGATAGCCACGTTGGGAAGATCATCCAAAAGACCAAAATAAAGCCGATGGAAATGTGGAAGTTGTGCATGAACAATGTTCCGAATCTTGTTCGGATTCTCTCCCACAATCATTCGAAAGTCGCCAGTGTAGCTGATGCCCGCAATCCGCTCAAATAGCTCATCCTCGCTAAACTTTTCGGGAAGTGTCAGCAGAGCCACCCGCACGGCTTCGGTCAAATTGACTTGGTTCGCAAGACGAACACGTGCGTCATCCCGCAGGATTTTCACCTGAATGCCACTTTTGTTTAGTTTACTGTGGTGGATATAGTGAGTCGTTCCATCGCCCAAGTGATGCCACTTACCGGCTTATGCATTCGACCTGCAAGGTATAGGGTTTTCCAATCAATCAAATCTTTGCATAGCTTATCGATCGAGACAACACCATATTTGATCATCTGTTGTCGTTGTTGTCATAAACACAAATAAGTGGGTGAGAAAAACCATTTCTGGGATATATGCATACGTAAACCCCCACTCTCACCATCGGCATTTAATGAATAACTTACCACACCGTCAATTTCGACATACGGATTAAAGTAAACGCCAGCACCCACTTTATCCTGCAACGCAGCAACGGTGCTTGAGCCTAGCATCCGAACGCCCGAGTAATGGTGAGGATTCTGATGCATGTTCAATGCGTGCCAATGGCCAGGATGCGATACGCCAAAAATAAAGTCGAGCATCGGCTTTTTCTATTTATCATATCAAGGAGTAATAAAAATAAGCTTTTGCCTTACTTGCCAACAAATTATCACCCCATTTGATTCTCTCTCTAAGAGATATACAGTGTTATGTATGAATGATATCTACCTTGGCATCATAGCCCGCCTGTTGAAACACGCCGCTACCATAAGCAAAGGCATACCGGATAGGTGCATGGAACTGTGACACAATACCTTTGAGCTGTTGTTTCAACTCCTCGTTAATATTGATATACTGATTTGTTCCAAAATCAGGAGAGTCTGGAATATTTGTTGGATGGAACTGTAATTGACGCAACCGTTCGAGCCGATGACGAGTTTCCTCAGAAAACAAGGGTTCATTCTGTTGTGATTGCTGTGCCTGATGCTGTCGTTCCTCCAATATAGACGCGTTAGAAGAAAACAATTCCGGCTTTTGTTGTTGTTGCTTTTTGCTGTTGGATGGTGCATGTTGCATAGATGGAGGTAAACCATCGCTTGCTGAACCCGAGGAATGCGAATCAAGACCTCCTGTGGGTCCGGCACTGTAGCTTCGCCAAATCAAAATACTCGTACACCGGCATGTGCTACTACGTACACCTTGGAAAGCTGTCGCACTGGTTTGAGTGATCTGTCGCCAATTTCAGAATGGTGTTTAGTAATTACTTTTTTCTTAAAAGACAAGAAAGGAGAATTACTGCAAAAATAGACAACTCACACACCTTCAACATGGTTTAATATATATATAAAGTTCCGTGGAAAAAGAGAGAATGAATGCTGCTATTAGCTGGCGGAAAAAAACCCAGCATGCCAGCATGTGGGGGAGAACTTGAACGGAGAATGGATGGTTACCCAGTGCCCCGATGTGACGTTGTCGTTGCCAAGGGAGGTTTTTTTGACATCTGATGGCAATAACCCCGCAGACCCGACTTCTTTTTTTAGTGACAAAGCTACATCATTGGTGTTAATTCAGAACCAAACGAAAGACTAGCGCCATCTATACTATGAAGCCTTTCCCAGAAAGCAGAAAGTAGCATCTCGCCAGGATGCGCCAATACCCTTGTGAAGATTCGGGTTATAGCTGTAGACCATATCAGTACATTCCACTTGTAATAAGCAGTGGCTCTATCGAATATTCAATTGATAAGACATTCGAGTACAATGGCGTATTCATGTGTCCATGATATAATAATCGGGTCGATAAAGTTTGCATACCTTTTTAATCAAGCTGTTATTTTACTGCTCAAGAACAATATGATGGCGGGCCTTATCATCACGCATGGCTTGCACAGCAGTGGAACATCTCTTTAGAGTTACTTGCTTTGCCCCCACTAACAGCAGCAAACTGCAATACCGACTCGACACCGGAAGACAATTATGATTAACGAGCCAATAAACGGATTCAAACGCATAACAAGCAAACCGGCTGGGACAGTGCTGAAAGAAACTTTTTATTATTATAAAGCGACCGTGCTATTGTCTATCGAGAAAGCTGCAGACTAAAAGGAACAGAGCTGCTAGCGTCCCAACATGCATGATAGAAAGCTTTAAAGCGCCTTATTTTACATGCCTTTAAATACATGTAAATACATTTTAAGATGCCGCAAATGCATATGGAGGTATCCAAATTCGACTAAAGCTACTTTACGTTTTGGATGAGGCAACACTATGTGGAAGTTGTCTACTGTATATCTGCGAAAACGTCAAACTTAGAGACTCTTAACAATTTGGATTGATTGATATTTAATAGATTTGCAGTGGAGCAATTTTCTCATTGTGCAATGTTGGCTTTAACATTCGGTGGCTGATGTAATAAATGAGCTATCAGTTGATGCAGCAGCTCCTCTATTCTCTGGCTACAAACAAGATCCATCATCAAAGGAGGAACGTTACTTTTATTTGTTCGTATGACTACAAAAGATAGGAATGTAATTGATCCACTTCTCTGGCTCTGAAACCATGTAGATGCAGGATAATGACTTGTAGGCGAAGCACAGCCACTTTGAAACATTACCGTATGAATTTTGCTCGTATATAATAGTGATCGAATTGTTCGTTGGTATGATAGAAATGTTCATTCCATCCACAAAGCCAGACTCCGGCAACAGCCTCAGGCATGAATTTTATGATAAAGTTGACAGAAAATAGGAGCAAAGAAGATACATTATTGTTGCTGTTTCATTGACAAGATATTTTAAATGTATGTAGTTGACATAACCATTGAAAGATAGATTGTTTCTTCTACCTTTTTATTGTGCTGGCACTGGCTATCAGATGAATTAACGAAGAGTTGGTGCTTATCGATATCTTAAAAAACCGACATGTTCTAACAAATTCCAAATTGTTTTGACGAGCGCGATCGATTCTATGCTGCATAGACGAGCGATGTAATGTTCTATGAGGCCGTTGATGTTACAGCAATTCGAGGAATCGGGGTGGCGGCTACGATTATCACTATCGTCACCATATATATCGCTGCCTTGATAATCATTGGCACAGTCTTTACCGAGGACATCGCCGCCTCTGCAATTGAGGCTGTTGTATATAAGTCAAGGCTAACTCATCCGTAGTGATCTCGTAAGGACCCTGGTCGCTTTCGCCTTCCGTGTAGTTCTCGGTGGAAAAGTCTACTTCTTTTTGACAAAAGATTCCCGTATATGTATACATGAAATATGAGATGTAAGTCTTATAATGTTCTATTGGTTGTTAGTGTTAGATTAGCCTGTCGTTACAGTGGTATATACATATTAATTATAACCAAACCTTACATTTACCAACAACCATGAAGAGCGCTCGTTGCCGCTCACTCATGGCAGTGACCCTGCTGTTCTTCATCATCTTGCACGATAGATGGACGAAATGTTGGGGATCCATCCAGCGAGGGTTTACTGTATCCATCACCGATTGCAATTGAGCTCGTAAATCATCCAATGTTGCTGCTGTTGCTCGTTCCTTGACCCTTATCCTGAACAAGCTGCAGGCCAACACTATGACCGATATAGGACACAGTGCCAGCTCTGAGTGTATCGACTGGTAATTAGCTTCAGGCACTGCCAACACTGGTAACTTTTCCGGATGAAAGTTGCCGTCAGGTAGATTTAATTGTGTTCCCAGTATCATTGCAAGCTTCTGGTGAAGGAGTGTATCGGATGGTGCCGTCGATAATATCACAGCAACAACAGTCGAAGCAAATGCAGCACCGGAATTGGCTTCTCCGAATAGTTTCTTTTTTACATACGCGGCAACTGTCGTCGTCGACGACCCGTCAGGCCACTTTGTCTTCAACGATGATAATATCTCGGAGCAGAACTCGTTTGTGGCTGGTCTTATCTGTGGGAGTATTATGGTATAGTGCGATGAGTTTATTTTGGCCATGAGAGTCGAAAATAAGCTATATACGTTTTTTTTCTGATAACAAGACACGTCTGCGATAAACAAAGGAACGCTTAGACGCTGCGGTGGCCAATCGACAGGAGAGTCGGTGTGCTGGTGATACGTAGCGTTGTGTTATTTTGACATTCTACATAGATAGCAGAGGCTCAGATCCCACAGTGGCGCCTGGAATGAACTCCTGGCACTGTTGTATAATGAGGATGTCTGTGTTTCGGTCACATTACTTACTCGAGCCAACATGTCTTTTAAAACAGGAAGTAAAAGATTGTATGTATATATTGTTTGCAAAGGTTGTAACTCGTCAGTTAAATTAACCACAGGTACAAGCAGGTTGGAGTGAGCACTTTTACAGGAAAAAATTATGCAGGAATCATTTTTCAATTTTCAATCATTCCACTATTGAATTTGGATACTTTCTATTAACTTTTGGATACGTATTGAAATTTGCATACTTATTCATTTGTTTCCAACCAAACAATCTATCATAGAAGCTGTTCTTTAAGCTATCCTTCAAGATTAACATTCATTCTCCAAGGCGGTGTTGAAAGCACCTCGATCGATTCTTTATCATTTTCTTTTGGAAGCATAGGGTAGTCAAGATGGTATACAACATCGGTCGATAGAACTAAATGCAGCGAGGACAAAGCTCAACATTATTCCGTAGAGAATAAGAGCATTAAAATAAATAAATATAAACAGAGAAAGTTGAGACATGGGACACGAAAGATACAACGCCAGGAAATAAATTGAAACCTTTGGAATACAGTACCTATACAGCGAGAAACAAGCAAGGAAACATGGGCGAAAGTACTATGAGAAAGTTTCGATTCAAGGTCGCTTAGAGTTGGCTTTAATGGGACTCGACCTGTCGGTACTGAATGGTCCAAAGTTGGAGCAAATGGCTCAGTATTGTCAAAACATAAGGACGTCGAGTCTTGCTTTCATCACCTCCATGAGCTGGTAAATGTCTCCATGAGGGCGTTTTTCTAGATAATGACAGCGACGGCGGCGCTATAATGTAGGGCGATCGAATGATAAGCTTGTTACATTGCCAGTCGATTCTCGAATACTACGTTGTGTCACCATCTTTAGGTCGTATCCACATCATGTGAGCTGACACTTCTTTGGATCTAAAAGGAAGCGCAATAAACTAATGGCGAGACCACCACGCTTCACTGCAACCTTTTTGGAAGATGATTTTTCTTTTTCTGTATATGTATCGCTGCCGATAGAAGAATGCGTCCTTGGGATGGTGCATTGGCCTGACCTTTAGTATGTATTCACCTCTTCGCATATTAACATAACCAATCTTCATCATGTTAAAAAGGCTTTGAGAAGCAGCAATTAAGAATTGACATCATTCTTTAATTATTATCCATCGATATTCATTAAACTATCGAAATCTTCGATTTGTATCAAGGGTCCTTTGTATCCTTTCTATATACATAAAAAAAAGGTAAATCGCATGGATTCCATAAAACCTCTTTCATCGTCTCTCTACATTTCTCAGTTAATTTACCTTTTGTGCTACTACGGAGTACCATGACATGTATGTCTGGTGAGTGTCTACTTCCTCGTGCAAGTCCTTGATTGCTGCAGCCAGCTGCTTTTCGCTAATCAATTTGCTTTGCACCCATTTCTGTCGATTTGTTTCGATAATTCGGTCCCAATGTTCCAGCAAGAGACTTCCTACAGCTCCGCCATAGCGACCTACAGGTGTGTGGATATGTTTTATCTGCATCCCCATTAACTGGCTGATCGCAGCCATTCGGTTTGGTAGTGGGTTTTGAATTGATGCTGTCATGCTATCTTGATCTGGTGCATTGGCCACTGTGAAGTATATATAGTCTCACACGCCAATTAGCGGGCTTTGTAACACACAAAATCCAGGTACACAAAGATAAATAGGCCTCTTACGTTGCATAATGGTTGTCATTGCAGGACCAGCCTATATATAGAAAAAAAAGAATAAAGAGTTTAAAAATAAGTTACAAATGACCGCAAAAGGTTAAAAACAGAGAGTCGTGGCCTACATCGACAAGAGCCGGGTATGTCTCCAAACACTCGATGTAGGCGCCCTTTTTCATAATCCGAACGAGTTCTTTCAGAACAGCATCCCAGTCTTCGTCCGGTACTACGTCTGCCATGCAACGGATAAATATGAAGTCAAATGTATCGTTTTCGTACGGTAATGGCAATTCCAAAAGATCGACTCGTTGAAACACTACGTTCCTTGATACGTTTCTGTTTCATCCAGTTGATCAGCAACCAAGGTATTCTTATTTTAGTTCACCATATTCTTCTCTTAGATGCAAAATTCATATCATTCGTCTTCGCTGCTAGTTACCCAGTCGGAAATATGTTCTTTTCAATGTCGATGCCGGTGAAATGTGATATAGGGTATTTTGTGGCCATGTCCTGCATACATGTATAATTATTAATATGCCTTCTCTCTCCATCTTTTAGGGAGTCGAACTGCTGCATTCTTTGTGATCCATGTGGAATTAAGGGGTGGGGTGGGGGGGGGGAGAGAGGAGAGAAAAAAATAGTTCATCTTTCTATACCGTTGTCCAAAAGCCGGCACCGCATCTATAATTACGTTACGTTTGTCGGTTAGGATTGGATGCAGAAGCAGCTGTAATGGTTCTTTCACTTTAATGCTTTACCCAATGTCCAGCACTTCACTGCCTCCTGACTTGAGCAATTGATCAATAGGTGCCTTAAAGTCGCTAATAAAACACGCACAAAACATCGCAGTATTGACATGAGCATAAAGACAAAGAGTAGGAAATCCTCAATTATATCTTACCCCTCGAGTGCAAGTTTCAAAGCACTGTGTCTGACCCAATCGCGCTCTACGTCAATAACTGAATTGATTTGTCGCAATTGTTTGCCGTCTTTGGGACTCGAGCGCCATTTCGACTTCAAAAAGCTGGTGAAGCTGGAAGACGTTGTCATTTTCGGTGCTTGTGTAATCATTGTATGTTATGTAATTTAAGTTCCTTGGTACAATAATCAACAGGAAGGCTAATTCAGACCGACATGCTCTTTTTAATCAAACAAATATGCAATCTAGAGAATATATACAGATGCGTGAAGCGGAATGAAACGAAGTAAAAAAACAAGGAGCAGCTGCAAAGAAAAGAAAAGAAAAAGCCCGTTTTTTTAGTGCGCCCTGTTGCCTTAATTCGTGCATTGGCGTAGCACCAGGAAAAAAGTGCTTAGCCTCACTTGGAAACAAAAGGGTCAGTTTTTAATTAAAAGAGAGCAACGAAAGTGGATGTCTGCTTAATCATTCGTGATCCTTGGTGTCTATGTAGATCAACGGGTCACAATACTGATAATATGTTCTCCACAGCAGTTGCTTTTCAAAAGAACAGTACTGTACTATATCGATGGACATATTCCATAGCCCTTTTATGGATGATTCTCTCTGACAGATTGAAAAGGACAACACGAGTGGCAACACCGACGGATCAAAAAGGCCAGATTTGAATGCTAAACACAAATACATCATCTCTAGTATACTAATACACATTATTCGCCATAGTAACCATTACAACGATACTCTATTAGAAGGGGTTTTCCATTCACAGTCCACCAATGGCGCTGGCACCGGATGAAGCCATATCAGCCAAACCACGGGAGATGATAAGTCTTTGGATTTGGCTGGTGCCTTCATAAATCGTATAGATACGAGCATCACGATAGAGTTTTTCTATTGGGTATTCCGTGTTGAAGCCATTGCCACCAAAAATCTGGAGAGCGTCACCGGCAGTCTTATTTGCTACTTCAGATGCCAAAGCTATTGAATGTTGGGCAGGTTAGCTTACTTTCACCGGCTTTATCCCAGCTATTGCTTACCTTTAGCTATACTAGCATGCCAGGTGTTCTTTTGACCTTGGTCGCGCATTAATGCTGCACGATATACCATCATGCGCGCGCTCTCTATGCCGATACTGTATACGCATTATACGGCCCCCAGGATAGATATATGAGATCAACGGCTACGCATATACGACATTATTACTCTTCGTCTTCAGATAAAAAGGACTTACGCCATATCAGCCAACATGAATGCCACGGCTTGATGTTTGAATATCTCCTTGCCCATCGTCTTTCGCTCAAGTGCATATTTTGTAGCCTCCTCCATTGCACGTCGAGCCAATCCTACAGCAGCAGATGCAACCAATGGGCGCGTGATATCGAATGCGCCCATGGCAATCTTAAAACCTTGGCCTGCGGTGCCCAGCACATTTTCCTCGGGCACAGCAACATCTTCAAACGTCACTCCACGCGTATCCGACGCACGCTGACCCATATTGATTTCCTTTCGGCCACGCTGGATACCAGGCGAGTCACCATCCACGATAAAGCCAGTGAACGCTTTCCCAGGTGATACATTTTCTTCCGTGCGAGCAAGGACAAAGAACCAGTTGGCATGTCCGCAGTTGGTGATCCACATTTTTTGGCCATTGAGGATCCACTCTTTACCCTTCTTCACTGCTGTAGTACGGAGACCAGCTACGTCGGACCTATCAGAAAATACATGATTAGAGAGAGAATCTCTCATATAATAATCGTATAATGAATTTGGATTGCCAGATGCTAATCCTTACCCTGCGCCTGGTTCGGTTACGCCGTAGGATGCCATCAGGGGTGCTTCGGTCATCCGGCCGAGGTATTTCTTTTTTTGGGCATCATTGGCAGCGACGAGCAGCGGCGCCTCGGCGAGGTTGTTGCCTTCAATGGCGGTTTGGATACCTTATTTATATTTTTCCAAGGGGTCGTTCAGATACTTTTCTGTTGCAACTTCTTTTACAAGCAAGTTTCCTGTTTTACCTGTGCATCCATAACCGAGCTCTTCGGAAATAATAGCGCTATCAACCACACCCAGACCCATACCGCCATATTCAGCGCCAATATGCGTATTGACCAAACCAAGTTCCCAGGCCTTCTTAATCACCTCTTAAAATTGTATTCGTCCGGTCAAAATCGTTAGCTTTGTACCATATATTCGACTACACCCGCTTAAAGTGCAGGCCTACACCGTCTCTCACCTGTAGGATATTCTCCCGTCGCGTCATGCTCGGCTGCTACAGGTATGACCTCTTCGCGTGTGAACTTGCGGACCATCTCTTGCATGGATTTCTGCTCGTCCGACAAGGTGAAACTCAAGCCAGAATAGTTTCGGCGGAGCGACGCAGGGGAAAAGATGGGTCGTGCAATACGGGATAACAGGTGCATTGTAGGGAAAGGATATAGTAGGTGGAGGTGGTAAGAGAAAAGAAGAAGAAACGCAAAAAGTATAGGAGGGAAAACAAACTTGTGAACTTTCTTCACAATCAAGTAAAGGTCATATGGGCGTACTCACGCTATGAGATACTGTACATTGGCATTTTTCACATGTCGGTTGTACTACATACGCAGGTGATGATTCATCGGGCATAATATTGGCACACTCTGCTTTATATGTTGGCTTTGACGACAACTCTATTCTCGACCTAACAACAGAATCCTTACACAGCATCTTTATTCATAGCTGGGGAATGGACAATATCGCCGTACTGTAGCGACTTACCCTTTCATTCCAGGAGGCCATAATGCCTAAGTCAAAATAGTCCAAATTCGCTTCAAGCACACTTCTCACGCACAACTTGTTACATACATCCATTGCAACTTGGAAGGCGTGTGCGGGAAGTATGCTGGTAGCGAATTTTGATAGCGACAAAGCAATATATTTACACGACACAATAAGTCTAATTTTATTGCTACGCAGGACTTACAAGTGACGATATCGCTCGATAATTTACTTTTACTGCTTGGTTCTTTTCGCACTCGCTTCTTGGCATTTTCCTTTACTTTATTTCACCTGTATCTCCTGCTACTGTAAGAGAAATTATTACCTGCATTTGATTAAAGAGCACAGCACAAAGGCTGCCAAAGGCCCATAGATCTTGCTTTGTTTGGAGTAGTCGAAGTATCAATTGATATTGACACATTTGTCAAAGTCTGAAGGCCATTGTCGAAATGTATTGTGCGTAATGAGAAAAAAGACCTACAAATAGAATAATATAGGTAAGCTGTAGTATCAAACATAAACCTATGTATCCTAATACGTATGTCATCTTTGCGGCTTGCTTGCAAAGCTGATGTCACTACTTTTTTCAACGGCACATAAATCCACGGCAGTATTGCTTTGTGACAACCCCACCCTCCGTTGTATTGCGTTTGCTCCTTTCTCTTCTCTACAGTTGAAACAAACATAACACTGTGTACGGGTCAACCGATTCTCATGTGTTATAGAAATGGTATTTCCTGAGGAATACATATTGCCAGTGATGCAGCTGCGAGATTCAGTAGGTAACGCAGGCAGTATCATAGCAAAATCCAGTCCCGTTTAGTCTCTTTTGCTCAAGTTCATACATACTCCTGCGTAGTTCTTAACTGTTTACTGAAAAAACAATACAACAAATGGCATGACAAAAGGCCAAGCGTCTATTCTCTTGAATGTTCACTAAACTTTTGTCAAGATATAAGAATTTAAGATAAAGTACTGCACTGCTGCGTGCCATGTTCTGGTATACTATTATTGACAGTTTTCTAATGATTACTATATGCGTACTGTACACATTAGAAATAGTTGTTGATATAAAAGAAAGCAAAATAAAGAGGCGGCAAAAAAAAAAATAAACTACTTTTCGTTGACGGATACTGCCTCGTTTAAAGCAGGACTCCATTTTTCCACAAACTGCCGAATGCCGAGACACTGCATCATGGAGGGTGAGCGTGCAAATGCATCTACTAATCCGATCATTCCATCACGGCAAGGTATCTGTACATGCTGTACCATCTTGTTTCCAAAATATAGCACCGAGAAAGCAGCAGACAGCGTATCCAGCAGCTGGAAAACACAAAATCCATCCAAATTGTCAGCAAAAACAACAAATAAACTCAAAAAAGGCTGTAAACAAATATTATTTACCTCGATGATCATGCAACGATCGTTTGCTTGAAAAAATGTCCATACAACCTTGACTAGTCCAAATCCTGCGCGCATACTCTCCATCAATGCCGTCTCGACCTGGTCCGCTGTGGATGGCGACGTTGGTTCATGGAAATAGTCTGTCCATCCACGATCCCGAATCCGCTCACCATGATGCCTTGCGAACGCCTGCATCATTTCCGACTGATGCCGCTGCAGTTTTCCCGCAAAATAGATGGCATGCAAGCGAAGCGCGCAGCGATCCTCGAGCGAGTTCAGCTGATTGTACCGAAATGTTTTGCGGACTTTTTCCCGCCATCTATCCAGTGAAGACCCGCCCTGCTGGTAGCCACCGCCAGTGATGCGCAAGAGTCCTTCGATTTCAATCTCGAGCTCCTGCACTTGTAGTCGTTCGTCTATGTTCTGTGAATTACTCTGCTGCAATCCAAGCCAGCGTCGTACACGATCGTTGTCGTCGTTATCATCGTGTTCATCAATCGTGTATTGTATCACCGGTGATGTCAATGTCCGCATTGCAAACAATAGGTCAGCCTGCAGCATCCACGCCCGTAGTCGTCTCAAATCCTGTTGTCCGCTGCTGTTCTTTTTCTCCTGGCTCAGTAGCATGTGGGTATGTCTCTCTGCGAGAGACAGCAAGTTCCGGTGGTTGTCTTGGGTGTCGCCTGTGGCGACCAAATAAAGATGCATCAAGACTAGTGTTTCGATCGTCGTTTTACTGCAGCAGTCGAATTCTACAAGTTCGTGTGCGAGTCGGTAGCAATCGCGTGCAAGCTGGTCCATGAATGGATAAATGCCAAACTTATCGGGGTGACAGATCATGGCGTGGATGGCGCTATACGCATACAGGGCGCAGATCAGCGCTGGGTGGATCTTCCCTGATAGCCGAAAAGCTTGTCAGTTGTATTGCATGCATCACACATGGTGACGGCATCTTGTATCTACACACATACGCACGCTCCGACCCCTGAAAGCATTCTTCTCTTACCTTGATAATAAGATTCTAAAAACCGAGTTTTGTCGATACGCAAATAGGAAGTACATTTGAGATGCAGTCGGACCAAGTCATCAAACACCGAGGGTGGATACTGGCACAGCTGCTGTGCAAAGTACTGAAAGGTCCCCGGACTGCTGATGATGCTCGCCGGCGTGTCCTCACCCGCACCGCCACCATACGGAATCATCGGCTCACTTCCCACTGCGTTGGTATCACAGCATGTAGTGGTGCTCGTCGTCTTTGCTTGCTGCTCCATGGCCGTAGCCACTGGGCTCGGCAGCTGGTTGCGAATGTCCGAAAGGGTTCGGTACAACTCCCCCAACGTGCGGATATTAGTTTCAAGTTCAAGCAGGGACCGTCGTCGGCTGCCGATCGTCCATCCATTTGGTAACCATTCACCCTCCTTTTCTGCCTGCTGTGTGTCGCCACCAAGACAAGCAGGCCCTGATGGTCCTTTTGTCTCATCGTTGTCATAGTGAAGAGAACCGTTGCCACCGTGATACGGAAACTGTGTAAGGAAGTCGATCGCGTCCGCTGCGGTCGCTGTCGTCGTCGTTGTGGTTGCGGTGTAGTGGAACGTTAACGGGGGTACCATTTCACGTCGATGGGCTGCTCCAAGGGCCGTAGCTATTATACATCGTTAAGAGCAGACACGCAGCCGTTTGTGAGAAAAAAGAAAAACGGAACGCCGACGTAGACGAGACGCAGGCTCAGTTCTTTTGAGGTGGGTATTCGTTAGTGGTTTACCAGTGTTTCCAGAAGTTGTGTGGAGAGCCATAAGGATAGAGAAGTTTTAGTGTAGCGTTGGAAGTTGGAAGAGTGAAAAAAGGAGCGAAATACGAAAGAATAAAGTTGGCAGTTATATAAATGGGACGCATGCATGAGAAAAAAAAAACACAAAAAAAAGCTTCTCCATTTTTTTTGGTGCGTATCAGGACTATTGAGCAACACCGCTTTTGGCGTAAATGCATCGATTCTTACTGGTCCCAAGAAAAAGGTGCAAACGAGCATAACAGGCCACCTATTACACATTACACATTGCAGCACAGAGTGAGTATGCGTCAGCAATATGCTCTGAAGTAAAATTACTGCGTGCGTATATCACACACACACACATCTCTTTCGCACAGACTGAATTTTTCAGACCTTGTCAAAATTTTTTCTTCAGCCGCTCCATGTGTTACCTTGCCCAATTTGACCTATTGTTCGCCCTCACACAATGCAGTGACATGCATATGGTTTTCTATGGTATGTACGCTATATCAGCTTCTTTGCCTTGACGCTACACATGGGCTACTATATTAATACTAGATACAAATACAGATACAAGAGGGACGACCTATCAACGTCGATCATTGCCTCTTTCAAGTTCCTCGTTTCCCCTCGAATTAAATTTCTACGCCACATGCTTTTCCTTTTATTGAAATAATGTTCATGATTTTCTACCCAAGAAAACACCTAGTGGCGACGTAGCGCGTGGTCGGCCACCATTCAACGCATGCGATGACGAGGATGGAGGCTGTTGCGAGGATGCTTTCCAGCCGCTAGATGCTGATGATGAGCCGTCAAAGGAGCTTCGTCGTTCATTCATAAACTGCCGTGGTGCATGTAATGCTGTTGTGTTTGCTGATGTGGCACTGCTGCCGCGAAAGTCCGTATTGGAAGGAGGTGAAGGAGACTTGTTTGTATATTGAGAATGGTATTGCTGCTGTTGTTGCTGGGAAAGATGGCCCAAATCCACATAACCGCCCGACGACGAAGACGCGTCATCCTCTGCCGCATGGAACGAGGCGAGCTGCTTTAATCGTGTTATTTGATGTACCAACGGCTCCAATTCTCGTGTTAAGGCTGCTGTGGCAGGCTCAATTAAATTATTTTGCAGTAACGTCTCGTGTTCGACCTTGACTGCATGCAGTGCCATCCTTTTTTCCTCGAGCTCCTTATCTAATTCTTTCCTTGTCTTCTTGAGCCCACCGACTTGTACTTCTAAGCTCTGGAGCTCCTCCTGAAGTCTTTCGATTTCGGCTTCCAGTTTGTCCTTTGTGGTTGATAACTTGGTATGTAGTTCGATCAAATAATCCGTTTCTTGTGCTGTTGCTGCTGCTCGATTGTGTTGCTCTGTTGTAGCCCCGCTTGCTTTATCGCTATTATCTCTGTTGCTAACGCCTCCTTGCTGTTCCAAATGCTCGACAGCGCGTAGAACAAGATCTTCAATCATGCGGTACATGACGCCCGTATATTCCTCCAAGTGCTCTCGCATGCTCGACATGGACTTATCAAAATGTGTTCGTGCGTTTTCCTCGTATCGTTTCATTAGTTTTTCATCCTTGTCGTCGCTCTTTTTCTGTTGTTCCCAATGCACATCCAGATGGCTGTTGAATGCACTTTTGACGGCTCGTCGAACGGTTTCTTCCATTCCCGTATTGTCGTATCGATCCAGCACTCGTAGTGTACGTTCAATGAAGCTCTGCGTCCCCATTACAAGCTCTTGAATCTCTTGTAACGTCTGCTGCTGCTCCTGTTGATTGCTGCTGCTGCTGTTGTTGCGACTGGTGCTTGGTGCTCCATTATGAAGTGCTGTGCTCTTTTCATCTTCGCCACTTTCAGCGTTATTATCTGTAGCTCGCGGGATGGGCTTCTTGTACAGTCGGTCTGCCATAACAGAAAGTCTCTCGACAGTTTGTTCCAATTGATCGGACAAAGCCGGCAAATCAGGAATGCTGCTTGCTTCTATCTGCGTGATGACATGTTGCAGAAGCTGTCCAAGAACTTTGAGGTTCTTATCATGTTCTTCCTGACCACGTGTCTGCATCTCGTCTGTGCTCTTTTCCACGGCTTCAATAATAGTTTGTTGATGGTTGGTCATGTACTCGTCAAGCTTGGTTAAAATTTCTGTAGACTGGCTCTGCTGTCCTTGCATGATGGATTCTAATTGCATTGCAATAGCATCACGTAATTGTTTTTGGGATTCGGTCGAAGAAGAATCGTCGCTTTCCTTATTATTGGTTGTCATCAGTTTGTCTTGCAGTTCTTCCAACATGGATTGGACGGCTTCCATTCTTGCTTTATCGATATGAACAGCCTTGTTCTCGTCTTCGGCTTGCTCCAGGTAACATGTCATCAATCGGTTCTGCGAAAGCTGAACCATTTCAACCATTTGCATCATCACATCGAATTTTCCTGCAAATGTAATCTTTTTGTTGCTGTTGCTGTCATTGTCTTTAAAGTCGCTAAGCTCTTGTTCGTTGTCGTCATCATCGCCACTCAACTCATGTCGCAAGGCCATAACTTGTGCGTTCAGCTTTTCGACCGCGTCAGCGTTACCATCGTGTTGACTCTTATTGTTGTCTTCAAAGAACCGCATCATATCGATTTGCAGGTCGGTCCATCCCTTGCGTGCTTCACCAAGTGCATCATTGAGCTTGTTTACCCCTGCTTTTATTTCGACAATATGGCTCTGGACAAGTGGACCGGATTCGCTCTTGATCTCTTCGCGAAGCGCGTGCAAGTTGTACCGGACCTGGGCAACGGTGTTCTTGATAGATGACTCTTGATTATTTTTATCCTCCTCATCATTGTCACTGGAGGAGCTGGTGTAATCGTCGTCCCGTCTTCGACGTCGTCTATGGTTGCTGCTACGTGTCGACGGCTTGCGCTTGGACTGGTGATGGTAGTATGCGTGCTGCTGCTGCTGCTGTTGTTGTTGTTGATGCTGCTTGCCCTGTTTCTCCAGCACCTCCACACGCGCACGCCACTCAGCCACTTCCATCTTGTGTTGCGCAATGGCATCCGTATACATTTTTTGCTGCTCTTCCATATCTTCCTCGTGCGATTTCTTAGCGCGCTGCAACTCTTTCTCCAATCCATTTGCTTTCGTCCGCCATACGTTCAGCTCCCCTTCCAGAAGTTCACACCGAGTATCCATCGCCTGCTGCATATCATCCAGGTCATTTGCCATTTCTTTCTCACGTACACTGTGCTCTCCTTGGCGTCGATGAGCATCTCTTTGCAAGGCACTTATTTGATTATGCAATTGATCATTTTCGGATTGTAAGCTGTCGACGGCGGACTGCAGCTCCCGGTTGACTTGGTCAGCGCTAACGATGCGTGATTGCAGCTCGGTATGCGTAGCCATCGATACTTTACCCATAATCGATGTCAGCGCATCGATCCATGCTTTACGTGTGGCAATATCGTCGGTAGCTAGGATCACGTCGTCGCGTTTCACAAGAATACGGAATTCCCATTTGATGCCGGCCCGGTATTCTTGAGCTCGTGGCTCTACTTCGACGGCCTCGCTCATGTCGAATGTCTGGATATGACTCGAGAACTAGACAATTATTTTAGCAAAATTGTTCTTATCTTATTCAAAAAAACTTGATGAATCACCTTGTCATCCTTGTAGAGATACAGACCACCTGGCTTGATGGAATTTCCATGTTTTGCAACAGCATACACTTGTTTCCATTGCTACATGTACCGAGCGAGCCACGCCTTTAGTATAAAGCTCATCTCACCGCCATCATTCCATAACAGTGTCATAAAAGCTAGCTTACCATGAGTCCGTTCTTCCGATACACCCATCCTTCGCGTGCAACCTGCGTAGAGGCATAATCAGTAAGTGATTCATTATACGCATCAAATATAGATATAAGCTGCTATTTCTCTACACACCTTGCCCTCTTGGCTTGCTCCTCCTGTACTCAAACGTCTTCGCGGCGGGGCTTGCGGGCTCTTGATGGATGCTCCGGACGTAGACAGTTGATCTGTTCGAATCGAAGCAGGATGGGGCTGCGCCGTCATTCCACTATTTCCTCCGTCTTCCATACGCTGTTCTTGCTCTTCCTCATCATCGGATTCTTGGTGAGAAGGGGAAGCAAATCGCTGTATCACAAGCGGGGATGATGAACGGCCCGTGGATCCGCTTTGGATACTGCTATTGCTGCTGTGAGCCGAACTATGCGAGCTCCGGACGGAACCCGACGGACTGGGCCCTTCACTGGACTTTTGCATCAGCCATTGATGCTGCTGTTGCAATGCTGCTACGGATTTACCAGCAGGTACAGGACGGCGAGAAAGCTTGAATTCGTCGGCGGTTGCTGTTTTCGTAGGGTTAGGTGATTGACTGTACGACATGGCCACACTGCTCGGGCGGATATTAGGATCGGAACGGCGCCAGTCTTTGCTGCTGCTATAGTTTCCGTACATGTAGTTTTAAAAGATGTTGTTGACTAGAATACGGAAAAAATTAAAGAGAGGATAAAGAAAGATGGAGTTTGTGAGTGAAAGCGTGTGTGTGTGTATTCAATGAAAGCATATGCTAGACAACAAGCAGTTTCCTTTTTTGGAGAGAATGAAAATAATGCCGGATTTTGGATTATTGTTGTTGCCTCTACATATGCTCTTTCTATCATCGACGCATCAGATCAATCATAGAAATACATTCTTTCTATTTATAACAGCACGCGTTGTGTGAAGTTGCATCGAACAATGATAAGCAACGACGATGGACGTAACTCTTTCCATAAGTGCAAAAATTTGCCTGCTGCTTATGCACGTAGGTCAGAAAACGTTAAAAGCTCTTTCGCTTGCTGACGCATATATTGGAAGCGGTTTTTGATATGGTACAAAAGACTCTAATCAATCATGTATATGTTCTTCTGGCACGAATCGACTTACATTTTCGATTTCTGACAGCAGAGCTATTACGTGACGACTCTCTTCCATTACTTTTGTAACTCTGCTTGTCGTGACAGCTCACTTGGTCTATTGTTAGCAATACATCACCCTTCCATTTTATGATTATATAAGTTTGGTAGCAATCAAAAGTTCATACTATCTCTGTTATCAAAATATAGAAAACTTAACGACTCCAATGGCACACACTATTACATATTTGAAACGTAAATCTTGGATTCAATGGTCCTTTGGACCAGCAATTATATAAGATCCTCTACGTTTCTCCTAGCGCAAAGTTGACAGCCATTACTGCATATAGTGTCAATAACTAGATTTTGAAGCAAAAATGGGCCGTACATTGATTTGGGTCTAATTTGAATGTTGTACCGAGTTGCATGATGTATGTACAACGTACTAGGTGCTTCCTTCTTGAGCCGCTACGATACACACGCAGGTTGTTGTTTGAAACTGCTCCTATCATAGTTCCATTCAATTGCAGTGGCGATATTTGAAAAAAGAGCTATCCACAAACTATAAATATCTATATATAGATGGCTTTTTTAAGTAGTGATGAGCAGCTAATCAACCATTTTTTTCTCAATTAAAATCAATATCCGTGGATATTGTACTGTATCAGTTCGAGCTTCAAAATTCAAAGTGTGGTTAGTCGTTGTCATGGTGAGCTAAAAGAGATAACCATAGCAACAGACAAAAGGGACGTAACTAAGTACATAATAGCGATGGATTTAACATGTCAGAACTATTACCATCCCACTAAATCTCCCCAGTATATACATCAAACAGCCGAAATAAACAAAACAATCAACAGCAGCAAATTCCTTGTTTGTCAACCTCAAACTTCCTAAAAACAAACATGCCGCTTTTGGGAGTGACAGCTTTGATAGCTTAAGAACCTTAATAATAGTATAGGCCAACTAAGCGGGGTGTTGAGCAAGCAGTGGGAAAATTTGGATAAGCAGCAAGCAAAACCCTTGACCTTTTTATCCGGCGCGCTTCCTCTTCCACTTTACTGCTCTCTCTGTCTCTCTCTCTTTCCTCTCCTCACCACACACACACACATACTCTTACGCACACCCAACCTCTACTCCCTCGTACATTCGAAACCCACTTAGCTAAAACATACATACACATACCGCTTTTGTCTACGCCTGAATTCGAGGGAGTTCTGGGATTAAGAGCAGAATATAGCCGACGACACCAACAATTATAAACTCTAACGAAAAAAACCAAATCATGGACAATCATTCTCGACGTTACCCATACGGTTATGGCCAGCCATCCGGTATATCTGAGTCAGCACCTGCACATTCCTCCCATCTTCCACCTCCTCCGCCGCAAAATGCACAGCCATTGCCGTCCAAAGAGATATATCAATACGACGCACCATGGCCTTTGTATGCGCTGGACTGGTGTAAAGTGCCTCATGAACGGAAAGGGTTTCGGATGGCCATTGGAAGTCTCATTGAAGAAAGTAACAACAAGGTATGATTGTATAACCAAATATGTCTGTACTCCCTCCCCCCTTCCGTCGGGTCCACCCGTTTTCGATCCTCTTTAGAGTTCCCATACAAATTTAGGAAGATACACACAGATACCAGTTTAAATAATCGATGTTTCGTAATTAGCTACAAGTGATTGCACGCACTGATACGCTTGAAGGAGCCAATGTATACTCTGGTCAGCCCACGCCTGACTTTACAGTAGTCGCAGAAGCGGGTGTACATTATCCAACAACGAGGGTGTTATGGGAACCTTGGAGAGTAAGTTTCTTTAGGGGAAAGAGCTAATGCCAGGAGAAATGGAAATAAGGATGAAGGGCTAAACGTGTGTATGGTAATCATTTAGAGCGATTCCTGGCGCTCAGATCTTCTTGCTACAACGGGTGATATTTTGCGAATATGGGAACTGGTGGATCATCCACGGTACGGAACGACAAGCAACTCCATCAACAGCTCGAGTGGGCGAAACAGTCCACCTTATTACATGCAGCAGCTCGTGAAAAAGGCCGAGCTAGCAAACGTAAGATATACACGATGGGGGGTTTTTTTATATAATACACTTTATTAAAAAAAGGGATGAGAGGTTAATTTTGGAAACCACCATTCATTGTCTAGACAAAACAAACAGACTTCTGTGCACCATTGACATCGTTTGATTGGAACGAGACAGATCCATCATTAATAGTGACATCAAGTATCGACACAACATGTACAGTGTGGAACGTCGAGACAAATCAGGCAAAAACACAGCTCATTGCTCATGACAGCGATGTGTATGATGTGGCGTTTATGCATGGATCGCCGGATATATTTGCAAGTGTGGGTGCGGATGGTTCTGTACGATTGTTTGATTTGAGGTGACTATAACGTCCTTTACTATAGATTGCATATGACAACAGTTGAAACATTTGTTTTACTAACAAATGGGTGGGTTGCATTATCGACATAGATCGCTAGAACATTCGACGATCCTGTATGAAGCAGCACCCAACGGTGCGAGTGGAGGAAGTAATAACCATAGCACTCCTGGTGCACGCAGCAACGGCAACATGGTGAATGCAGCAACATGTCCACTTTTGCGTCTACAATTCAACCGCAACAACACCAATTTACTGGCAACATTCCACATGGATTCCTCCTCCGTACTCGTCCTCGATATCCGTTACCCAAGCACACCCACCGCAGAACTCGTCAAGAGCCACCAGGGCAGTATTAACGGAATCAGCTGGTCTCCGAGCCAGGCCGGGCAACTGTGCACTGGCGGGGATGACGGACAAGTGCTTGTATGGGATATCAACAATGGAGGAGCAGGAGGCGGCGCTGGAGCAGCGGCAGCTGAGCAACATCAACACAACTCGCATCATTCACGACAACAACAGTATCATCAACAGCAGCGATATAGCCAACATACCCCACGATCTATCCAGGATCCCATTTTAGCGTACTCTGCTGGATCTGAAGTCAGTTCACTCTCATGGAGTAAAGGCGTGCCTGACTGGATTGGTATTGGATTCGGAAGAACAGTGCAGGCGCTGCGCGTATGAAAGAAAACAAAAAGAACAAACAAAAGACCGTGATTACGTGTTTCAAAAAAAGTAAAATTGTAGATGTGTACATATGAAAGAATGCTTGTTATGTGTCAGAAATGGGTGAGGATGAGGGTGTATCTGAGGCGAAGGGCCCGGGTATATACGCAAGGTGACGGGGGTGTATTATAGGTATCAAAAGGTGGGTCTGGAAAGAGATTAGAGATTTGGGAAGAGAGTTTCAAAATGTCTATTATCGAAGAGTCGCCAGCAGGACAAAGATCATGGATAATGTGACAATGGTGATGAACGGGCCCCAGTGCCGGACTCGGGCCCATACGGCTTCGGTCCGTGTGGTCGTACGAGCTTGCGCTTGCAGGATCTCGAGCCGATCCGCCATACTCATGCTCTTGCTAAATCCTTCAATCGACGTCGTGATCCGCTCATGCTGCTCTCGTAGAACTTGAAGTTGAGGGACTCGATCATCAGTTTCTTTCAACATGGATTTCAAATTTATAACGCCATCGAGTCGTCCAAAAGTGACGGCTGCATTGACGCGCTATACTCGTTAAATGGAGTAAGTAAAAGTGTTACACAAAATGTACGTGTATCTTGGCAAAATTATTCTTCTTTCTTACTTCAGTTTGAGCGTCGAGGTACTTAAGCTTCTCCATGTATTCTGTGATCTCTGCTTTGTTTGATTCAATCTTTTGCTCTTCCAAATGTATCAGGTATTCGAATCGAGAAATGCCTTCTTTTAAATGACCTACGAGTTTCTGTGCGTTTCTAAACCATATATCCATAAACTAGGTTATTAGACATTAAGATGTTCGACTTGACTAGCATTACGGCTACTGCTACTAGTAATTACGTACATTGAGGCGATGCTTTCATGGTCGAAACAGGGCGCTTGGGACCCAGTAGGGTACCAATCAGTAGGTACGACAAAGTTTTGCATCTGGGATTTGATTTCATGCAGGTCGCACGAGACCTCAGGTGTTGATGGCGCTGCAGATGATGATGACGATGACCACATGTTTTTCTTGGTATTTCTTTTGATTCGTGGCCGATGTGATGCTGCGTCGGTTAATTCGGATACCTCGGTATATGCTGTATACTCGGGTGATACTAAGTAAACAAAGGAAAAAAGAGGGGGTCAATGCACTCGCCCACACACACGCACGAATAAGTTAATTACACTGTGCTGCCCGGCGATAGACTTCAGCAGTGGTCGTACTGTTGCTGATGCCAGAAGAGTCTTTTCGTTTCAGCCGACGTACGCTATTCATAAGACGCGATACCCCTAGAATAGGATTTGGCCGTTTGCTGTTAACAGCAGGAGTAGCAGTAGCAGCAGGAGTGCTTAGTTGTCGTTGTCGTTGTTGTTGCTGTTGTTGATAATGATAATGCTGCTGCCGTCCTCTTCCCCGTCGTCGCAGTGGTGGTGGTGGGGGTGCTGGTGGTTGCTGCTGTCGAGGAAACGAATTTATAAACGGCTGAACCAATGCCGGATGTCGCCACTGTAATGAGGTAGTTGACAATGACGCGGCTTGAACATGGCCCAATTCAATCAAATTCCTGACTTCTTCAAACTCCATACTATGTGAGGAAGTATATAAGGTACAACAAGAAAAAAAGAAAAAAGAGAGAAGATATTAGTTGCCCATTTACACACGCTATTCGCTTGCCCTGAAATCTCTCTCTTTCAAATACACTCTTGTCTTTTTTAGGTAATTGGATCCCAAATCGGGTCGTGTTTGCATTCGCGACCTTCCACCTGATTAGGTGATCAACTGGAGATTCTGAGCGGCAAACCAAACGAGCAATTTAAAACGCACACACACAACCCTCGCGTTCTATATATTGCCGACCGCCAAGACTTGAACTGAAGGGGTTCGTATCAAAGGCAGTATAATTAACCTGTTTCAGTTCACTAAATAAATAATGAACGATTGGGGTGTAAATTGTATATGTCTTGGCTTAAAATTAGCAAAACATTATGCAGTGTATCTATCGCCAATTATCACGTACATGCAATGTTGGCCAATGATAATCCCATATTTGTGTTATCTCAATGTTTGTTCATATTGCCTTTCCAATAGCACAATGAAGAAGTTTAAAAGTATTGTCATCCTCAAATCGTCCCTCTGACCATTGAGCTTTAGTAACATATACATTCTTCACCATATTGACTTCAAGACTATTCAATCTCTGTCTAATTATTGATTCACCTCGAAATATCATACACGCTGAAAAACAATAACCACCAGTCTCCATAAAAGCTGTGACGATGTTCTTAAGCGGGGTAAGCTTGGATTGGACTCTAATGTGGTGCTTTGTCTCGCCCAGGGTCCGATCAGAATAAATCGTATCCACTACACGTCATAGCATGCGTAAAGATTGCAAAGCGTAATTTCCGATTATCTATTTTCGTGCTACAGCGCATTATAAGGTAAGAATGAATGATACTAACTTCGCGCCTCAATCAAGATTAAGAAAAAAGGCAGCGGATTTCAGGTCAAGTAACTACTGTATATACATATAATGAGCAGAAACTCTTACGAAAGTTTTAGAGGTTCGGACATTTCTAGGATCTGGAATATCGGAGCACTGCTGGGAACAAATGCTGACTTCTGGCGGCAAAGATGACGGTGATGCAAAAAAGAAGATGTTGTCAGCAAACGCACACTCTCCTTTGCGTTTTGTTTCTTGTCCCAGATATTTGTTTTGTTCACAGTCTTTATTTCACAAATACTACGATTCACTGATGCATAAAACGAGAACTATACCAGAACAGCTTATCTGAGTTTGCTGAAATGACGATCAATGTTTCTGAAGTATGTCAAAGGCGCTCAGAGTACATTGTTAGGAACACTGAAAGTCCTACAGCGAGTTATACGAACATCTTTTCTCAAGTATGCGGATCCACTTATCCCTTCACAATGAAATGCGCATTAGACGACACAGATGACGCAAGCTTTGTGGAGTGGATATATGTTGGATTAAACAAGACTGCCTGCCAAACCTAGGTGATGTTCAGACCTTTCGACAAGGCATATATTCCGCCACCTGATGAAGTACGCCAATGACGTTTGAAAGCAGCTACAACCAAGTAAAGCCAATCGCTGTAACAACTATATACAGGTTCAATTACGAGCGCTTGCTCTTGAAAATTGCAAAGGTGGCCTTCTTAAAGCAGCTTCCCACCTCTTACTGGGCCCAGAAGCACTTGGTGCTATCATAAAGTCATCCATCATCGAACGACACAAGTGCTTTAACACTATGAACGCCTACAGCGGAAGTTTCGGTGGCAGTTAGTAGCAGTAGCAGTATTTTCAAGATTGATGATAACAATTTTTTGGCGACGACCCGACAATGAGGATGATTCACTCTACTATCACGAAAGGTCTACATAAAACAATATTTTTAACTTGACAGTACCGTGCATGTTCTAAACAATTTTATGATGAAACACATGAATAATTTAAACGGATACAAAAAGCTTTGCAGGAGAGGGATACTTTGAGATAAAATGTAAGAATTAAGATCTTACAAGTGACAGTGTGAGCAATACAAAAGTGCAAACGCCCACGCCCTACGTAATTAATGTTGCCTCCATTGTTGGATCTACCAGCAGTGATAAGTCGAGTGCAAGCCGTAAAACAGCTGCTATTTTACGAAATGTTGAGCCTGAGTAAAGATTAACAGATACGTATGGACGCAGCAAAAGAAGTCATCTATGAAAACTCACGGAACGATTAATCGAAAGAAGATTATCGAGAAAGGTCGTAAATAAGGCTATTGCATAATGTACGCGAAGCTCTTAACAGTTTAAAGTCGATATATCGAGAAATGAAAGCAGAAGCCCAGTGATGATTATGAATTTGTCCTGAAACACCACACACAAATTCACATAAGGCATATATATCTTTCACTTGCACTATATCTACTACAATAAAATCTTAACAGATGAGCATCTAACTTGGTCATTCTAAAGAGACTACAATATTACTTACTGATCTAGTGAAGTGAAGCATATCTATAGTACTGAAAGGATGAGGAGGATCGAAGGATCGTGATATTCTGCATTCATAACGGAGAGAAGAGATCAGACTTAGTGAAATGATGTGTGTCCAAGTATGATCAGGCTTGTAGTGCAGCTTTCATCGATTGGTGGTCAAGTTTGAATGCTACATTAATATTGACAGTGCACCTTTTGTTTCCTGACCCGCCGCAGAATATGTAATCTTTTTGCAGAATATCGCCTATTGATAATAAAAGCACCCATGGACAATGAGTTCCCTTTATATCTGAACATGCCCTACCCATAGATTTGTGGACACTAGGTTCTTAATGAAATAATTACCTGAGTATTGTATGTAAGAATAGTAAATAAATAGTAACGGGACATATGATAAGTTTAAATGATTATCTTCACTATCATCATTATTCATTATCACCATCACCTGCCTTAATTAAAGATGTACAATGAAGGATCATGTATGTTTGACGCTATGATTGAACAGTGGCACCATTGGTATCTAATAGCAACATGTGCTGTGTGATGTGTGGGATGAAGCCAACTGCACGCATGCATGCAGCTGGCTAAGGGGGTGGCCCACCAGCAGCAAAAGCGGCAGCGGCGGCAGCAGGCATACGTTTTGCATATGTAAGCGTTTCGGATGCTATTGAGAAAGGTTCCTCTCTCAGTCTTGTAATATACATTAGACGGAAAGCATAATGTATGTCGGGTTTCCCCGAATGATGGCCGTGTAACTATGCATCAGGGTCTTAATGCTGCTGAAAGGGAATAAAAGACCTATGGGAATGAGTAATTCAACTACATAAGACACCGGACCCCCAAATGTTGCGCTTTCACACATAGAATCTGCTCGAATTGACCGATGCCCAGAGATATGCAGATCACGTCAAATTTAAAATTATCTGCCTTTGCTACTACTACTTTTCTGGTTGATCACCATCATCTTTTACTTAACAAACACTGAAAAGGGCTTATTTACTCTACAAGGATGTAGAAGTATCATGTTTGTTTTTTGAAGTAATGTTTGAGCCCTCTTCGCCTGAGTTTCATAGTGTACAATAATCGAGGACTCTTTTTTCCCGTTGGCGTGCCACACCTCCTTCAGTAGTGCGTGACTCAGCTCGACAATGGGTGATATCAGAAAAAGCACTATTTTTAGAAGGCTTGATGATAGAACCCATTTACTGTATATGGTAATAAAAACAGGTATCATTTTTTTTAATAATCCAGAATCAGCTACTACATGTTCTATCTATAGCTGTTTACGCTATCAGATAAATGTAATTTATTCGTAGAAATATGCGGTCAACGAGCCATTTGCATAATACGTTTTCTTCGTACGGTTTTCCGGATGGAAAGAAAAAACTTGGCACGCGCCAAAGTACATAAGGTTTAGAAGAAAAGGAGAAGAGCATACTTGTTTGGATCTTCTCACAATACAGCAGGCACTACTTACTATCATGATAACTGCATCAGCATATACACACACACCTCCGCAATGGTAGCAGAGTATCTTGATCATTATTGCGCGAATAGCCTTAAAAGACCTTTGGGTTTTTAGAAGTTTTGTCACGTTTCTTCTCATAGAGGGAGTGTTTATTGATTGCGGTCAAGCCAATAGATGGATCCTGTTTTCGCCACCATGATTTAAGCTTTGGTGCTGTTAGAGAAAGCCCCCTTTAGTTTGTAGTATGAGCATACTAGCTACTTACCGCACATATGGATTTCTTCGTTATCAATCTTTATTTGAGGTCTTTCGTATAGGTCGATGATGTGCACATACTAAGTGACCTCTTCTTGTAGACGATGTTTTGGAAGAATTTAGCGTTTGATGCCTGGACGGTGGATCGGGACACGACAAGAGGCATCCCGATTTGTGGTACCAATGATGTAGCGGGTGTAATTGCGATGTACCTAAAACACCTACCATTTTGTAAGCTGGAAAAATTCCCCATTGTTTGTGTATTGTCGTCACATTGTATGTTGTTCTTGAAGGAATTAAATGTTGAGGGGCGGGGGCACATAAACACAAACACACACACACGCACACACGTCCACGAGCTTCTTTTTGCGCATGTACAGATTATATATACATTAGCTATTACTACTAGTATTACGTATGATGTCTTCCCCCCCCCCAGTTAGGTACAGATGTTCTCTCCTTAATTCCAAAAAAAAAAAGAGACAAGAGTACTGAGGAAATCGCCACCCTTGCATCTTACTGGGTTCTCGCCACCTGATTGATTGGCTGGACCCTGATGATAGTTACCGACCTTGGAGCAGATGCAAAAGCGGGGTAATCGTTTTGGGGGAGGGTAGTAAAAAAAAAAAAAGGTGTGGAGGAGCAACAGTCGGACGGAGCAAAGAGGAATTCAGGAGGTTGGGATTGTCAGGGATGCAAAATGTGGGAGGGCGCATCCATTCGAACTCAAATTTGGGACTCTACCCCAGGGCGAGACGAGCGGTGGGGGTTGTGAGAAGGGCAGGTAAGAAACCAAGGTGGAACGATGTCTTTTTCTGTGCTGCTTCTTCTTCTTCTTGTTGCTGCTGGACACAACAATAAAACCGATGGAAGGATCGACTGGAACACTTGCCAAAAAAACCAAGAAAAATTAACCTCATGATGCAGCCAATTAACGGGATAAAACCTTCAAAATCATTCGCTCTGTTACCCAATGCAGTAGTCGCGCCTGCCTTATTTGGACAAGTCAGCTCACGCAGTTTCAAGGAGAACTTTTTCTTTTTTGTTGTTGCCTGGACGACTCTCTGAGAGAACACTGCTCCTGCCTTGCAAGAAGAGGGTCAGTAGCAGCGCCAGTAAAGTGGGATATGAGACATAATGGCAATTAAAGAAGAAGAGGAAGCTGCTGCTACTATTCATAGTGTCTGTCTCTTGTTTTTGCATTGAAATTAAAAAGCCAAGATGAGACGCACACTCGCTGTTTTAGGCATGAGTTGCGGAACCTTTTTTGTTCTGTTTGAGCTGCAGAAATGGGATTGCCTTCAAGTGAGCAGCAGCAGCAGCAGCAGCAGCAGCAGCACAGCTTATATAAAACTGACGGTAACTCACGGCGCACGCATCCTTTTTCCATTTTTCCCTCTTTTCCTTTCCTTTTCACTTTTGTTTCTCCTCAACACACCCTAGTGCAACATGCCTCCAGCAGAAGTGTTGGCCCATAGCCCACATCCGTCTCGCAGCAACAGCACCTTTCTTCGTCCTACGCAACAACAGCAACAACTACAACAACCGTCGTCATCATCAGCCCACCGAAAACGTAGCATCACCATGACTACCGCTTCCGCCGTCTCGCAACACAGCAAGCTTGCGGCGGCGCTGACTGCTCCTGAGGGTGGCGGCAACCGCTCCCGCCGCAACAGCACCGCAACCGTAAGCAGCACTACCACTACCACCAGCACTAGTACCAGCACCAGAAAACGCTTCTCGAACATGATGCTTCGCCGGCCGTCGCAATCGACCAGTGCAAGCAGCACCAGCAGTGGCAGCTCCAGCGACAGGAAATCGACGAGCAGCAACATGTCGAGACGCCAATCGCTGACCAGGGCAACCGCATCGAGTCTCGCCAAGGTGGTACCATCTTTTCACAATAAGACCACCAACGCGGAATCACCGAAATCTTCTTCCCAGCACAATGGTACTATCAATAATATTTTGGCGCGTCGGCGGAACAGCATGATGACACTGTCAAATGCTACGCAGCCAGCCACGCCAAAACCATCCGGGTCAACAGTAGCAAAATCAACATCCTATTCAAAGCTAGGTAGCGTACAGCCTGTTTTTTTATCTATGATAATAGCCTCGCTATAAAAGATTTTCTTTCTCTCCTGAATGGCACTTGCTAAATGTGGCTTAACACACATAAACGCAATACAGGTACAAACAATACCAGTGCCAATGATGCCAGTGCAAAGAACTCCAGTAACTGGTTTGGCTTACGACGTCCTTCCTCTCCAGCCATCCCCAGCCCGTCATCATCTTCTGCTCAACCTTCACCTCGTCTACGCAGGAACTCAATCATCCCCCCATCATCATCAACATCAGCAATAACACGAGCAAAATCTCATCATCCCAATCACATGCCACGGCAGCAGCAGCATCAGCACGACAAACACGACTCAAGGCTTGCTACATTGGCGAAACAACAACAACAACAACAACAACAACAACAACAACGCACAAACACTGCACATCAGGAGACCGAAGCACCAGATAGATCCATTTCCAATTCATCTACGCTCAAGCCAAAAACCAATGTCCCCGCACGCCCTGCGGGCACAACCGCAACAGTCAAATCAGCAGTGCCAGTAGCACCAGCAGCAGCCACAGCAGCAACGGCGCCGCCAGCACCACCAGCTGACAAAGCTGCAACCGCAATTGTCGGAGCGCCCTCCGTTGCAGCATGTGCAGAGCATTCTGCAGCACAACAAGATTCCTATTTTGAACAGCATCATCCAGCTGAAACACCCCGTACCATTACCACTGCCTCGACCGTCATCAAAGCGCCAAGTGAAACTTGTTCGAGATTGAGCTCGCGTATGCTAGATAGTGACATCTCCATCGGCAGCATCGAGTCGCGTCGCAGCAGTGTTTCGAGTCTACGAACCGTCCAATCCGCATGCCACCACAACAATACCACTAAAACGACTCAGCACCCTGCTTGGCTGGCTTCAGCTGGGTTCATGAGACGAACCAAATGCACTGCGTGTAATCCAAATAGCCATACCGACCATCGCCGCTCATTGTCTCGATCCAGCTCCATGTATGATGTTGCGCAGCCGCAAGCATCCACTCTGCGAAGACTTAGTCGCACATCTCTGACGGAAGACAATGGAAGTGTTAAAACAACAAACATCAACCGGCGCATTGCATCTGCAGACGGATTAATTGATCCGCCATTGACACCTATTCCAAACACTACCGTCGCCTTCATCAGACAACAACAGCAGCAACAGCAACTTTATGGCAACAATCGGTCCACTATGCCAACAGCGGCCGCTACTTGTGCTGCTGCCATGGCAGCCGCTGCTGCAGTGGTCAGTGCGGCAGCTGCAACCGCAGCTACTACCAATCCAGACTCGACGAATGAAAAGTGGATGCGACTTATTGGTAACTGCATCACGCACTCCAACAAGCTCGAGCGTCTCGCGCACGACCTGATCACCTCTGAACAGCACGTAACGCATATGTTGGAGACGCACGAGTCCATGGAAGACGCTCAGAAGTCTCGAGACCAGCAGTACCAGGTCCAGGTCAAGGAGTGCGAGACCCTCGTGAGGGTACAGCGCGAAATGCTGGTTGAAATGGAGGGTCTCCTCAGCGAGCACGGATTCAACAGAAAGGAAATAGACACAACACCACAACAAATACAGCATGACTTGACCACGCCGCCTCCATCGTCTCCTTCGACATCCTCCTCATCCTCGGTACCATCATCTTTAGCTGACCGAGACCCAAAACAGGAACAACAACAAACAACAACAAGCTCTTCATCTTCTTCTTCTTCTTCTTCTTCCGAGGTTGAAGATGATGAGGAGGACTCACAACAAGAAGAACATTCTCCTGCTCAGGAACAATGTGTCGAAAGATCCGAAAATGATCAAACACAGGAACCGGAGCCATCCGAAGACGAGCTGCAACAACAAGCTCATCAACAAGAACAAAAACATCATTCAAGGCAGCTGACCGAGTCCCCTGAGCCGTATCAAAAAGAACCAGAGCAACAACAGCAGGAGCAGCAGCAAGAAGAAGAAGAAGAAAAAGAAGACGAGATCGATAAGCCCTGGAGTGAAATTGTCGAAGACACCGTATCCCAAATCCGCTGGAACGTGAGTCAGTGGGTCGGTGGTGGTGTTGGCACCGGTCAAATCGTAAAGTGCGAAGTGGGTCCCGACGGATTGATGAGCACCATCATTGTTGCTGGTACTGGTGTCACAACTGAGCCCCGGCTGCTTCCAAAGGTAATATTGTCTCATTGTTTTTTGATGTTTAAATGATATCCTTTTTGAGACTGACTCTATCTTTTTGTGTTGATGCAGCATCTCATGCAAAAGCAGCAGCAGCAGCAGCAGCAGCATCGTCCAGATATATCCGTGTACTACCACCAATACATCCTTTATATTGAACGGGAAGATCGGAAGCGCCACTTTACGCTGATGCCCAGTGCTCAATGGGTCCAAGATGATCAAGTAAAGTGCTGCCAGTTCTCCTATACTGACGATTCATCATCATCATCATCACCATCAACCCATATCCAATGTAAGTCCGGGTTTGACTGGCTTGCACGGCGACACCACTGCCGAAGGTAAATACATATTATCTGAGAAATCATGTGGACGGGTACTTATTAGAGCACACGCCATATCATCTATCCTGATTTTGTGTTTGCATTTAACTATCTAGGTGTGGTCACATTTTTTGCAATACACACAGCAGCAACCGCCTCCCACTCTTTGATGCACAGAACGCCAAGGCAGAATGGTCTCGCGTCTGTGATGGCTGTTTTTACGCCTTGGCTGGCTCGTCATTGTTCCATCCTTCTGAAGATCGATGAAGCACTCTATACATAGCAAACTATACCAGATTTCTCACCTTCCTTCCAACTATATACCATCTCTCCTCGCCCTCCTTTTTTTAGTTTCTCTTTTAATCTAGTTTATTTCTCTTTTTCTTTGTACACAATTATTTCTCTCTCTTTTTTATATTACCGTGAATATATTGCTTCTTTATACAGGTTGTTGAGCAGACGTAAATCATTTTCAAGCGTTTCTATGTCTAGTTCAAATCCTCTTGCTCGTTGTCTATCATTAAATAGTAACCATTATTAATATAATTTAGCTCATTGTTGTTGTGAATTAGTGTCTTTTTCAAATATGACGTAATAATTGCTCCTCCATACCTGTTTTTCTCCTTGATTTGCTCTGGTACCGATTCCGCGTACCCATCCTTATTCATCCGCGCAGCCAATTTTTCTGCGTCCTTTTTGACCTTTTCCAACTTCTTACTGAGCTTCCCTCGTTTTCCCTCAATGTTCTTGACAACATCACCGCCCCGCTCGAGCTGGGCCCGGACCACGTGGTTGGTAGGAACCAGGATTTTCAAATTATCGTGAACAGCGCGCACGGTCCAGTCACCAGTGATCTTCAATCGAAAAGAAAAACATCCCACACATCAATATTTTGTTTTCGAGGAATTCTTGGACTCTGCAAATCCTTTACCTCTTCTTCAACGATCGACAATTTAGATCCTTTCACAAATGATTTGATTTCGTTCATATATAAACGCAGTGGCTCAACTAATTCGTAGTCATTGCAGTAGATCGTAAATGGGAGTTCTTTGCCTATACTGATTTGATGTCCTTGCCGAAGAGACCGTGATGCGTGGATGATGGAAAGTACAACCTATTAACCCGTACCATCAATACTTTCTTTTCTTTATGATTAAATCATTTGTTTTATATACCTTAAAATGGGTTTCAACCTGCTTGTTATGCAGTGGTGCAAGTTGTTCAATGGCAGGGTACGATTCTACCATGAGTGCTTTTGCATCGCCAGGGGATGGTATCTTTTGTTTCAAATGGTGCCACAATTCCTTTTTTCAAAAGCCAAAAAATACTTAAGTTATCATAACTATCGATCGTGGCAGTAATTACATTGAGTGCATACCTCTGTAATGAATGGCATGAATGGGTGCGCAAGTCGTAAGGATGCATCCATACAAGCATGTAGAATGTCTAATGTTGCCTCCTAAATATATCATAGGTAAGACACATGGTCTCCTTTTGCTCCTTTCAAAAGTCTTAGCTGTCTACCTTTTCACTCGGCTTAAGATCTGGTTTGTTGAGAGTGGCCTTGGAGAACTCGACATACACATCACATACGTCCTCGACAATGAAACGCCGTACAGCATCAGCCGAATCATTAAGACGGTAATTCTCAAACCCGTCAACGCATTTAGTAACAGTATCTGCCATGCGTGACAAGATGAACCGATTGACAAGCGATAGATTCATATTCTTGGCCAGATCTTGTAATGACTCCACTGTATTATCCCGGGGATGATTGCTGAATCCATCTTTTTCAAAACGACCAAAACCAAACTTGAACAAGTTCCAAAGCTTGTTACAGAAATGGGAGGTTTGTATGACGTTGGATATGTCCAAATTGATCTGTCGGCTCTACATAGTATGTTTAGATAGTGGATGAAACCGTTAAAAGATCTTTGACCATTGTTTCAAAGGTCACATTATGTCTGTTTATTTACCTGTTGTGTATATGCAATAAGGGCAAATCGTAATGAATCTGTACCACATGCTGGAATACCCGAGGGATATTCATCCTGCAAATTCTTTACACTCCTATTAAGAAAGGAAACCCAGTTAGAGATGTTTTCCAATGTTTCTGTGACAAGCCATACTTTTCGATTTCCTTGGGTGGCAGGTTGCTGTTCTTTAGATTCTCCTGCATTGTTTCGAGGCTAACACCTTCGATAACATGGAGTGGATCAATCACATTGCCAAGAGATTTAGACATTTTTCGGCCTTGTGCATCTCGAACCTGCAGGGAAAGTTAAGATATAGCGTATAATATGTTTTAGTAAATAACAACAACAATTGGGGTTTGAAAGAAATGAGCTAATTCTCAAACAAACTTTACCATGGGATGTAAAAAGATATTTTCAAATGGCGGTTGTTTTGCAAAGTGGTTTGCCAGCATAGCCATGCGTGCTACCCAAAAGAACAGAATATCATAGCCAGTCTCCATCACTTGAAGAGGATAGCGTGCCTAAAACAAATAAAAAATTCATCCCAGAATCGTATCAATACACGTTGCAAATAGTGGATCAGTGTGCCCGGCCTCATGAATAGGGTTTAGCTTACTGGAACACTAGAATTAGCACCGGTCCAGCCTAATGCAGATAGTGGGAGTAACCCCGACGAAAACCAAGTATCTAATACATCCTCATCCTAAAAGAAGCCGAAAATCTTAAGTTAAAAAATAACATTTCCCAATAGTATGTAGTTTTATCATGTATCAGACCCTACTGATTTACCTTGACAAGCTCATATTTCGAGTCTTTTGGAAGCCCCTCCTTTTCGATAAGAGCGCCAGCTTCCTTATGGGCGGATGTTTCGTCATGTGCCACAACCCAAAGCTCTGTGAATTCAATGTTAGGCATGTACAAAAGAGACCTGAAGATGTTATTACCTTTTTTCGTAGCACTGTCAAGTCTCACTTGATACGCTGGAATTTCGTGGCCCCACCAAAGCTGACGCGATATACACCAATCTTGAATATTATCTACAAAAGGGTATCTTAATTATCAAAGGATGCTACTACTGAGTAGTTTCTTGGTGTATAAGCTTACCTAACCATCTGTACCAGTCTTGGACATGGTTGCTTGGATGAATCTTCATCAAGCCATTCTCTACTTGGTTTTTGGATATACCAGCCAATTCTGAGCAGCTCACATACCTAAAAGAGAAGATCCCTCTTAGCTTATTGTTTATAACTTTCACATGCAAAACTTACCATTGCGGCTGTAAAAGTGGTTCGATGACATCGCCTGATCGTGAACATAATGCTATTCGCATAGGATGATTTTCATCCTTCCCGTCGTAGCAGCCCAGCTGCTTTAATTTGTCCACAACTTTGTCACGAAGATCAAAGCGATTTGTGCCCTATTTAGTGTTCATGAGCCTTTTCTTGTTTCCTCATCCAAAATTCAGTTCACGAAAAAATAATAAGCTTACAGTCCATTCGGATACACCGCCAACTTCATTGAGTTGGCCTAATTTATCAAAAATGCTGACAATGGGTAGGTTATGACGTCGGGCACAAGCATAATCATTGGGATCATGAGCAGGTGTAATCTAGGATACATATATTGGTAAACGTGGGCATCAGTCGATTTTAGCTGACAACAATATCCTGTTTTTAAAACTCACGCATTGATCTTTTTTACCTTGACAGCGCCAGTGCCAAATTCCATATCGACTAATTGCTCATCACAAACGATGGGGATTTTCTTTTTGTGGATAGGATGAATTACATATTTGCCATGGAGTTCTTTATATCGAGGATCGTCTGGATGAATAGCTACTGCGCAATCGCCTAGCATGGTTTCAATACGTGTCGTGGATACCGTCAGACCTTGTACCCCGTTTGGCGTTGGATCACTCACTGGATACGTAAATTGGTGCAGTACACCAAATTCGACACTAGAAAATATATGTATTTCCTTTTAGTATAATGCTGTTTGTGTTCCTAACTTTGCAAATTGCTTATTCTTTTACCCTTGTGGTCGACCAGGCAGCGGTACTAATGTCCGTCTTTCGATTTCTTTATAATCAATCTATTATCCACACAGGCAACCTTCTTTTTAGCAAATACGCGTTGAGACAACGTGTATTTATGACTACAAACCTCAATATCGGAAATGACAGTTTCCAATGCACAGCACCAGTTCACCAGCCTTGTATCACGATAAATGAGCCCATCCTTGTAGAGCTGGATAAACGCGTTCTGTACAGCTTCATAGCGCGGCGAATCCATGGTGAAAAACACATTATCCCAATCCACAGACGCGCCCATGCGTTTCATTTGGTTCAGGATATGGTCACCATACTTGTTGCGCCACTTCCATATTTCCTTGACAAAAGCCTCCCGACCCATATCATGGCGCGTCAGTTGTCGCTCACGCATGATCATTTTCTCGACAACCGATTGCGTGCCTATGCCAGCGTGATCGGTGCCTGGAATCCACTGCACGTCGTAGCCTGCCATGCGGCGATACCGTGCCAATGCGTCTTCAATGCTGAGCGTGAGAGCGTGTCCAATGTGTAGTGAGCCGGTGACGTTTGGTGGTGGTGTTATCATTGTGAATTGTTTCTTGTCACTACTGCTGCTGCTGCTGCTGTCACTAATGCCGTTGCTGGAAGACGACGGCTTGAACAACCCTTCTTTCTGCCAGTAATCGTACCAGCCTTCCTCAACTGCTTTTGCATTATATGAGCTGAGGAATGGTTTTTCTGGACGCAGTGAGCTCAGTAATCGTCGATGCGGAAGAGGCGATCGGATCAATGTCCTCCGTGTAGCGAGGTACATGTTTTTATGGAAAATAGAAAGTTATAATTTGTTGTCACTTTTTCTGCTCCTGCTGGCTGCTCGGCGGAGAAAAGGGCACCAACCGATCGATGCAGCGCCATTGTCAAACACGCACCTGTCAACACGATACGCTCTTGTATCTGAGTTTTCTCAATGGTCGCTTTCTTGTTACGATACATTTGATCTTGATCATAGAAGCCTAAATCCACGCTTCTCCAGAACTTTTAAGCAAAGATTATGTTGTGGTAGCTTTGTATTGTGGATCAAACACACCTCCTACAAACCCTCGTGCTCCATATCGTTGTAGCTAATTGTGTGAGTTCTCACTGTATGTTCTTCGGTACAGAACTTATTTAGAGAAATGAGAAAAATATCGATTGTCGCGAAAGCTATGCGCGGGACACGCGTTAAGAGCGAAGCAGTTGCCTTTTTGCATAGCCTTCAAGGAGATACGTACTATGATTCTTCTGATGAAACGTCCGGGTAGTCCTTTTGCACACTGGCAACTCAGGTCCCAGAGCAGTTCCTTTTTATTTTTGCTTTGAGGGTAGATTTTTCCTTCGTCAGGAGTTCTTTAGCAGGAATAGCTTGATTTTTGCAAAGGTGTTGTTGACTTTGAATATTACCCCAAACGTACAAGCGAAATGCATACTCGAGCGTTTTCCCCAATGACAATTTCTACGACGACACCACTTTTGCCGTTTTACTCGGCTGTTGCTGAGCAACAAGAACAATTACGACAAGCAATGGTCGGCAAACGTATAAGTGAATTACGTACACCTACTTTAGTTATCGATCGTACAGTGTTCAAACGTAACTGTGAACGGCTGGGCAACATTAAGGCACAGCACAATGTCAAGGTGCGCGTGCACGTAAAGTCCCACAAGGTATATACACACAGAACTGTTTTTTGTCCGAGGAGGAAAAGAAGAATACGGGAAAAGAGAAAAGGGGCTTAAAGCGAAATGTTTCTATAATGATAGGCAGTTGAAGGGGCTGCACTTCAGCTTGAGGGAGCCAAAACGGAAGCTATTGTCGTTTCCACAATGGCTGAGGCGCATCGAATGGTTTCGAGCAAGCTAGTGTCCGAAGGAAAACTCAAACAGGTATGATTAATTATGATTGGGTGATCGGCAGCAAGACAACAACAACAACAAGAAGCCTGCATGAATTTGTTTACAAAAGATATTATGTGCCAAGTCCAGGTCCTCTTGGGCTTCCCCATTACACCAGACAAGTTTGCTGAGGCGTTTGCACTGGCAGAACAAGTCGAGGCGTTTCAGATCTTCATTGGTACGACAGCACCTCCTATTTTAACTCATCTATAGATCAATTTATAGATAACCCGTTGTTACTTTTTACTTTGAAGAAGCTTACTGATAAGTCATAATAACGACTGCTTTAGATCGACTTGAAACGCTGGACGCCATCGAGGAGTACTGTTCCCAAGCCGCTCCTGCGCACAACCAGAAGAAAATTGGCGTTTTCATCAAGATAGACTGCGGATATGGGTAAAAGATGATCTGTCTTTCACACGCTGCTGCATATCACCCACATATCATATACGTCGTGTAATATGTAATATTTACGACATATAGTAACGCAAATTGTGTATATAATTAGACGTGCGGGCGTACCATTGGATAGTGCCTTTGAGAAGGAGGCAATTCTTAACTTGGCGAAGCGGCTGGCCACATCCAGTTGCGCAACATTGCACGGCCTCTATGCACATGCAGGCCACTCGTACAAAGCGCGCTCGGCAGAAGAAGCCCTGACCTACCTCGAGCAAGAATGCAACAGTGCACGCCAGTTTCAGGCGCTATTTCTAGAGGAGGCAGGGATCGACATTCCATATCTGTCTATCGGTGCAACACCCACCGTGCAAGCGATTGTTCATCACGACAGTAGTGAACGCGTGAGCAAGGCGCTCCAAGGGATCAGCGAGGTGCACGCCGGTGCTTACTCGTTACTGGATCGACAACAGATGGCCACTGGCTTGTGCACCGAGCAAGATGTGGCCATCTCCGTGGCGTGTCGAGTCGCTAGCCGATATCCTGATAGAAACACGACACTTATTGACGGTGGCGCCCTCGCATTTTCCAAGGATACCGCCCCACAAGGTGGATTTGGCGTGACAACGACAGGTGTCGTGCTGCAGTCGGTTTCGCAAGAGCATGGCATACTTGCATCATCATCATCATCATCACCTGCCGCCCAGCAGCACGTGGGTGATATTGTTCGTGTTCTCCCGAACCATTGCTGCTTGGCAGCTGCATGTCATTTGTATTATCTGATTGTCGAGAATGGGAACGATCAAGTAGTAGATGTATGGTTTCCTGTGCGCGGCTGGTAACATAAAAAAAAAAGACGAATAGCACGCTATATACACAGGTTTTTGGGTTGTTTTTATTAGGAAAAAAGTGGACAAAAAAAATAAAAGCTGTAAAGAGTAGTAAGAGAGGAAGAGCAACAGAAAGAAAGGAAACTGAGTACGGCAAATGGGAGGATGAAGGTGGGTTGTTTTAATGTTTTTTTTTAAAAGAGTCGCTAGGAAAAAGAGCGTAAAAATGAAAAGAATTGGAGAGTTAACGAGAGGGGAGGAGGAGAAAGGGGTTTTACAAAAAGAAATGGGTGTATTGACGACTGTCGACATGGACCTCCATGTCTGTCAGTTTGAACTCGTTGAGCTCCTGCTTGATCTTCATGGCTAGCAAAGGAGTCAGCTTTTGACAAGTGGCATTCGAATCGCAACGACGATCGTATTCGGCTGCAGGGAACGTCTCGTGCACTTGGATGGTTGGGCAAAACTGCAGTCTGCGGGGCCGATCTGGGGTGGACGAAGAGATGTTGGTCATTGTGTTCAGTGAGCTGGTTGACGACGATGCGGCTGTGGGTCTCAGACGTGGTGAGCCGTGTAGAGGTAGGCCATAGTGCAAGCCGACGGATGGTGGCGGGACCATCATGTCAGATCCGTCGTCAGACGGTGGTAGTCGGCTTGAAGACGTAGAGGACGATGAGGGCGTGGGCGAAGGCAAGGCATCACTGCTGTGGCCCATGAACCGTGGCTGATGTGGACGGGTGGTAGATGATCGTGCAGAGCTGGGAGAATCAGGAGCGGCTGACGATGGGGTTCGTCCTGGATGGATGGATAAATGAAAGGTGTGTGTGTGTGGTGAGTATAGTGTAGTTGTTTTTTTTTTAATAAAAGTGTTAAAGAAGGAGAGATAGCGTTCATTTAAGTCGTTATTAGAGAGCTACCACAAGAAGAGTAATTACTCACCTCTAGTGTTCCTTTTTGCGGCCTCCTCAGTAGTAGTGTCAACACGTAGTACTGGCCGTGATGATTTGCTGTTGTTATCGTTTCTTTGGTTTTTAGCCATCTTGCGAAGGTCGCCCGAGCTCGAGGAGGACATGCGAGCAGCAGCCGGGTTTGGCGGTGATGAATCTGCTGCGTGCTTCTGGAACAGTCCAGAAAGCGACGCAAATGAGCGACGTCGAGAAGGAGTCGAGGGCGACGGTGACGGCGACGGTGCTACGTCTGACTCTTGCACAGTAGCCAGCGATGTGTTGGACCCGTTGTTAGCAGACAGCATGCCAAGGTTGTCCTTGGACCGCAGATGGCTCATGCTGAATACTTTGCGCAGCCGTTTGGATAATGAAAGTTTGGTGTTTATCGACATTTCTGACCGGATCGAAAACGTGCCCGACGATACCGAGGTTACCGAGGATCGTCGGCCCGAATCTTCTAGGGATGGTGCTGGTGAGGGAACCGAGGAGGCGGTTGACGATAGAGAAGGAGGACGCTCTTGTGGTGAATAGGTCGGCTGGTGCTGTTGCTTCTTGTACTTTTCTCTACGTCCTTGAGCATAGTGTTGTTGCTGCTGCTGCTTGAGCAGCATGGACGATCGGTTGTAGTTGTTAGCGGAGGGGATGGGTGTCGAGGATGATTTCTGGATCTGAACGGGCGCATGGCTTGCGCTGGTATTGCTCGGCGTACGTGGCCGCGAGGAAGGTCTGTGAGGGTGGTTATTGGTGCTGCTACGCTGATGCTTATTCTCATAATGCGGTTGCGGTTGCTGTTGCTGTTGCTGCGGGTAGTAGTAGTATGGGTTGCTATTGGCTGTTGGTTGCGGGTGACCTTGAGTAGTCCAATCACCAGGCGGGGTTGCTGTCATAGTAACCATCGACTGAGGATACGCCCACGCGTCTTTTTGACTCTGTGAAATGTACGGATCGACCATTTAGTTGTCTTTGATCCAAAGAGGAAGAGAGAGATAGAGAGAGAGAGAGAGAGGGAGGGAGAGAGAGCAGAAGAAGAAGAGAACAACAACGAATAACCCAAGGAAGAAGAAAGGAGCAAGATTTTAAAAATAACCTCGGTTGCCTAATTTGGTAACCAACCTGGCTTCCTCTTGGTTGCTTCTGGAAAGAGCAAGATAAAAGAGAGTGAACTTGCCTGTTGTTCAAGTCGAAGCTTGTTTGAGAGATAGTTGGCCAAGGCAGCATCGTCGTGCTTGGAGCTGCTGCCGTTGCCGCTGCTATTGCTGTTGCTATGGTGGAAGTCCTTGGACTTTTGTCCTGGTTGTTGTTGCTGCTGCTGCTGTTGCTGTGGGGATGGGGTGGTCGTAGTCGCGCGTAGAGCGACGGGGTTTTGTTGTATCATCGCTGCCATGGTGATTTATTTTGTTTGTGGGTGTGTGTTTTTATATGAAGGTGGAGAGAATAAAGATGGTATAGGGAGCGTGTATATCAAGAAGGGTTATGAAGAATGAGGACGGTTTGACGGTGGTTCTAGTGCCAGGGGAGGAAAAGATTGTACAGAGGGCGATAGTATAGTGAGTAGTAGAAGTAGTAGTTGGTGTAGTTATAGTTTAAGCTGTAGTTTTATAAGTGAAAGACTGTATGTACAAAATAACAATGAGCAGCCGTGTTGATAGTGTCGGTGTGAATGTGTGTGAGTGTGAGTGTGTGTGCGTGTGTGCGGGGAGAGAGCGAAAGAAGAAGATAATTAGTGCATCAATTAGAGTAGAAGGCTACTCTTTGGTTGACGATGATGATGACGATGATGACGATGAAGAAGGGGAGAAGGCTATAGACAAAAAGGATGGGTGAAAGAGAGGAAGAGAGAAGAGGAAAAGAGGCAAAGGGAAAAAGTCAAAGGAAGGAAAGGCGGCATCGAGGAAAAAAAAAAAAAAAAGTCATTTGCGTGGTGCACCACAAAATTTCGCATGTACTGTGCCGTGCTCCGCTTCAATAATATTATCGGGTCAAGTGCGCTTGTGGGACAATAAACTGAGTGTACGTACTACCCTGTGTATATACGATGATCCCCTTCTCTCATAACACTCGTACACCATTCCTCTACCCTCCCACCCCCCCCCCACCGAAAACGAACAAACTCCTTTCTTTCCTGTCAAAGTGGCTTTCTTTATTTATGATTCGTATTCAACCCTATCATCCGGCTCCTAAAAGAAACAATAGAGAGGTTAGCCTCATGACTAATCTACTTGCTAAGTGAAACAAAAGACATGCCTTTGGCTCCAGGTCTTCGCCATACTGCATCGCGTTGTCTATGGTCGACAGCACATACTCGACGGAATCTTCATCAGTGATGTTCAGAGGTATAAAGCTAACCATACTATAATCGTCAATCTGCGATATGAATAATTAATAAACTGTTAATATAGTCCAAGCACAACGGGCGTTACGCCGTTTGCACACACCCCCCCCCCCTTCTTCCTCATCCATGTTGTGTGCACTTGCCAGTTGTACAATGGCCTGATTTAACGCCTGGAATTTGAAACTCCTCGAATTCGCGTTGTTGGATGCTTGGTCCTGCTCAATAGCGCCTGCTTCTTCCGCGATAAGCAGCGGATCAGGATCGAGATAGCGCTCCAGCTCACGGTTCGTCAACGCGTTGTCCATGCGTCTTCTTCTCCGGCGTCGTCGCTTCTTCTTGTCATCGTCGCTTCCATCCGCACCGTCCTCGTCGTCACTGTCCTTCTTGGCGTTCCCATAGTCTCCTTCTACCAAGTCCATCTTGGTCATCACATTCACGTGCGAGATCTCCATATTCACCATAGCACTCATGGCGCTAAGCACGCCAGAGAAATACTTGGCCTTGTCTTCGATAAACTGCGATTCAAGGCAGTATACCCCACAGATGTTCATGTTCCACTGTCTCAACGCTTCACATACGCGACGCATGATTGGGAAATGTGTGTACAGCTCAATCTGACCGGGACAGTCAATAATCAGGTAGTCGTCATCATAGCTGCCGATCTCTTCCTCCAGCCAATCAATATTGTTCAATAAAAACCTACGATAATGCACGTGGTTTTTGTTTTTTCATGTTAGCTTATCAGGGTAAGCATGTATAACTTGTCAATTGAACTATTCCCAGGATTAATAAATTTTGACCCTTACTCCAAGCAGTAGATCAACCCGCCATTCGGTCCATAATCCAGTTCCTCCATGACATCTTCCAGAGTGATCAACTCCCGAATATCTGTTTGCATAAAACGCGCGTTTTTTTTATATTCGGTTAGTTTCAAGGTTTCCCTTACAAAGAAAATAATCCTTTGATGAATTACCTATCGTTGGTTCGTATTCAAAGTGCTCTGCTGCGGGATCCAAGTTGACAAGATGTGCCCTCCGTCCAGTGGTTTGGATGTGCGTCATCATTGTTGCGCAAAAAGTAGACTAATTGTGTTGGCAGTAACATTAGTATATCTAATTTTTTCACTGCTCCCACATAATATCCCCTCCCCAAACCCATAAATGTAGATCTCCCTTTCTCAATTCGCAAGATCCACGCTTTTTCTCCTTAGTATGGCCGCATAGACCAGTTCTCTCTCCTTCTTCTATGAGCGATCGTCCATACAGCAAAAAAAAATACAAAAGTATCCCTCCTCGCGATCGATCTTTCCTTGCGTCATTTGTAATATAACGCGAATGATAAAAAATATAATTTACCTTGCCGCTCCCGGCAGGGCCCATTACCAGCTGACAGTGGCGACCCCTAAAACGAGTATGGCAGTTTATAATAAATCAGCCAAGATCACAGCCAATGCCTATAGATCGATCGATTCTTACATGTTTCTCTAACTATAAAAAAAAGAGTCTCAAGACTGACAACGAATTTTACCCAGTAGCGGGCATACATTTTAGCTTTTGCATACACAGAGTTCAACGAGTTGCACGTCACATAAAACTACGCTCCCATCATTAAGCTATAGCAATCTGTGATCGGCTGTTTAAGAGCAAAGTTCGTTAAATGAAAATGTAAATCATGTGCTCCCTGCAATTATTTGATAGATGAAGCCCTTTTTTCTGCTTTTTTTTAATACCCCATTCTCTGGGCAGCATAGTATATTCGTATGTATATGCACGCGAGCGAGTGAATTAGCGGGAGAGAGAGAGAGATACAGACAGACAGACAGAAAAATGTGAGAGAGGGAACATGTTCAACATGATCTTTCTTCTCCGCATGCACGATGAAAACTCTTTAGGCTCCTTGTGTAATCCTCACACTGTTGCAGCCGTAATGCGTGTGCTTATTACATTTCGGATAATGACACCAAGCATTATTTATATTACTTAATTAATTTGCATCTCCACCAACGGAGGTTGTGTAACGCAAATTACAGAGATAGAAGAAGTAGAAGAAAGAAGCTTTTTTTTTATATCAAGATTGTTTTTGCTGATTTTAGATGAATGCATAGGTACTTGTAGGGCTTATTTATAGGACGGTTGCCTTTCGCTGCTATTTTTTCGTTTGGGCTACTTTTTTGGAGGAATGCGATTATACACTGTGGCATGAGAACGGAAACAAACGTGTTATTGCAAATACTTTGGGGTGTTGGAGTCGTATAGCAGACCGTGATAAGTCAAAGAAGGGTAGTAATATACAGATGAAAACTTTTCACGATGCCGGAATGGACCAGAATCGCTACAATAGCTTGTCTCTGACACCGACGCGGTTATTACACATGTCTGTCATAAGTGTCTAAGCTCAAGACAGAATCAGTGATTTTCAGTATCGATACTACGTACAGGGTCATTGACCGTGTGAGATCAAGCTCGAACTTTTTAAAAATCCATTGAAGCTCAATTGCTGTGAAGGGCACATGGTATTCATAAAGTAGCATCTATTGTCGCATATTTTGTGGTACTTTTACTTGTTGTTGCTGGCACGGAAGGACTGTCAGTGGGACTGTATGCAGTAATGACATCAGTAGCGCAGTATGCATAATCATATTTGATGCAGCGAGAAGACGTTTTACATTTTAAACTGCACAAGTTGTTCTTGTTGGTGATACAGCATTCTGCTATGCATGTAGTAAAAAAGTGGCCATCGAGACCTAGAACACAGTTAAGAAGCACATCTTGATTGGCTCGGACATGTAGAATATAAGGAATGGTAAAGAATAGAATCACATCATTCACTTGTATAGTGATGTTTGAACAGACATTGTGTACATCCACGGCAATGGTAAGCAGTATGCGTCTCTATGATGAAAATCCCACCCAGTTTCAAATGCATAATGGTCAATCTTTATTTTGCAGCTATCATAACACATTACATTATCACGGGCTACTGTACCACTCGATGATATCATATTATATTCTTCATGTCGCACCATTTACAATTTTTGATGTGTGAAGAAACAGCATTTAGAAAACAAAGTTTACTTACATCCCTCCCCCAAAAAAAGATTGAAAGAGCACGAGTTAACCGTCGGTGATGTGAAAGCCTTGTTCTTTTTTCACAAATATGTACGCTACCAATAACGGATGTTAGTGGCTTTTTTTAGTATCCTTTACCGTATTTGAATGGCAACGTTTGTCGAACCATGTGCGTATTTTGTTTCTCATTATCCTTAATCATGGAAACCTGGTAATCACAGGAGAAGAATGAATGAGCACGGGTTGATTATCATTGTGTTCGAATCGGTATTTTAAATGAACATATCCTGTGTTCCGTTCCTAACAATCAAAAGCACCATCTAGATAATTCATAATAGCTAGTTTACGAACCACATTATTAATTGGAGAGGTCACTTTAGCTAAAGGCCAAGGAATGTATGATAGAGAAGAAATTGCTTCTGCTATTGAAATGCATCGGACCTCCGTTACCACTACTGGGTTAATTCCTTGGTAATTGCTAAATATGTACATGATACGGGTTGTATATACTGACCGTAATATCTCATCGCGATGGTTACTTGCACAATCCCGTCATCGTAAGCCAGTTATATAGTCCCGAGTGCTGCCCGGGCAACGAGCTGCACGACATTATAGATATCATGGAAGCTAGATTTTCGATATTACTTTACAAGGGTAATATTAATATTATGTATATTATACAGATGTATTCATCATAAGATCACGTAGTAGATGGACAATTTTATATATGTGTAATAGAAATGACTATGCCGATGCTGCAGGCCTTAGTTTGCTGCCAATAAATATGTAGGACATGTCACCATCGACGAATTCTATATGTATCTTTCATTGCCACAAGAATTGTACAAGCCGACGTATTTATTTAATCAATCTGGCCATGTAATTAATACTTCTGGCCTAGAAAGCGCAGTCCTCTCCAACTCGTCATTTGTGGAGACAGCATAACCAATAAATTAAGATGATGATTATGGGAGGTACCATGTCAAATAGTCACATCGGTTCGTCTGCATTGTGATGATGAGTAAAAACTTGATGTCCCGCAACGGTGATCGGCATTTTCGACGTTTTTCTTCACCATCTATTTGAAGCTCAAACTTCGTGACACTTTCTGCTGCTTGGTCGAATATGGACTACCTTTGTGGTCGATTAAAAAGCCAGCAGACACCTGTCTGATAAATAGAAGGTTGCATATTGCTTTTAACATCGCTTCATTTATCCATTTATAAACACGGTTTTATGAAATAAGGACCCATTGTTTTAAACCTTTTTTCATCAACAAAGTTTCGCCGAGTGTCGACGCTTATGTTTTTTTTTTCGAATATCGATAATGGCTAATACACAATTATATACTGCTACATGTTAGCATTTAAGAAAAGAATCTAGCACTTTTTGCATCTGTTTCCTCAATGATACGAAGTATCTCCGCGTTATGTACACCAAGTACAACGGCGAGCACTCACAAATAAGTCTGCTGCATAAACAGTATCGCGGACATTTCACCTTAACAAGAGACTGCTGTACATGTAATGTCACTGGCTCATCATCATACACCGGAGGACCCCAAAGTTATATTAAGCGGATTTAATACTTGCGAGTAAAGTAGCTTGCTGCTGTATCTATGGTACTCTTCGGTGGGACAGGTTTACCTTGAACAGATTTGCATGGTCTGCATGATCATATGTAGTAAAGGAAGCTGAGTAAAATAATTGGTTACCACAGTAAGTAGGGCTTACTTGCCTCATGTAGTGATGCATCATCTCATACTGTAAGTTTGGTTTGAAATGTTGAGCCCGACAAGTTCCGCCACCGCCTTCACAGGCAGCAGTTAACTATTAGCCCTGTACTGAGCATATTCCTGTTAAACAGGTTACTCAACGAATACCAAGTGGCATCGTATAAAGGCTCAGCAGAGCGTATCGCACGGGATCCCAGTAGACCGAAGACCAGATTAAGACTGCAATACTCTTAGTTGGCTTTGGAACGTTGTCTGTTTTTCCTTATCTTACTTCTGGCATGATACGGGTTGCTGATTTAATGCACTCTTGACAGTTGTGAAGCACCATCGTTTGAGAGTTTTGACAGTTTTTACTATAGATCAGCAACACGTCAAAAGAATTATCAACGATTCCAAAAATGGGAGGTGCTGATTTGTAACGGGGCGGGCTTGAATTTGATTGATTTCTTACATCATCAGCAATGAGTTAGTAGCAGCAACCTGTTCAGTGGGAAAATACAGTCATTATCGTGAGCATCAATCCCTGAGTGAAGTAGCTTACTCATATTTGGAACCTCTCATATAAATGAAAGGTCAAATATATTATCCTGTTAAGAGTTCTTAGCATGATGCTGACGGGATACTGCAGCTGCTGATATACACCACAAAGTAGCGCGGGGAAGCAGGTATTTTCTTGCGCGGGAAAAACCGAACGCGGTCGGGAAAAAGAAAAAGCAAAGTTCTCCTTTATGTCTCGTAGTAGAATTGGTGGGATTGGCTATGTAGGAACGCCCCACGTCGCGTTGCCAAGGCTTGAGTTAGAGATCGTGACGCATTGAAGGGCAAAACAGGTACGGTACGACCATTGTATCCCCTATGCACACGGTCGATCTGCTTACAACCATCGCCTAAATCCATAACCGGCCTGTTGATTGGTCAGTAGTGCAAAATGTGACCGGGGTGGATGTAGGTTTGAATTTAGAACTGAGAACAAAGCTTTCAGTTTTTCGAGGTCCCCTGCTTAGAGGTTATTTTTTATCCGTACTACTCCTCTCTCTTTTTACTCTCTTTCTGCACGCAATGGCTGACAAACAATCCGCTGTCCTTGAAGAAATCAAAAAGAACATCCAATCGCTTCACGAGCGATTCGATGCTCTTGAGAAGAAGGTTGCCCAGGGTGTCCCCAAGGAGCAACTCCGCATGGTTATTATGGGTCCTCCCGGTGCTGGCAAGGTAACATTGAAAAAAAGAAAACAAGACACGATTACCGTTCAATCTCATACTGACGACATACCATTTGGACTTTGTAATTAGGGTACCCAAGCTCCTGCCATCAAGGACAAGTTCTGCGCTTGCCACTTGGCCACCGGTGACATGCTCCGCGCCGCCGTTGCTGCCAAGACTCCTCTCGGTTTGGAGGCCAAGAAGGTCATGGATGCCGGAGGTCTTGTTTCCGACGAGATTGTTGTCGGTATGATTGAGGAGAACTTGGATAAGAACACCGAGTGCAAGAACGGGTAAGCAGGATGGCAAGATCGGATGAAAGATCGGGTTGAACGAGAAACGAGAGAAACAGTAATATACGCGCAAAGAAACAGAAAAGTAAAAAAAAAATCAGAAACTGACGCGCGCACGCGCAATCTACGCGTATCATTCTCTTAGTTTCATCCTCGACGGTTTCCCCCGTACTGTCGTCCAGGCCGAAAAGTTGGATGATATGTTGGAGAAGCGCAAGAAGCCCTTGAACTCGGTCGTTGAGCTGGTCATCGACGATAACTTGCTTGTCTCCCGTATCACTGGCCGTTTGATCCACCCCGCATCCGGCAGATCCTACCACAAGGAATTCAAGTGAGTTGATGTTTGCTATTAACAGTTGAAAAGAAATGACTTGCAAAAGGGGAGTCGAAGATAACAGAGACTGACGCAATGCTTCTGAAATAGCCCTCCCAAGACTCCCATGAAGGATGATGCTACTGGCGAGCCTCTTATCCAGCGCTCGGATGATAACGCCGAGACCTTGAAGAAGCGTTTGGACTCTTTCCACAAGCAGACCGGTCCCGTCGCCGACTACTACAAGAAGAAGGGTATCTGGTACGGTGTTGACGCCGCTCAGTCCCCCAAGGCTGTCTGGGCTTCGCTCAGCGCTATCTTTGACAAGACTCTCTAGATGAGAAGTCCGTGATTACGAAACTGTAAATGTGATTGAATATTCTTTTTTTTCCATGTATACAGCACACATGCACAACACATACACACAATTTTTCCCCATCCGTAGTAAACGGTACACACTAGACCGATTTGTTCCAAAAAGATCCTATAAAGTTTGATTTCGTTTTGCCTGTTAGTAGTATACTTATCGACTTGAAGCTGTTGCGCTGTACGCTGGCGAAGGTGTTGTCATCTTTTACTTGAGTCTGACCCCCCTGCTTTCTTCACAGAAAACTTAATATTAAGTATGTTGACCCAGACCTGTAACGAGGGACTCCTCATTTCACTGACTCAGCTCCTACATTTCGGCTAAAATGATTTTCAGCATGAATAATGAAGTGCAGGGTCCGCATCTACTATGTCATGTGTGTGCCCATAAATTAATTTCTATGATAAATTGTTGCCAATGGAAATAGACAGTGACCTTCCCAGGCTACACAATACACCGCCAGAAACAACAAGATGCGATAACTACGCAACGAAGATGAGGAGATCGTTGAAAGAGCTTCCGCAAGTCCGAGCTGGGAGCTGCTTCGCTTCTCGTGGTTAGTTGGACCGTCGTCTTAATATGCGGCAGTAACATAAGCGTGCTAACTGTATGTTTCATGGTGACGCTGTAAGAAAGAGGCGTAAGGTTGCAGCAGACCGGTACAGTAGGCGTTATCACCCGCTAGCGAAATGTCTAGCGATGTCGGCGTTTCTGCGGCATCAGTCAATGAGGAGCACAGCTTTGTATATCGATTTACAACCGCTTATAGGTGATGATACTTTTTTATTAGAAAAAGATAATGATGATGATATCGTTAGTAGGAGTGTACGCATGCTTAATTGTGATTAACAATAGACAAATTCTCATGCTTACCCTGAGAATTTAACTTTAATGGCTGAAGCTGTGTAAGATTGTTTGTGCGGAATAGTTCAAGACACCTTGCTGCCGTGTTATGTATCGCAGAACGAGTTTTTCAGCATGTTGGCATACCGACGGCAAGAGCTTATAGGTAACAGTATACCTTTGGATGTGTACGATTCAATGAGCATCCTACACCAGTACTTTGGGCAATTGTGCGCCAAGCGGACGCTATTTCTGAATATTGGAAGATGGTTGTTTCCGAGGGGATCAAATCAATGATACGGCAAGTAACATTGTATGGAAAAACTCGACATATCCACGCGGTGATCTTGTCGTGTTTGCGCCTTTACTTTATCTTGTAAGATCTCTATATATTGATCATCAGTTACCGATACGTATTACAGTCTTTTGTCAAGAGCCATGATTGCGCGTTTCTGTCGTCCTTGCTCGGCATATCGTTGTCCTGCATGCAAGTACCAATAGGATCGCGAGGTGCAATAGTGATATTAACATTGCGTCCTCTATCACCTGGTCGTAGCGCTCTTTGTGACCCCAAGCAGTAGCTTGAATCTTGAGCAAGTCTGCGGTTTTTTGGTCAAAAGACGTCTAGTACAGCAGTGGCTTCCTCAAATACTGCAACGTCTGTCGCCGTGATCAAGTGATTGCGTGCTTACGTTGGTTGAAAGCGTCAAATCAGAAGCATCATTTGCGGCAATTTGTCTCTGCGTTAAAAACTTTCTCAACGTTGCTGCTTGATTCTCTTTTCGGTAGAGCGCAAGGGTAGCAAAGAGAAAGTCGCATAAGGAGAAAAAGAAAGTTATAAAATTGTCACCAGGTGACACGAAGATTTCTTCCCTCTTTTCAGCCATATGGCCATCATTTAGCATTATCATGATACAGTTATTATTTTTCCTTGGAGACAATTATCAATGATAACAGACCTGAAGGATGGAAGAAGTAGAGGACGACATATGGGAAGAACTAAGGGCAGGTCTAGAAAATGTCATTGACTACACGGCGTCGGCGTTAGACATGTATGCTTGTTGAGCTGAACGGTAGCACCTTCCTAATTGAGAAAGTTGAAACTTCAGAACCGTAAACTCAGTTGCCGCAGCGATAAGTATAGCTTTATTCTTGTCGTTTATGCTTTCCCAATAAAAAAATGAGCGATTCCTTTGACGACGATCTGGATTCGCCATTATCTGACAACTTGAGCCTCCCAGACGAAAGCAAAAACAAACAGATAAACCGTGCTAGTCCTGTCAATGGTGCAGTAGTAGACGATCAGCTACACCAATTAGGTGTTAACTTGGTTGATCAAAATGTGCTCGAGAGTAAGATCATGGCACAGGTATATATAGATCGCTTTTCCAAAATTACAACAAGCTCTCACGTTAGAGAATGGTATTAAAACCTCTTGTACGAAAAAATAAAGGCTGACAAGGCGATCGCAAAGCGAGACGATGCACTGGATCAAAAGCGACTCGAGAAAGCACGGAATCAAAAAGCGTTAGTGATAGCTTGTTGTTATGCACGTCTATGTATTCCGCAGTTTAAAGATATGAAGAGCGACTCATTATTATGCGTTTCACATGAAATAGTACTGCGCAAAAACATTTGAGGGAGCTCAAATCTAAACTGAAAGAAAGCGTCCCGTCTGCACAAAGAGATCGATTATTAACGAGAATCAATGAACAGGTATATATGAACATCCCCCTTCGTTGTTGTTGTTGTATATATGGTTCGGCCCTATCTGATGTAATCACACCTCGGACAATAGGCTTCCCACTTACGCGACGCGACTCGGGACGAAAGTGAAATTCTTGACCGGATGAAAGACCGTGAACATGCACGGAAACAATCCACTTCTGTTAAGGGTATGGAAACCACAAGCAAACTTTCTTTATATTCCACGTATATAAATATAGCGGAACCAACACAGCGTGTAAATCTTTTTTTGATTAGTGCTAGACAAGAATCAGCGACAGGAAGGGGAGTCTCTAAGAGATTTTCTTATCCGAACTGGAAAAATCACCCCATTTGACCCGTTACCACAAAATGAAGATTCTTCAACGACAGCAGGACGATCAGGTATATGTCGTGAATAAGGTGGCATGGATTGGCCGAGCTTTAACTCAACCACATATATATATCCAGGATCCTTGTTCTTACCGGGCAGTAGTGGCTCATTGATCTCTCGACGTGATATCAAGGGAAAGCGACCGGCAGAGGATATATCTGAAACCGAGGAAGAAGAAGAACCGGAAATAGAAAATGACGAAGACGATGAATATGTAGAGCCAGTGCGCAATCGTGCTGCGGCAAAATCATATGTGAATCGTAACATTGCCCGCAAATCCAAAAGCAAAAAGCACAAAGCGGCATCTGATGATGAGTACGAAGCATCAGAAGCGGGCGAAGAAGATGGGACTGTGGATAGTGCAGAAGATGAAGACGTATTTGCTGAAAGAAGGCGAACCATTGACGAGTTGATGCAAGATGATGGAAGTGAGGCTACTTATCAGGTAATCCATCGAATAACTCAGAGCACTAAAGCAAATGCATACATGATCATTAACTTTTGAACTACCCTAGAAACGGCTTGATGAATGGATCCATGAACGTAAATTGATGCGTGCCCAAATTGAAACGGTAAGCTTAGGGATAACAAAGACCACATTTTCAGATCAAACTGTCGCTGACTATATTGTATCTCAGAACCGGAGGATGTCGATAGATGAAATGGACAACGACCTGGAAAGTCATCATGAATTTGATCCAGAGACTGAGCCATTTCAACCTCACCCATCTTACGATGACGAAGAGTTGCACGATGGATTGCGGATACCTGGTGAATTTTGGAACGAGCTATTTGGCTATCAAAAGACATGTAAGATACTAAAAGAGTTATGGTGTGTTTCAAATTTTCACTGACCCGAGCTATAGGTGTAAAATGGCTGTGGGAGTTGCATTGCCAAAGGGTCGGCGGTATTATCGGCGATGAAATGGTAACATTTAATGGTTGGATAAAACTTAATGATATGGAGCGACAGCTGATTACGCTTATATTCGTCCGTAGGGTCTCGGCAAAACCGTCCAAATTATCGCCTTTCTTTCTGGTTTATATTACTCTAAAATTCTCGGTCCCGGTAAAGCATCAATTATCGTATGTCCTGCAACTGTAATGCACCAATGGGTGGAAGAGTTCCACAGATGGTGGCCACCAATCCGAGTTGCAGTACTACATTCAAGTGGTAGTGGTGTGCGTACGGATGTTAATGGAACTGCTAATAGTTCCGAGCCAGCAACAGTGGATATTGATTCATCCGACGGGGAATACGAGCCGGATAGACGAGGGAACCAGGCAAAGCGAAAGAAAAAGAGTAAACGCTCTAGAGTCAGTATATTTACGACGAAGGCTGGAAAAAACGCATCCGCTCTGGTAGAACGATACATCAAATTGGGTAAGATCAGTATCTAGTCATAACATTGCATGATATAAATATATCTATATATAATATGTAGGAGGAGTCATAGTGACAACTTATAGTGGTGTACAGGCATATCGTGAAATATTGCTCAAGCACAAGTGGGGATATGTTGTTCTGGATGAAGGTCACAAAATCCGGAATCCTGATTCTGAAACGACTTTGGCTTGTAAACGATTCAAGGTAATAATGATAATTGGTTTGCTTTCTGAATTTCTTAAGCTCATGTACTCTTCCGATAAAAGACACCGCATAGAATTATACTGTCAGGTACCCCTATTCAAAACAATCTCAAGGAACTCTGGTCACTGTTTGACTTTATCTTTCCAGGAAGGCTAGGTGTAAGTTCAAAGAGGTAGCCGATGATGCATCGAAACAGCACATTCTTACATTTTCATGATATACAGACTCTGCCTGTATTTCAGACGCAATTTTCTGTACCTATCAATATTGGTGGCTATGCCAACGCTTCGAACGTTCAAGTCCAGACAGCCTATAAATGTGCTTGTGTATTAAGGGACTTGATTAATCCCTACCTATTACGCCGAATGAAAGTGGATGTGGCTGCCGATTTGCCACGAAAGAGCGAGCAGGTAACTTTCTTATCACTCATTTATTAGAAGTACCATGACCTTATTCTTACATTCCAATATCCCGTCATTTTCTTTCCATAGGTCTTGTTCTGTAAACTTACACCAACTCAACGTGAATCGTATCTTCATTTTATTCAATCCAAAGATATGGACGCCATTCTCGAACGACGACGGCAGGTCTTATTCGGTATAGACATTGTGCGCAAAATATGTAACCACCCGGATATTCTTAATATAAGCCAATCATTATCAGTAAGTCGACAGACAATTTGACTCGTTGTATATTCAGGTTCGTTATTTACCAACCCTAAATCTTAATGCAAGGACCCCACCTATGGCGACCCTGAAAAAAGCGGCAAGATGGTTGTCGTACGGGCTTTGTTGAACTTGTGGAAAACTCAAAAGCATCGAGTACTACTATTCAGCCAAACACGACAGATGCTGGATATTTTAGAAATCATGGTACGGGATCTTGGTTACGAATATCGTCGTATGGATGGCACGACACCTGTTCACCATCGTATGAGTCTTGTGAACGAGTTCAACACCGACGAAAAGGTTTACGTTTTCCTCTTGACGACCAAAGTGGGCGGTTTAGGTTTGAATCTGACGGGTGCCGATCGTGTAATTTTGTTTGATCCTGATTGGGTAAACGTCAAACTCTTGCTTGTTTGTTTGTAAGAATGCCAGTGTTTATAATATTCTAATGCCTAAAACGCATAATTCTCTAGAACCCATCAACCGACATGCAAGCACGTGAACGTGCATGGAGATTGGGTCAAACCAAAGACGTGACTATATATCGACTCATGACCAGTGGCACCATTGAGGAAAAGATATACCATCGACAGATTTACAAGCAATTCTTAACAAACAAAATCTTGAAAGATCCAAAGCAAAAACGGTTTTTTGATGTAAGGATTGGGATTTGATGTGTTGGGAAATATGGCGTTCGTGTTGGATTAAATTCGGTCGCGTGTTGCTGTAGGCTAGCAACCTTAGATCGTTATTTACTCTCGGTGCGGATGACAGCCAAGGAACAGAAACCGGACAACTGTTTAAAGGCACAGAAATTCAATACGGTGATACCCAACCTGGCAGCAGAAGGAAGAAGAAGAAGAGAGCAAATAAGATCGACGCGATTGATGAGCTTGATGATAACAATACCAATAACGATAATAACCAGTTGATAAGTTTGAACGGCGTTGCGGGTTTGGAAGACTTGTAAGTCAGTTAAAGACATGCAAAAACTGATGCAGCATTTGGTAACACCTGTTTCCATAGCAATGAGAATGACAGCAACAACGACAAATCCAATGCACCTCTAAGCAACACTCAGGAAGGGAACTCTGAGGATGGAGTGTTGAAGAGCTTGTTTGAAATGACAGGCATTCAAAGTGCACTACAGCATGATCGTATTATGGAATCAGGAGCACAAGATCGAGTATTGGTTGAACGCGAAGGTAAGGGACATGTACAATCGGTGATTGGGCTGTGAAGTGCACAATTGTATTAATATCACGAGCACTCTTGGTACAGCATCGTTGGTAGCACAAAATGCAGCAGCAGCACTGAAAGAATCACGACGTCAACGACGAGCAATGGGTGTCAATACCCCTACTTGGACTGGCCGCTCGGGCACTGCAGGAGCCCCGCGACTACCTGGCGACCAAGGAACATCAACACCTCCACCTCGATTCGGACAGAAAGTACTTCCACGATTCGGAACAAGTTCTGGCAACAACCCTATGCGAGAGACACGATCCGCTTCGCCACAATTCGGATCTGGTACTGTATCTGGATTCAAAGCAGGCTTTGGTGCAGGACCACCAGCCATGGCGTCAAGCACTCTACTGGCTCAAATGCGCGAAAGAAAAGCGTTGGAAGAAGGAAATCAAAAGCGACGATGATGATAATAATGGTTTGAATAGATGATACAAAATGGAGACAAAACAGAAAAAGAAAACGAACAAATAAAGTCATTTCGGGCATTTTTTTTGATTGCGGGGATGAGGGAGATAAAAGAAAGAGTAGAGTATATATAGTATGTACATAAAACGACAAATCTAGGCAACCTATAGCGTAGGAAGGTTCAAAGAGATCAATAGTCTTCGTCATCCTCATCGTCTTCATCAAAAGGATCTAAGCCATCATTTGCAAAGCTACTACGGCTACTTTGGGCAGGTGCAGGCGCAGGCGCGGCTCTTTGTCGAGGCTCATCTTCTGTATCTCTTTCTTGGTCTCGTTGCCTATCCCGATCGCGAATCTTTTGTTCTCTTCGGCCTCTGTTTACATCTTCACAAGCGTCCACCCAAGCAGAGTATACGTCTACTCCCTCATCGAGATCTACGAAAACCGAACCGCGATTAAGTATGGTTGATGCAAGCGACACGATGAAAAGGAAGTCATACTTACAGGTTATAGTGCACTGCCAGTTCACATCGCATATTTTACAAGAAAGATGTCCAACCTTGTTAGGTCGATCACTAAATAAACCATGAAATCGCACATCAAAAAACCGTAAACGTGTAAACAATGACCACAGCGAATAATAACATAGACCAAAAAAACACTTACAGCTTAACTTCAATACTTTTCTCATGGTTGCAAAATAAGCAATTAAAATGGGTGTCAAGCTTGTCCTTGAGCTTCTTTTGAGGCTGTCTCTTTACTTTTCGTTTTCCCTACAAACAATTTCAACGATTAGCTCAGCTTATTTTGCAATCAGTTCGGGAATGTAGACATCACTTACCATCGATCTGTATTGTGATTAGCACAAGCAAGAAAAGCGTTATTGGAATTCAGAGTCTACTGCGTTCGGAGTTATAAGTGTCAGGCCGTGACAGGGTCGAAAAATTCCGTATAATCAGCTTTGGCTTTATCACACGAAACATTTCAAGCTATGTACATGATACTGGTCAAATAGATACCAAGTATAACAGGATGGAATAATTGTATAGGCACCGCTTATTTGGAAACTCAAACCGACGTTTTTCTCATTACCTTATGCCTTTCGTTACTTTATATACATAAGTATTGCTGCGAAGAATAAGATTATATAGTATAAAATTACCACTTAAATATGGCTGTCATATTTGGGACTCTTCAAAAAGATTAGCACAGAGATAGTGCTCTTACATGCATTATGAAGGTACGACAGCCGAAATTACGTTTCCCTGGCAACTGGGTGCATTAATAATACGATTACCACGGTTTCAACGAGCAAGAAGATGACTTTTTAATAAGTACAATATCGATATACTGCTGTAAAACGCTCTATGTAGAAGCGCGTTATTTCAAGGTATCAAAGTCCATCACTCATATTATCCAAGATTCAAGATAAGCAGCAGCAGCAGCAGCAGAATTACTCACCATCAAGTTTTATCGCAGAGGTCATGACGACTGTTCCCACATTTTTATATTTACGAAGATCGAACAAACACATATATCAAGTGTTACTGCTCAACCATATCCAAGCTCCATGTTACCCGCCGATCAAGTCGTTTCGGATAAAACACGAGCGAACAATCGATCTTGCGAAGTTCAACCCACGCGACCAAAAATGTCTGCATACTCTTCGTCATAATTGCAGATAGTGGTAAGACACCACTTTGCTGACAGGGTGAAGAAGTATCAATGCTATGTGAGGAGTATAAACTAATCAAACAATGAAACGAAAATAGACCGTCATCTATCTTGTCACGAGATCTACATTTCAATCCTGTAATCTTTTTTCTTTTGATTATATGCTGTATGTTAATTCAAGTATAAGTGTAATATGGTAGTAAGTTATTAGAAATTTCAGTGCAATGATGTTTGTATCGGAAACGCCTTCGCTAAAGCCATAAAAAATGCTTAATGCATCGAAAAAAAACGCGCACGGGCATAAAAGACGGGGTTTTCCATTTACTCCGCACGAAACACATAAATGACATTGCCTAGCAAAACCAAACATCTTTGTTCTCTTACTGTTGCTATGCAAATTCTCCTGGTTCTTGTCGCACGAATGGGTCTCTTGTACCTGTTTGTTCTCGCCGTGGCCGCTGCTAATTATCTTTGGCATGCCAACCCAATCCTGCTATTTTCCCTTGTCACCATTGCCCTTGTGGCCTTTGTCGCCTGTGTTGAGTGTTGCACTTCGGTGCGCACGTCGATTCGTCGCATATGTACGTTATTAGATCTGTTTTCCGCCCCGCCTCCGCAGCCGTCGCCGCCATTGTTGCCAGCGCAATCTACTTCTGCATTTGTGAAAGTGAGGCAGTGTAATTAGTTTGCGTATGACGGACTTCTTCGCCCAAATCCCTCGGGAATTACAAATGGCATAGATCTACATGGTATCGATAACGAGGTCCACAAACGTGCAATCAGTCGTTTGCGTATTGGCATATTCAATCCACGGCCAGCTTTCGGTTTGAATCTAGACCCGATGGAGGTGTTGGTTGAGCGCGCGTACTGGAAACTGATAGAGAAGAAGTAGAGTGGTTCCCCAGTTTCGCGCACAGTAAGTGTACTTCACGATGCACTGCGACGACGTGTGCTCCGACGTTCTTTTCATGAGGTTCAGATGACACCTGTTCAATCGCCTGTGACAAACACTCCTGCTCTTACTTTCCCTGCGCCGGCTGCTACCGTGGGTGATTCCATAGCAGCTGTTTATGTTGGTATTTCACTCTATTGTGCAACAGTCGAGAACACGACTAGTCCGATGCGCACACGGATATGATGACGATACAGTCTCCGGGTCCCCTGCACTTGCATGGCTCCCAGGTTTCTGAACATGTCTCAGTGATCGAAGAGTCTGTGGCCCAAGAAACTGTCGTGGCAACCAATCATCAAGCTACGGACGACTCAACAAGAACGTGACATCGACCCAAACATCGGCATACAACCAGTCATCTAGGGCGTGTATTATCAGCCGTTCACCAACAAGACATTGTCGACCACTGAATTCAATCAAACACTTTGTTTCCTACCGAGCGATCTTAAGGCAGAAACTCACAGTCTCGAAAAACCAGACCATCTGCGTGATCATTCCCTTTGAAGACAGGAGCGTGCAACAAGTCCTATCGACCGAAGAAAACAACTATACGGATGAGACGCATGTTATTCACCTTCTTTCGGGACTATCACCTCCAATCTTTAGCACCAATCTCGGAACCACGATTATCAGCAGTACGATAGCTATCGAAGCGACTGCCGTATAATTCAAGTCAAGCAATTCGATCCTTGATTTACCAGATCAACCTCAGGCGGCAACTGGCACACTTCGGAAAGGTAACCGACATGGCGTTTCACCATCCGACTTCAAGCGTGACAACAGAGCAAATCAGTTATTGAGGAGGACCATAGGGTTTGGCGACCCTTATGTGAGGCTATATAATTTCTCTCAGCGAGCAGCAAGCTCTTGTTTTATCCTTGAAGTGATAATCATTCATCGCACACAATCATCCATTGTTGAGGCGTCCGTATCAAGGCAGTCTTTAATAAAGATTATGTGAACGACGGCGGCAAACTACGACAAGAAAGGGACAGGCCGCTGGCGAGCAGCAGCACAGAATCACACCCATTCTCAAGATTTGTAGGAAAACTTTACGTGCTTGATATCCAGTACTTAAATACGACATTGTCAAAACACAATATGCAAGGTTCTGGAGCTTCGAAACCATGTCCATTCATATCCGTTAAATGTATGCGAACAACCTTTGGGCTTACATATTCAATCCTGCAAATGATGGTATGTAAGCTATTATATATGTTTATATCGGTTGAAGACAGTACTTCTAACTGCAGAGCACTTTAACTAAAACTGGATATATGAAAGACTGTCGGCGCCATCCATCATATGGTTTTCTCGTCACAATGATTTATATTCTTCACCTTTTCCTGTTCCTGTTTCTTGTTCGACTTTTCACTTTGTATTTCATCCCCTCATTGGCTGGTAAGTAAACCAAGTGGTTGATATATGATTATCGGTTACACTACTTTGGAAACATATTTCAAACCACATACACGCGTTTGTACATCGAAACAACCCGATGGCACACACGTCACGAAACTCTTGCACCCATCCTAACCCTCAATCACAACGAACATGACTTCGGCGAGCAAAGTAGCAAGATAAGCATCAACACAAGATCAAACAGCTCATGACTTTCGAAGTCCCCAGCACAGCAGTTGAAACCCACATACAACAATCTTGCTTTTGCTATTTACTAAATGCTGCTTATCTGTATGTAGCCCACATAGACTGATTCGTCAGGTACGTAGACAAGAACATGCAATATACAGCTTTTAGTATTGTTCGTTCATCTTAGACAAGACAGTTGTAGATGCTTGTCGCACTAACGTAGAAGCTTCACATCCACACATCAAAACAACGATTACCTTGCACTGGAGGTGACGAGGAGACAGTTTCGAAAATGTATACAACTCCAAGACTTGATTGGTGACACAATGCAACCACCGGACCACAACCAATTAACATTCCACGTTAACGGTCGTTATCAAGCGAATCGATGACTGTGTGCGCCATCCGTTATCCCCCTTCCCTTATACATATTTAAAACAAAAACAAGAATAACAGGGCGAAAAACAGAAGGAAACCATGCTAACCCATTCCGTTTGTAGCACATATCACCCATGAAGGGCACCGACATTTAAAGACCTAACGCACTACATACACTTAATACATATTCATTCTAATACATAGTTTACTCTATATGTAACACACACTGTACTACTTTTAGTTCTTTAAACAATAAGCATTTCCAAACATATTTTTTCGTTCATCTGTGTATTTCATTCACTTTATGCGCTAGTAAAATGAGTGTATAGCACATATACTCCTAGAGTCTAAGCTTTTGTAAGAATATCGGTATGTTGTACGATGCAGTGGCAATTTCAGAAAGCTTTTTATTTCAATCCCACTCCTCATCATCGGAATCTTCACTATCAGACGCCATCGCTCCCTTACGTGCGGATAACACAGCTGCTAAACTTGAAGCAAGATCTCCACCGCCTGCTGCTGCTGCTCCGGCACCTGCTGCTGCTCCAACACCCACAGCGGCTGGAGTATTGCTTCGAGGAGGACTACTGTCACTTGCAGCACGCATCTTGCCACTTGATTTGAGACTACCAAAACCACCTGTTGCGCGAATGGATTCCATGAGGTTAGCGCGTCCGTCACCAGATGCAGGTAACCGTGGACCGGATGATGCAGGAGCACCTGGAGCTGGCGGAGGTGGAGGAGGTGGAGGTGGAGCACCACCTGCTGGTGGTGGTGGCGGTGGAGGAGGTGGAGGGGGTGGGGCACCGCCAGATGCGATTGGCGGTTGCGGAGGCGGAGGGGGCGGTGCAGCAGACGTTGGCGGTTTGGGTATGTTTGGACGTCCTAAAGAAGGAACAGGTGGTGGTTGCATTTGACGGCTTCCACGCGTCGGCAGTTGAGGTGGGCCAGGCACAGCACGTGTTGCGGTTGGTGGTGGTGGCGGAGGTGCGGAAGGTGCAGGTGGTGATGCATTGACAGTGTTGTTTCTTGCTGGAGGCGGTGGAGGCGGTCCTCGACTATTGGCAGATTTTCGTGGAGGCGGTGGTGGAGGCGGTGCGCGACGGCCTAAATGTTGCATAAATCAAAGCAAAAATAGTAAATTGCACAAGTTCTTATCATGTGTGCAACAACATATAGCACCCCCCGCATAATAAGTGCATATCGTCTGGCCAAACGCAATAAAAGTATCATTTTCTGCGTCAAGAAAACGGTGACTTACTGGATGGAGGTGGTGGCGGAGGTGGAGGGGTCTTTTTCGCTGAAGGCGGTCTGCTGCTACGACCGGGTGGAGGCGGAGGTGGGGGAGCACCGCCAGCAGATGATTTTTTGGGCGGAACACTACCGCCATGTTGGTGTAAGAATTCGTGGATAAAGTCTTGATTTTGGTTGATTTCGTCTGGGGTAATGCCAAGAGCTTTCAGCTGTTCGAATACACCGCTCCATTCAGGGTCATTGTTCTCGATACTGAAACCTTTATCAGGTGTATAGCCGATATGTCCAACATGCCTTGGTAATTTCCAGTAAAACAGAGCAGTTCACATAAGTATCTTTATACCCGACCGAGTAGTAATGCGATAGTAGCTTGTCAAATAGTTCTTGTAATCAATATGCTATGCTTACCGAAACTCTGAAGGCATGCCAATCTGATTCTTGTCGATGCCTTTCTTTCGTCCGTTCGCCTTCTTGAGAAATCCTGCTTTGCCAGTTCCGTCTAAGCACAGTTGTATATAATGTAACACGTGAGCACAGAATCTCTTGCCATGCATTCCATTGTTTTTGTATTGCATTACCATCCAGTTTTATTGATTCCCGGTTCAAGACCTTTTTGTAGAACGTGTCTGCCTCGCCCTCGTCTACAAACATCAACCCTGCTAGGTAATCCTAAATAATACGTGCAATGCGAGCCGGGAAACGTCGGTCACTCCAACGCTAACCATGAATAACAACGTATATTAAAAAAATGCATCAAACTTACGTCTGTTTCAAACGTGTGAAAGAATGGTTTTTCCTTGCTATATTCAAAGCCGCTATAGAGCTCTTGTTCCCATAGAACACCCGATTGATTCTGCAAAATACCGAAAAAATCCGGGCATGTGCATATAGTAAGCCTAGCTGTCTCCCTACACTTCACCATAACGCACGCATACCTTACAACCCCGGCTTCATTCCCTCTTTATGTATTACCTCAATGTCGATTATCCGTATGAAAAAGGAATCGTTCTTGTTCTTGTCTTTGCAGAATGCCACTGCACCCCATACTTTGGCATAGGACCATCTATTTGGGTCAGGGGAGGCGACAAACAGCCGAGCAACAGCTGCCGTGAGGATTTTCTAATATAAGGAGTTACGATTAGCTTCGGACACTCAATGAAAGGCCCCAGTTCTTTGTACGTGCAAGATGGCGAGAAGCGTACCGAGGATGGAACCGCTTTCCGAACAGTATTTTTGTCCTGAGCTGTTGGAAGCGTCACGGATGGCATTTGATGTTATTTTTTATTTTTTGAAAGCAAAAGACGATGCCGAGTTCGACCAGGAACCTTACTATTTTCAAGTCTGGGTTTCAATGGAAGCTTACCTATTTAAGAAGCAATTCTTGTGCTTCTGCTTACTGCCTTTGCATCTTGGCAACACATTACTGCTACGCAGTATCTGTCGTCATACCATCGGATAAATATAGTTTACTCGTCACCACGTTTTTAACTGCACAATCTTTTGTGACACTGGGATTACACTTCAGACACTCTTATTACTTGGCTCCTTGATCAGAATGCTGTTTTAGAGTTTATGCAAAAAATAAAGGGCTATGTTGCTAGTAGCCCCAGGTAAATTTATAAAGAGAAATGTTAAAATAAAGAGAACTGGTAAACAATTACAAAAAAGAGAGAAATGAAATGCACACTTTTAGGGGAGAGAGGTGGTTGTCTATACATCTATCATGAAGGGGAAAACACTATTTACTATGATAAATTTTCTTGTCGCTGTCGCTGTCGTTGTCATCGTTGTTGTAAGGGGAGAAGATGTGAAATAGAGTTGAAGAAAGAGAAGGTGTATATGTGAAAAGAAGAAAGATTAGTAAATGGACATGATTATCCAAGTTTAATTTTACCAGACAGGTCTGGAATCATGCTTTGCCATATCAATGATTCTCCAGCCGCCAGTAACAGGGTTCTGGAGATCTTCGGGTTCCTTAGTCATCACACAAGCGTAAGTCACTTGTTCAATATGATCCTCCTTGCCATAGACAACTTCGCCAGACTTGGCATTTCTGAATAGGATGATTTCCTGCGTGCGGAACGACATGACGAAAACGGGGATGTCGTTGTCAAGAATCTTGGCGGCCACCAGCTATGTACGATTATAGTCAGCATTAGATGTCTTCCATATACAGATACTTTTCTCTTCCCTCTTTTACACTTAATGACACTTACATCCACATCACGAAGATCCTGAATCTTGCAGTCACTGATCAAACCTTGCTGCATCTGTGCTTGAATGACAGCAGTAAGAACGTTGTAGGTCTAGCAGTCGAAATAGTCATGCATTATTAAGTCAGTAATTGCATTAAAAACATCAATTCAAAACGAACAACCTGATAACACTTACAGCTTCCGAGCACCACAACTTTAAAGTTTCAACATCACCCTTGAGATATGCTTCCATCACTTCAGGAACAATGTAAGTTCGTGCTTCAACCAAGAACTTGTCCATGTTGAACGAAGGATCAATGGCTTGGAAAGCACGGATTGCTTGAGCCTGGTCAGACTCTTCAAAGACGGACCCTAATACACACCAACAAAGACTATGTTTAACGTCCATTCCTGCCTATTTTTTCTGCATGATACGGATCTCATGCGAGAAACTCCTACTACAATAACTTACCAAACGTTTCCGAGATTCGATCAGTGAATGCACGGGTATACGAAATGAAGACATTGTCAGAGTCTTCATAATTTTTGCGTGCACGGAACACACCTATAACAGGAGGGAGAATTAGTTTCCAATAACATATCCAATACGATAATAGCCATGCACTAATTTACCTTGCATGAATGGATTCTCCTCCTTGAACTTGTTCCAGCTCTCCTTCCACTTGGAATCTTTGTGAATGACAACGGATGCACCTGCATCAGGGTTCTCTTCAACCCTCCGCTTGCCAGGCATGCTGGACTCGGCCTTTTGAGATTCCTCGCGCAGCTTGCGACGAGCCTCCTTGTCGACAAAACCAGTGTATCGTCCCGAATCATCCTTTACAATTGTCTTGACTGAGTCACCAATTTTACCCACAACTGGGTTGTTTCGAATCGGCTCAGAGTGTTTGTTAATGGTCTCCGAAGCTTCTTTTAAACGCTTTGAAGTTTCCTTGGCGAATTCCGTCTCGGATGCTTCCTTCCATGACTTGTTGACTGATTCGGACACTTTTCCTGCTGCCTTTGAGAATCGATCTGAAGCTTCTTTTAAACGTTCGCTCTGCTCTGATTGTTGCAACTAGAATATAACAACGGTTTTGTTTAGAAACAGAGAATGTTTCGTCTTCTGTCCATGCCATACTAAAGAGAGCTTGACCAATACAATCACCCCCTCTGACATGTATGAATGACAGTGTCATTCTATAAGTCACATACCTTTGCCTTTTCATACATTTCCTTTGCCTTCTTGAGTGCATCGCTTTCAGCAAGCTTGCCAGACTCGTCTTGCAATGATTTGACACCTTGCTGAAGTTCCTTGTCCTTTTTAATTTGGTCGCGAATGGTGTCCATAAACACCTTGAGCGGTGAGCTATAATGACGAACAGCAGTCGCTTGAGTTCGTAGGCGAGGAGCAATGACACGAGTGCGTGCAGAGGACGACAGAAGCGTTCGATAGGCAGACATCGGTTTAAAGGTATTGGGTCGGGTGTGTGCGGAAGAGTGGAAGGTGGAAGAACCAAATGGTATAAGTGTGGAATGGCGCACTCCGAATATCCAGGGTGCGGCTAAATTGTGAGAGCTGTCAACCGGTGGCTTGTTCTGCCGGCTATACTTCTGAGTGTGGGAAATTAAGTCAAATAACCAGGCATGTCAGCGAGCGAATATAATAATAGAGTTTCTGAAACAACCTATCAGGTTGTACTATAATGTGTAGGGTGTTAAGCAAGGTGCCTGCTGTTTGGTTTGATACCGATATTTCCAATGACATGATGAGTACTGGTACATAACAAAGATAGCAATGGAAAATCAATTGTGCCTATCGAGATGGTCTACACAGCGAGCATGAGGATCGCCACCCTAGCCTCTTGCGTGTAGGGCTTGTTTACAGTTCGGACACGTAAATGTTTTTGAAAGAAAGTGGTGATGGTAAAGTGGCTTTACTTTGCTTGGCTAAAGCGTAAAACTCAGTTATAATAGCTAGAGCTACGTACACTGATTATGCACTCTCAATTTATTACATAAATATATAATCGGTACCCTTGAGTCCGCCGTTTTCCTCTGAGGTACGGAGCAGCAAAGCTCTTCTCGCAGGTTGGGGCGCCTTTCATGCGCTGCGCCTCTTCATAGTCTGCGATTGCTATATCTTTGTCCCCCACGGAATATTTTCCCGACCGTGGAATAGACAGGGCGTCAGAATCTGCATGCCAAAGCTTGCAAAATAGGCAGAATCTCTTCCCTCATTCTTGATAATTTGGATACTACTGGAGAGTGCTTTGTTTCAGCGTTCTTATGGTTGTACACAGCTCCTTATAGGAACTTGAGCACGCCGGCTCTCATGGTACGAGAATCAGATATATATTCTCGTATTCTCGTATCATAGGAACTCTCTCGGATGGTCCACTGGAGCAGCGGGTTCTTGAGAAGAGGATCTGTCACTAGTAAACTGACCACCACGTCGTTACAAATTCGAGCAACATTGTCCGCCACAGTCGTTAAGTTTCCTTTCATATCGTCCATCTTCGCTTCCATGGCAACGAAGGGGGGTGGCTTATCGCTACACTGATCTATTTGCTGGCTGTCGTTGCTGGGCATGACATTTGAAGAGAGGAAAAAGGAAGCTTGAAATTGTTTACGAGTTTGCAATGCTAATAAATCCTATAATCACCGAGAACCCCAGCTGTCACTCCTAAAAAGGAACTCCCAATCTACAATACCTAACCGTTATTTTATCATGTACTATCAATTGATAGCACACTGACTCTAACACTACAGTGGTTCCCCGTTTAATTTCAACCTCAAAGGGGGTCTATAAAGTGTTGAGACTACTGAGGGTTGACACAAAACGAGGGTGATTCAAGCAGTGTTCTATGCCTAAAGGGGGTATAGAAATAATTGAGGGTTTATCTTATTGAGAGTGAAAGTAAATGGGGAACCACTGTAAATTAGCTTCATACACAGAGGAAGAAATCATCGTTTCAAGGTGCATGACAGGTGATACATTTGTCAAATTGATCATATTAAACAAAGCTAATGAGCTTACTATGATCCTGTTTTACTATTAAAACAAATGCTGCTGACCGCTTTGTTAGGACCAAAGAATTGATAACCCGATAATGTTACTGCATTTGCAACTATGATAGAAGCAGTACAAAGTATTTAGGGGGGAAAATGGTTATAACAATAGCCCTTTTTTGGAATACCTATGATATGCTAAGTTCTTATGATATCCCATCGAAATAGTTTCTCATAACAATTTGGATGATTATATACAGTACTGCAGATGACGACCTGCATTTGAAACTTTGCGATGAAGACTTTACTTTGACTTCTTTTTCGATGAATAAATGGAAAAGGAAACGCACCACTCGAGTATTAGTTTAAACGGAAGGAAAAAAATGATGCGGATCTATTGCAAATGGTGGCATAGGAAGGGAAAAGAAGCCAGAAAGCCAAGCTCTAAGTTACGGTTATAAGATAGTTCTACAGTACTGTATCAACAAATTTACGGTACGAAGATGATAAATAGACACAATTCGGAAGGTTAAATTACATTACCAACCGTATCCTGCATCCAGCGATAAGAGCTGGGAAATTTTGCCAACGAGGTTCTTCCTCAACCAGAGTGACAATGGCAATAATACTGCGTCAAGCATGAACAACGATCTCGATATTGAATTCATTTTGTCAATCTTTTCAGAAAAAAGTAGTGCCTACTAACATCTCAAGCCTCGGTAGTACTACGCTTGGCAATTCGTCATACGAAATGAAGGTTGAAGAAGATATGTACATCAATATCACGATGATTGAAAGAGATCCTGGTGAGATAGGATATAAACAGTGGCCAAGCAGTTGACGCTGACACGAATTATAGTAAGCCGCAACATTAACCACACATTTCAAAAGTATCCAGCGGCGTCTAATTGACGAAAGCAACAAAAAAATAGCCACACAAAAACACGATAACAAATGTAATTGTTTCGCTTAATCTCTTCGTCCAACAAGCCCATAATGATGTGTGAGAATTATTCTTTCCACGCGTTTCTTTTGAGTACCTCATTATTGACAACATCGACGTGTTCACCTTGTAAAGGGGCCCTGCACGCAACAAGGGCAAGAGGCCATAATGTTTAACCTCATGCTCGCTGCGTTGTTGATTTTGATATGATACATAGGTATAAACTAATTTTTTCTGTAGCTTTATTTCGTGCAAGAATTCAAATAGTTCCTAAGTGCTTCTAAATCATTTTGTCGAGATAATTATGTACAAGCAAACATGAAGAAAATAATATGTAAGCTCCTTTGAACCCGACACTGAAAAGAGTGTGAATGACGCGCACAAGGGCGCACTATTTATATAGAATGTATTGATAATTACATACTCGTCAGTGTTGCTAGCATATCCATATTCAGCGCCACTTTCTCACTGAGTAGATTATAGAGAAAGAAGAAATATAACGACAGCTTTGTATGACAGTTATTGAGGGCTTCACCTGCTTCTTACTTCCTTGTCATCCAAAAGTGTTATATAATCTATGTTTTTGGCATATGATTGCAGTATAAAAATCAAAAAGAAGGAAATCATACTTTATTTTATACACAATTATTTGGGGAGAAGTGGGTACAAAGAAGCAAACAAAAAAATACAAGGTTAGGTTTTTCCTAACCGAAATTGATGCCCTGAGCAAGTGGTAATGCGCCAGAATAATTGATCGTGCTATAAAACGAAAATACTCATGCATGAGTATATATGTACTACAAGTAGCTTGAATAGCAGTTGTTATTCACTTACCAGGTGCCACGACGGCAGTATTGCTTCCAAGAATCACTTCCGCTTTCTCGGCCTCCACCAGTAGCCTGTTGTGTAAAATCGTATTAATTTAAAAGTTGTCCGATTACTCTAAGTATAGTCTCATTTCGTTTCATGCCATATATTACCTTTTCTCCACCAAAGGCACCACCGATTTCGGCGCCGTTAGTTGGAATGTTGACGTTAATGATGCCACAGTCTGAACCAGCGGGGCCAATCCATTTGAAAATGGTCTCTGGGTTCTGTGTAAAGATGGAGCTGGATAAGCCTTGTGCCACATTGTTGTTGATAGCAATTGCCTCATCGAGGGTCTATTGAATACACAGTTATTGTAATTAGGTTCCTATCAGAATAACAGCAACCAGTAGAGTTTCCATGATAGCCAAATGCGAGAACATATGTATTACCTTGAAAGTCATTGTGTGAAGAATAGGGACAAATGCCTCGTCCTTGACGACATTCATATGTGGCTCAACACGGGTCAATGTAGGCTTGACAAAGTTGCCACCGAGAGTTTCTCCACCAAACAAAACTTTGCCGCCTTGCTCCTTGACCTTATGGAGAGTCTCTTCGTAAACACCTACAGCAGCTTTTGTATGCAAGGGTCCACACAAGACGCCGTTATCCAAAGGATCACCAATCTTGACTTGATCGTAGGCCTTGATCAAGCGATCGAGTAACTTGTTATAAATCTGTTCTTGTACAATCAAACGACGAGTGGTGGTGCATCGCTGACCGGCAGTACCCACGGCAGCAAACAAAATAGCACGTGCAGCCAAGTCTAAATCGCAATCTTCCATGACGATGATAGCGTTATTGCCACCCAACTCCAAGATAGGCTTGCCGAATCGGCCTTGTACGACTTGACCCACTTGACGGCCAACCTTGGTGGAACCGGTGAAGGAAAGTACGGGGGCACGTGGGTCAGCTGCTAATGCGCTGCCGACGTCAGTACCGCCTGTAACAAGGGAGCATAGGGCTGGTGGTAAGTTGTGTTCGCGCAAGGTCTTTTCCAAAAGTCTAGTGATGGCGATAGAGCACAATGGTGTCGTGGGTGAGGGTTTCCAGAGTACACCGTTGCCAGTGACAAGAGCAATGGCACTGTTCCATCCATATACAGCCACTAGTTTAACCAAGGAGTGATCAGAACAAAGATTTATTAGCTCGATATTCTTTCAAAAACGTCTGAAGGTGCAATGAGAGTAGTAGAAAGCCAAAAGTATTAAAGTATTTACCTGGGAAGTTGAAAGCGCTAATCACGCCTACTGTGCCGAGTGGATTCCAAGTTTCAAGCATGACGTGGCCGGGCCGTTCAGATGGGATCATAGAGCCCTTCATCATACGAGAAAGACCAAGAGCGTATTCCAAAATATCGACATATTCTTGGATTTCGCCAATACCTTCCGGCAAAATCTTGCCTAAATAGATTTGTTTCATGCTCATATTAAAAAAGGCAGGAGAGAACGCTGTCTAGCATTTCATAAACGTTTGAAGAGTAGAAAAGATTTACCCATTTCTAAAGATACAATTCTGCCCAAAGGCTCGAGATTTGCAACTAATGCATCACGCATAGCCAACAAGACTTGTCCCCTTTTTGGTACTGGCAACTAAGAAAGCAGATTCGACTTTTAAGCATACCAGCTAATATACATAATATGTAAAATTAAACCAAAATGAAATGCATTAAACAGCACTTACATCGCGCCAGATCTTTTGTGCTTCTCCAACCTTATCTAGGGCTGCATCAAGATCCTTCACATTGCCCTATAATATCAAGAAAGCATGATTCAAAGAATAAGTATATATACTTAAGGCTATTCATTTCCAAAATAAAATTACACAAGCAACGAAAAAGAAAGAAGAAATTCTGATACTTTACCGAAACCACTTCAGCAATCACTTCGTTGTTAACTGGATTCACCGAAGTAATAACCGGACCGGATCCTTTCCATTTGCCATCGAAAACGCCCTTGTTGCCAGCCTTTGAAATACCAAAGCGTTCAAAGGTATCTCTGTGCTTATCGAAGATGGTAGACATGTAGCGTGCTCCGTACAATCGAGTAACTTGGAAAACTTGAGTAGATAGGATTCTTCCTTGTCGCAATAACAACATGATGACGGATGCTCTTTTATATTGAATCGAAGTACTTGGAGGAGAAGGAAAAAAAAGAACACCGATAGTTGAAAACGCATAATCCCGCTTCTCTCCTTGTTTTTGAGGGCCGAGGGAAGTCGTGGGAAACTTGTGATGACCCAGTGACCTTCATTATACACTTACTATTTCTTGCTCAAACTAGAGTCTTGTCTGGCTAGAACTCCTGTGTTTCGAATCGTTAAAGTGTAAATCTAAATTCAAAGTTTGTGAGTCATCGTTTCGCTCTATTGTACCCGTTAACTAATAAAGATTGATTTGTACGAGACGGGAACTGATAAGGTTGTGCGGAAGCAAAAGTGAAAATTACGCTAATCGCTCGGATTGTGTAATTCTTATCGATGCAATTTCGTAGTTTCGCTCTAAGAATTCCGTAACTTTTCACGCTTCTTTCCGATGGAACTCTCACTGATATTACACAAAACTTTCGGATTTCCGAGCCTACAGCCGCGCTTAACGGTAAATACCTCTCTTTTCATGGGACCCGCTGTTTCTGCTAGGTTTTTTAAAGGTAGTATACTCAGCAAAACCAGTCTTGATGGGCACTCTGTTAGTTATCTGATAACAAATTGTTCGTTTTGTAATCATGGAGGAAATAAATGCTTTTAAAGCACAGCCAGAGAGAAATTTGCCGAGAACTGATTGCCATTTAGACAATACTATGGTAGATTGAAAAGCAGAGCGTAAAGACACACGCTTGTCCTGCGACGATGCGATGAGAGTGGGGTAGTTTAGCTACCGAAATTACGGCGCGCCTCGAATCTACCTTTACATCACCTCCTGGGATGGGAGTTGGACACGCGAACGCGAGCAGAAACACTCGTAATAGACGAGAATTTTAATTCTACCCCGTGGGAACTTGTAGCCAAGGGTATGGACCTAGCACATACACAATGTATGATATTAACACACAGAAAAGCATACGTACTATGTCCCAAAAAATGAATATTAAAAGTTCAATATATATCCTGGCTTGGCATGGCAACGTTACTTATTGCTATGACGGCAGTTGTGAACCGTGAGACGTTTAGCTACAGATGCACATGACAACCAAAATTTGAAATACTATCATTTTAGAGAGTCGCTTCTTTTCTTGTTAAGATCCCGAATACAATGAAGGAAATGTTATACTTCGTTTGCATTTCCTTTTCTCCTTTTTGCCTCACATAGTACCCGGATTTTACAGTATTACGCAATAGCTGAAAGGGCGAAGACAAAAAAAATCATGCATATAATGAAATGAATCCCAGCAGTGGTTACCAAGGATGGTGTGAGTGTGAGGGATAGAAATGTACGACGCAGAACGAGTGGGGACTTTATATATGCACCAGCTGACGAAACGACCTTAAGGCTTTTTTCCCCTGCAACAGCTATGGGAACCCACAGAAACTTTGCCTCATTGTTTGACCTTTCCGACATTAACAACAGCAGCGACGTAACTTTACCATGGCAGCCACCGATCTCCACCAGGCAGCAAAAGAAACGTTTGAAATATTCTCGCGCGATCCCCAGCTAAATATGCTCAGCAATCTACTGGATACTGGCAAACTAGCAATAACCGAGCAACGATACACGGACGCTATCAGTTGTTTTGACGACGCTATCGGTAAAATCAGAAGCAACTTACTGTCGACGGTTTCACTTTACCGCGCTACTGCCTTTGAGTTGGCTGGCCATTACCAACTTGCCTACAATGATGCCTGTTGTGCCATCAAGCATGCGCATACACTTGCTGACGGCTATCTCTGCGCCGGCAAATTGTTGCTTTTGCAAGATAACCTCCGAGAAGCTGCCCTTAACTACCAGAAAGGTGTCTATGCCGTGCCCCGTTCAGACCCAGGTCATGCCGCACTGGTGAATATGGCACAGACGGTCGCTGCAGAGATCGATAGGCGCAACGCATGGAAATTGCCCTATGATGTGGTGTCGCATATCATTTCTATGCTGCCACTCGGCGATCGAGTAAGGTTTTCGGCAACAAGTAAATTTTGGCGCAATTATTTGTTCAAGTCGGCAGCCATGTGGCATACCCTTGATATCGTTCCCGAGTTGTCTACATTTTCAATGAATCAATTAATGGCAGCAGCGTCAAGACAGCATGTTCGTAAGCTCAAGCTGTACTCCAAGGAAGCTCTGAATCTGGTCGCAAAGAACCGATGGGAAAATATCGAGTCTTTAGGTATTTCCTCGCTAGTAAATAGAAAGCATGGATTAGGAGGGAGGGGAGGGGGAAAGGCATGTATGTGTTTGGATTAACATTAGATTGTTATTATCGTAGTACTGGACATTAATGACTGGATTGGGTCAGAAGCGCTGGTACGCCATGTGTTTCAAATGAACCACTGCAGTCTCAGAAAGCTAGCACTCCACAAGTCACCGCTTTTGGGATCCAACAGTTTCCTGGCAGATGTCCTCGCGGCATGTCCTGGTATTACTCATTTAGCACTGGATACTCATCCTTCCGACAACCTCGGGCCACCATCGCTGAATTCACAACTATTATCACCGCTTCCCAATATGTCATTCTCCATAACTCATCTCTATATCACGGATGCTCGCGTCGCTGTATACCTTCCCACTCTCCTACAACGATGTCCACAACTACGCCATCTTGCCCTCGCTAAACATAATTCGCTTCGAAATGACGGTACTATCCTAAAAACGATCCATCAATGGTGCCCTCGCCTCTGCAGCTTTAGATACGGAATCCCAACTCTGGTCAAATCATACAAACCACCAGGGCTACTGCTAGCTGAAGAAAAGAACCAGGATCGTGATGGTTTAAGGTACCTGGCATACTTTCCATACGACGGCGGTACCGTTGATGACGACTTAGCGCCAGTAATGGAATCCCATCACAACACTTTGGAAGCAGTTTATCTCGATATGTCCGCCATTGTAGGGGGGACATTCCGTTCAGTAACAGCACTGATATCCTTGGGAGCAACCCATTTGCGCGAACTCCAACTGTATAACTATATCCTCACCGGATTCGGCATCACGACACCTGAGATATCACCAAATCATTTATGCGGCATATTCCATGCTTGTACAGCACTCGAAGTTGTCAATCTACGCCGTGTCAACGCTGTAAACAACCAAGTGCTCGATGCGCTAGGTTGTCTAATACATCTAAAACGATTGCATCTTGCCTTCAAGTCTTACTCTGCGACCTCAGTCATGTTTACCAAGGATGGAATCCGCCACTTTTTTGAAAAAACGGAGAGCTTACAGGAATTTCATTTTCATACTGAAAACCCTTTTGTAACGGATGATATTTTGTATGCTGTGGGTGGCCATAAAGGATTACAGCGCTTGGAGTTGTGGAGTGATTCGAGTTTGGCTGTTAAGGGCGTGACAAGGTTCGCTAGTGAAATGCAAGACTCAAATCTGACGCATGTCGTGCTTCGCGCGCCCCCATACCTTTCGGTAATACCAATCGATTTCGCAAGACTGGGTATATTACGAAAATTGAACTATCTCGAATTGCGCGGATACAAGGAAAGTGGTGTAACAAAACACAATCTGCTTGCAGTGTTTTTCCAGCAAAGGTTATCTGATGCGGCTCGATTGACAGTCGTCTTAAAGCGAGGACAAGTGGCAGAGGAATATCTTAGCGACCAGTGGCTTGACAACTTCTATAATCCCCGGATAATACCACCTGTGAAGCTTGTAGAATGCGACCAAAAATACCTATCTCCTGAATGGATGATGTAGCTGTTTGGTAGTGTAATACATTTCTATTAAATCTTTTGCTTTCAGAATGTCTTAGTCTCGATTATTTATAACATACATGTTGCTGCTAAGAGTACATATGTGTTGGAGGAGTTAAGGTGCTGACTATAAAAAAAACCAGAGCAAATGCAAAGCACAAGATAATAACATCATCACCAAAGTCAGTCAATTTTGATTCTGATCCATGGTTGAAAACAGAGTTATCTATTACATTCTACACCTGTACACGTTTTAGATGGTAAAACTGAACTCAAACGACCTTTGCTAGTTTCCGTACTTGCGTCAGAACTTAATAGAAACCATTCTAATGATGTCGTCCATGCAAGCCTGTGGGACCGGAAACTGTTATGAGCGGTGTGTAATCTTACGTTTATTGTAAACGAACCACTGATGTTCAATAATCCTGCTCTCCAGTATACACAGATGGTTGTGGAATTGATCCTGCTGGTGCAGAATCTGATTCTTCGTCATCGAAATATTGGTCTTGTAAATCTTGCTCCTGTTGTGCCATATCGTCATAAGCCTGTATAAAGGAAAGAAAAAAAGCAAGCAATGTAAAAGTCAGGAAGCCATTTCAACAGCATTTATATCCTACCGTGGAAACATTCTGTATGTCTCTAGTACTTACTTCATTTTGGTCTACTTTAGCGTAGTCAAATTGTGTCTATTGTAGAGTTATATAAACTCTTTAACAAGCTACTCAACATACACTTCTTCTATATCTCTCGTCTCTTACATCTTTTCCCGCTAAGAATCGCTCTTCCAACAATCGCACAAGTTCTTCCCGCTGCTCTTCCCGAAATGTCATCATCTCCTCTATATCTTGTTCTTTTCCTGTTTCATTCGCCTCTGTCATCTTGCGGTCCCCGTCGTCATCGTCGTCGTCACTATCCTCTTCTTCTTCTTCAAATTGCTCCTCGTCGATAGTTTTCTGCTTTTGGACTTGTTCTTGAGCTTTGCTTCGATCCATGTTGCCCAATATCCGCTGAACAAGGTTTTCTTCAGGATCGTGCGGACGATCCTTTTCGTCTTGGGTCATATGCTGACCGATAAAGTGCTCATAGAGTACAGGATCATGCTGCTGCATGGACTCGTCTGAGAAATAGGTTGATCCGCGTAAATGTCTTTTGAGATATTCATATCGTCGATTATGTATTATGCTTCGTAGCATATGTTGCTGTTGTGGTGTTGGTAATAATTGTTTCAAATAGAAGTCAACTTCATAATCTTCCTCTATCGAAAGTGTGAGTTAAAGATAGTGAAAGAGACACCACGCAGAAGTGTAACCCTTACCTCGGAATGGTTCAAAAGCTTCGAGAATGCCCGGAGGAAGATGTCGACCCCAACGACTTAAGAATAAGCCGTGATCGTGTTCGAGTACCTGCTGCATGACTTGCCGTTTCTCGGCTGCACTAACTTCCATTTCATCGGGTTTTAGCGCCTTGAAAGGAATCTCATTCGCATGTTCATGAATGTAACCTGACACAGTGTCCATTTTTATGCAAAGTAGTATGGGTATATCCGTACACGATCAGTTCTTTTTTTTGACGTTTAAGCAGGAAAGAACAAAAGGGTATCTAAAACTCAGCGACCCAGCGAGCTTTTTTTTTATTGTTTCATGCTAAAGCACTTTGCCTGCTCTTTTTATGGAACACTACTTTCAGGTAGGTTAGATCGCGTCATAATACCGCGCATTCGGGCGATTCCCAGAATAACGTACTAACATGTATACAGTCCGACGTTAATGGCGTGTTAGAATATGCGCCCGTGACATCGCCAAGGTATAACCCATACCGCCCTTTCCTTCCTTTTTTTTCAACATCTTTGATCGCGGTCGCCTTTGATTAATCAAAGTTACTGCGCACCTTTTATTCTAGCTGTGATTTCGTCGTTGTTTTGCGCAAATCAATAAACAAAACGCTCGAATATTTTGAACGATCAGCTGAAGCCCTAGATGCTTTACAAGCTGTTCTGTTTCGAGCCTGGCGATATAAAGAAGGTAATAATAACTTTGAATGCGCTTCGGGTCACCACTGATTCGCGTGCTTTTTTATTTTTATATAGGGCATAATGTGAACTTCTCTATATCACGCTATGAACGAGGTATTCAGACAGAGGAGTTTATACAATTGATGGATTCGAATAACTTGTTTGAACGGACAATGAGCCGTCTTTACGAGTTGCCGGTGGAGGTACATATAGAAGATCAAGAAAAAGGGGCGAGGGGAAATGCATAAATCTAATTTCGCGCCAATTTTTTTCCAGGAAGCTATTGATGTGCTACAAGAACTTATTCATGCAGATCCATCTCCACGCTACCTCACCTACTTTTTACGTGTAGCCAATGTGATATCAGACAAGCCGAGTTATTCCCAAACTATCGATTTCATATTCAAACAAAGTTTCAAAGTTGTGGATGAAAATGATGCAGCCGAAATACTAGCTGTAATACGCGAGCAACAATCGCACGCAACCCTAACACAGTCAGTAAAACTCACGGAACTCGCAAACTGGCTGCGCTCCCAATCTCAACATACAGCGACTGCGATCCCATCCGAAAGCAATCCACGCAAGAAAAGAATCATCATCAAAACGTTTGACGACATTAGGTAATTCTTTAACATATCAAATACTTGAACTACATATACTTTTCGATCCTTTTCTTTGATTCACCTAATTTCTTTCCTTATCAAATATAGCAGTACAGATAGTGCTTTGGATCTGAGAAAAAAGTGGATGCTGGAACGAAACGAACCGAGAACAGATACTCACATACAAGCATTTATCCTGATTTGCCAGCATCTGCGGAAACATGCTCAGCCAGTACGATCTTTGGAATTTAAAGAAGTTCAGCTCAGAGATGGAGAAGATCAAGATGAAGAGGCATCTCTGAAGAAGGCTCTTGCGCAAATGTTACAGTACACCTCATCCGATAACTCTTCAGTTGCTTCCTGTAAGCGGTGGTGTTTGAGCGTGCTTTTAGAGCAAAGATCTGGCACCAAATCTGTACTGACAGCCATGGTTCAGTTTTCCGATTTGTGGATTACGTGAGTATACGGTTCTTCATACATGATTCCAAAAGGCTTCTGGGAGTCTTCACTCATATATTTGTTGGCGAAAATTATTAGGCAATGGATACAACCCTATGCACTGGACGCAATCACCTCGCTCATTATCAAAGAAAATATCATTGTACATTACTACCATCATCTTTACAAGGTCTTGTTTTGTATGTCACAAGAAGCGAGGGCGGAAAACACGGTATGATAACTTGCTAGTTCACTTGGTTTGGAGAGAGATCTTCTTGTTGACCCAATTGGATTTTCTGTCTCTTCCTCTAGATCACGGATTTGTGCTCTTTTTTCTACCAGTTATTAATGAAGATCACCGAGAAAACCAAGTTTCTAATATTTCGTGATTATGTTTATCGACACATGTTTGTAAATTTTTATTATGGTTTATTGGTTGGAAGGAATCTATTAGTAACTGATTTACTGGCTCTTTTACTTACCAGATCCTCTCAGCATTCTGCGGAATACAATTTATTCGATATCGAACATCCTCCGATGGATTTGGATGCTGAACTGACAAAAGCAATCAACCAATGCAACAGCGAAACAGTCAAGTGGGATTCGACCTTACAGAAACTTGGGGCTGTAAGTAGAGTATTTCAAGAATCACACTAAATCAACGTTATCTTCAAACTAAAAGGCAGCTTCTTTTTCTTGTTACTATCAGCTGACTGTTATCTGCCCGAAAGCAGTTATTCTAGAGATGGTTTCACAGTGTTGTTCAAACAAAGATCGCCATGCCACTACCATTCCGGTTTTGCGTGCGCTGGGATCATTATGCCGCACACGCATACAGCAAAAAGGAAAGGCGCCAACCACGATCCTTATCTACTGTTTGGAATTGCGTATGTCTGAATGGACCTCGGAAATGATAGAAGAAAACACCGCCAATATCGCGGCATTTATAGCGGCCTGCAGTCGAGGAGTGGTAAGAATTTGCAATATATCCATTATTCAATTGAATCATACTGAAAGATATGATATTATGTTAATTAGGATGTTTATGCTGAATATCCTCCTCTGCTGGTACCACGGCGTCACGTTGACGAACATACAGACGTTTTACTCGATCTGCAATATTTCGTGCCGGACAAGATCATGGCCTGGTTAGATATTGAACAACAAGGAAACAATGTCTTCTGTCAACTGGGTTTAAAAACGCTGGATATGCTTTGCAGCAGCCCGTCAATCCAATGGAACGATTGGAGTGCAGGTCTTTCTAAGCTGGAAAGTAGCGATGTACCTGTGGGCTGTATCGATCCATTACTGCTTGCACGCACCATTTCTGGGATACTTGATTTGAAAAACAACAAGAATTTTTCTCTGCACGAACTCGAGGCTGCGCTAGCTTTTCAAAAGAAATTGGCGTCTGTATTGAACGTCCTCTACAGCAACCGACTTTCCAAAGAACTGAATGTATTTTTTGAGGAGCTCAAAACTAAACATGGTAAGGCGATAAGTAGAACAGTGGAGAAAAAGAAAGCGGGTCATTAAACTTCTAGCATCTTTCCGGTTGATTTATCATAGACTGGCGAACATGTATGACTTGGTGTGATTTGCAATACAATGTATCCTTCAAACAAAACAGTTCGACGCCGGCAAAACTCAATATACCCATTCAACTCGAACCTATTATTAACGATTTGGGCGGAACATGCCAATTGTATCGACCGAAAAACTATGACGATCCGGAAACTTGGCCCACAATGTTTGAAGCATGCAAGTTATCCTCAACCTTTACAAAACAGTTATTCGCAGCCAAAGATTATTGGATGTATAGTTTGATGCTGCTGTGGAATCACCCGGACGATGATACACTAGTCACAGAGAAACTGCAACAGACACTCCATCCATCTATATCGCCTAGCGTGATGAACGAGTACGAGCAGCTGTTGGTAAATTTCTTGGGCGAGTTGTATGACTCTTGCGATACCGCTGGCGAGGTAGTGCGCGAGTACAGCTATTCTCATAAGGGTATTCAAACACTCGTAGAACTTCTCAACGATTCAGGTAAGAGTCTATAACACCGTAATAGCGTGATGATATGATGTTAATCACCAACGCTCATTTACTAGATGCAAAGACATACTGGATAGTACTTTATATGTGCAAGCTTTTGGAAACTGAGGCGCCGCCAAATGCTTATGCAGAAGATCATTTGACTTATACAGTGGGGATCATTAAGGCTTTCAATGTTTGTCACAACTGGACCCATCCTTTCCAAGACCAAGGCAGCCAGTTAGCCTCACTGCGGCGATTCCGAGACGCAGCTTTCGACGACGACATTATGCACCAAAATGTGGCAAAATCATGGGATGCGGATGGACAAGAAACAGACGAGTTGAGCAATGCAAAGGTGATTGACGTCAGCTATCCGTTTATGGATGCCAACAGTCAATCCACGCAGGCGCTTTCCATTCTCACTTTATGCAGACTATGCAATGTGTTCAATCAAGTGAAAAGTGATGCTATTCGTGAGATAGTACGTGTACCGCTGCTTCAAGTCGTTGAAGGGCTCAAAGGTAGCGAACAACGACAAAAGTTTCAGCAATTGGCAAGCAGTCAAGTCAAGTCAAGGCTGGATAGCTGGAGAAAGGGAAAAAAGCAAAAGCGTCGCGTCATTTTGCGACCTGTAATCGATCCAAAACATACGGATGTTGTGACATATTATACTGGACTACTGGAGGATCCTGGTTTACAAAGTGCTATATCACAAACCTTTAAACTAGTCGATGGTGAGCAGCATCAGCTGCCAAGTAAAAACGTGAACAAAAAGTATCAAGCGATATACTGTATATAAAAGAACAATGGTGTTTCCTTAGCAATTGAATTATTGTAAATATCGATATAAATGAAATCCTCTCTGGAAGAAAAAAAAAGTTGTTTTAGTGATCAACCTATAGTAGTGCATGTCAAACTATAGTTCAAAATGAATATTGTCGCTGCATTGATAAAGAAGGTCAGCCAGAAAATTGGGCTGACTTTGCATTGTGAGCTGGCTCGAGCCCGCTGCCGCTCACTGCATTTGAGCTTCCGCTGGTCGAAGACATCGTTCTCCCTCTTTTCCCTTAATCAGCCAACATGGAAGCTGTCCAGACTTTTGGTCGCAAGGTGCGTTATATACACGAAACGATGAATAAATAGATGGATGGATGAGTGCGAGATAGGATGGATTACGATACGACGAAAAAGGAACGAAAAAAAACCTCGATACACATGTCGTGAATGAGAAAATTCAGAAAATAATTGGAAGGGGTGGTTGGCCATGCACAGCCGGAAACGACACAAAGAAAAAAAACGATTGTCCAACCAACACTTACCTGGAACATCAATACTAAATTCAATATGTTTGAAAAATTAGAAAACTGCCACCGCTGTTGCTCACTGCAAGCGTGGACGTGGTCTTATCCGCGTTAACGGTGCTCCCCTTGAGCTCTTGGAGCCCCAAATCTTGAAGTTCAAGGTCTATGAAGTTGTCCTTCTCCTCGGTGAAGAGCGCTTCGCCAACGTCGACATCCGTCTCCGCGTCCAGGGTGGTGGTAAAGAATCGAATTCAACTTTTTTTTTATTGCGCTTGTCAATTGGAGTGCAAATTAATTTTCTAAGTATAAAATTGTTACACATCACTATTATAGGTGTCGTCTCCCAGGTGTATGCTATTCGTCAGGCTCTTGCCAAGGCCATCGTCGCTTTCTACCAAAAGTACGTCGATGAAGCCTCCAAGAAGGAGATCAAGGAAATCCTCGTCCAGTACGATCGTACCCTTCTTGTGGCTGATCCCCGCCGTTGCGAACCCAAGAAGGTCAGTATCTTTACTAAAGAGAAGAAATACCAATTCATTTTACGAGCGAAATTTACTTATACTTTTTTTATCTTCCCTCGTATATAGTTCGGCGGTCCAGGTGCTCGTGCCCGCTTCCAGAAGTCGTACCGTTAAACGCGGATATTGCTTCTATTCATCTTGTACTCTTTTTATTTTCGCGCTACGTTACGATAAAAGGAGTGTTTTACACATAGTACAAAACAAATATTGTCTCTATTCATATTGCTTGGTAACGGGAAGGGATTTGATTGCTAATGATGGATTTTTGACTTTGGTAAAGTGAGTGGGGGATTACGATTAAGAATACATTTGAGTGTCTGGCTGTGGAGGAAGATCATTCTGACCGTGCAGTGTATGTATACATTGCGGGCCCTTATGATCGAGGAGCAGTCAATGAAGATCGAACAGCGGATTCTTTAATGTAGAACCATTTTAAACTATCAAGTAGTTCAATACAATCGTCGTTTATGGGGATATATAAAGCTTGTCGATGTACTTTCTCAGAGAAAGTTGATAGTGTTACATCAACTGGTTCATATATGCTCAACTAGTTTGCTGCATAAGCACACTTGATACATTTTATGTTTAGATGCACTTTCGCTCTCGATCGCACTATTCTGCCTAAACCATAACTGCGGGTCTAGCTAATGTACGCGCCCCATCAACTCCTAGCCTCCCATGGTGAAATTTGGATATGATAAACCACAAGGGATTGTTAAAGACTACAGAGTATATACTACTTCATTACGAAGATGTAAGTCGCCAAGAGCTCTGGCTGTGGCCATGGTACTATCTACTATATGTTTATCTCGTACGAATTCGGCTCTTACCTTCACACAGCAGCCATTAATGATATGACAAAGTATAAAGCTACGATTACCATGAGAACAACCTTTTAACAGAGGTGGACTTTTTATACAAAGTCTTCAAAAACCTACTATCTATTATCAGAGCAAATGTACCAAGTACTAACTAAGGTAAGCTGAAGTTAAAGCCATTGTGGTCATCGTATGATAAGGACGATACAAGTGGCTTGATTAGTTGGCATGCACATTATCTTATTCGAGAGTAAGTACATATGTGTTTGCCGCAAAGAGACTGACTGTGGTTATATTGAAGTCGCTTTTATGTTGATTTATTTATTATGTAGAATTGGTCATTTCTGTAGCTTCGAAAATTTCCTTGCTCTAATTATCACTTGCTGTTGTTTTAACTACTACAGTATTTGTTTAATGCATTGAAAAAAGAGCACTTATCAATAGATAACGTACTATTAATTTTATGCTATATCGCTGTTTCCATGTAGTACGCCACTATTATTACTGCAATTGCACAGAAAAAAGGAGCATTTTTGACATGTTGTTTTTTGAAAGCAGAAATAACAATGCCGAGGATCTGGAGTTTGTAAAAGAAACCTTATTAGAATATATCCATAGCAGCGATATTGATGGATACTATTCCGGCGTATACAGATCAATAACAGTGTCGTTAGAGAGCTAAGGGCTATGGAACTCAGATAAAAGTGAATAACAAAATGCTCAGCACCATTTGGACCTTTTAAAAGTAAGTAGCATCATCTGAAAATCAACAAGAACAATAGTGGGCAATTAGTTGTGCCTGAATCTTATGATTCTACCCCGCAACACAAACAAAATTGCGAGGTGGAGAGAGAGGGGCTGTGCTGGGTTTTCTCGGGAAATACTTTAGTTTTCTAAAAAAAAACACCAACACCCTTTTTGGTGACCATGTCTTACGACGACGACGACGACTACGAAAGCGATTATTCTTACGGCGATTCTGTTCGCTCCGATGACGAAGAGGATCTCGAAGATTACAAGAAGGGCGGCTACCATCCCGTCTCCATTGGTGATCGCCTCAATCACGATCGATACATTGTCGTACGGAAGCTCGGCTGGGGCCATTTCTCCACAGTGTGGCTAGCCTATGACACAGAGTAAGCTGTTCCCCCTGATTTTCTATTTAAGTGATTGATACATTACAACATGGCTCATTTGACAATATGGGGTACCGTTTTTCATTGTAAACCAATAGAAAGAAACGACATGTCGCGCTCAAGATTGTTAAGTCGGCCCGGCACTTTACTGACAGTGCAAAAGAAGAAATAAAGTTATTGGAAGCGGTCAAAGTGTCGGACCCGAACGATGCAGGCTGGAAGCACGTGGCGCAGATGCTGGATCACTTTACACATAGTGGACCGAACGGCAAGCACGTATGCATGGCCTTTGAAGTGCTGGGTGAGAATCTGCTGTCGGTGATCAAGCGGTATCATTACAAGGGCATCCCGGTGCCTATCGTCAAGCGGATTGCGAAGCAGCTGTTGTTGGGTTTGGATTATTTGCATCGCAAGTGTGGGATCATTCATACCGATCTCAAGCCCGAAAATGTGCTGGTGTGCATACCCAACGTGGAGCAGCTGCTGACGATCGAAACGGCTGATCTGGTGGCAAAACTCAACTTGGAGGCAGAAAAGGAAAAGAAACAAAAGGAGAAGGCTGCTATCACGGCTGTGGCTGTTGCAAAAGCAAAGGCAGAGGCAAAGACAGTGGCAGCGAAAAAGGATGACCACCAGCAGTCAGCACCATCACAAGAACCACAAGGACCCATGTCCAAATCACGGAAAAAGCGGTTAAAAAAGAAGGCAAAGCAAAAGGCGGCAAAGGAGGCAGCAGCCCGAACGGTAGCAGAAGGCGGGGGATCAGCCGAACAACAACCACAACAGCAAGCGACGAAAGCAACACCAATAGAGAAATTAAAGATAGATCAGCCGAAGGTTGAACCATCGGCATCACCAAGCAATGACACCAACAACAACAACAATGAGTGAGTGGTTACCGCATTGCACATGAGCTTAGTCAAGCCATGCCAAGCCCCTAACTTGATTTACCTATATTAGCAAGCACGAGACGGTCGATACAGCAATGACGATCATACCATCAGCTGTGCTAGGGTCGACGCTGGAGGATTTTGAGCGGATAGAAGTGAAGATTGCGGATCTGGGCAACGCATGCTGGGTAGACGAGGAGAATACGCATATCATTCAGACAAGACAGTATCGAAGTCCAGAAGTGATTGTTGGATGCAGATGGAATGATCGGGCGGATATGTGGAGCTTTGCGAGTCTGGTAAGCGAGTCGCACTGGTGCCTGTGTGTGTGTGTGTGTGTGTGCGTTAAACTTATCAGACTTGTGTGTGTACAGATTTTCGAGCTGTTGACGGGCGAGTTTTTGTTCCATCCAGAAGAGGGAAGAGAAGGCGGAGAGTCGTACTGCACTGACGATGGTAATGTTGTATGCATGTGTCTGTGTTTGGTGTAACTGTAGCCAAGAAAACGGGAACTGACAGATGCGAGGATTTACAGATCACCTGGCGCAAATCATCGAGTTAATGCAACCGGGGCCACATAGCGCAAGCATGGTGCCTCGGAGTTTAACTGCGGAAGGCGAGGACTCGAAGCGGTTTTTTACCCGGAAAGGAGAGCTGCGGCGCATTAAGCGTCTTCGGTACCGACGGTTAAGGGACGTCATCCACGACCAATACGCGGCGCTGGCACCGCAAGCGGATGAGATAAGCGAGTTCCTGCTGCCCATGCTGGAAATGGATTTGAGGAGGAGAGCAGGTGCGGCGGATATGTTGAAAAAGAGCGAGTGGTTCATTGCAAAAGAAGAATAATAAAGGAAAAGAGCTACCCAACAACAAAGGCAGCGAATGGCCGAGACCCGCTCCCTCTCTCTCTCTGTCTCTGTCTCTGTCTCTGTGTGTGTGTGTATGTATTACAGTACCACTGTAATGCTTTTCTCGCCCCTCTGAGCTACAAAAATAGCAGCAGCAGCAGCAGCAGCAGCAGACCTTCGCGCCTTGCGGGAAGATTACATTATCCCCCTTTGACAGACTCTCTCCCCTATTTTTTTTTCTCACTGTTTTCTTTTTCTTCTTTTCCTCCTTTCTTTCGCTTGAGAATACCCATGGGCGCCAACACCTCCAAAGCTGCTGGTGCTGGAGACTCCACTCATTCTGCACATCACGCCCACCAGAAGATCAAGGATCTCGTCGACCTTGGCTCCGTCCTGCCGAATGGCCTCTACCCTACTGCTCAGCAGGACTATGACCTACGCTGTGTGCGTAACTTGATAGTGGCCCGCAAGCTGGCACCCTTTTATAAAGGTAAATAACCAAGGGAAAATGCATCGTATCGAAGCTGCTGTGTTGGTGCGTTGTCGGGGGGAATCGTGCACCAGGTGGAGGCTGACGCCAAGCAAAAACACACGCATACACTACAAACTATCATATCACACAGGTTTGCCAGACGCACCGGATCCTATTTTGCCGAAGAATAAAGACATGAGCCATAGCGGCCACAGTAGCAGTAGCAACAACAACAACAAACACTTATTACCGCCGGCACCCGCCCCCGCAGCTTCGTCCTCCATGACCACCGTCTCCTCTGCGTCAAAAAGAAACCTCAACACTAGACCACGCAGTGCATCTAGCAGTAGCGGCAGCTACTCCAACAACAATACCCACCCACAGAAAACACAGCAACAGCAACATCAGCAACCGCCTTCCCGCCCTCCCACAGAACGAGAACTGAGGATTGAAAGGATGCGCTTGCGTGAAAAGATGCTCTACAACGATGCGATAGAATGTCCTATATGCTTCCTTGTAAGTGTTTGAGGGTGGGGTGGGTCATTAGGATTCATAATGGGTCATTGTGTGTGTGTGTGTGTGTGTGTGTGTGTGTGTGTGTGTATGTGCGAAGGATAGAAGGTAACCAGCGTTCGTACTCTCTGCTATAGTACTACCCGTCCAACATCAACTATTCCCGTTGCTGTGATCAGCCGCTCTGCACAGAATGCTTTGTGCAGATCAAGCGACCACCGGAATCGCAGACGGCTCCGGCCACATGTCCGTTCTGCATGCAGGACAATTTTGGTGTTATCTACACGCCTCCATCATGGAGTGAGAGCCTAAAGGTACGCGTGTCTGTTGGGGTAGATTATAGATCCGTGTTTGTATGCATGGCTGACATGAAATTACATATATCATCCATCCACTACAGAAGTCATCTGACCTTTCTCCCGCCGCCACCGCAAAGACCAACGCCACGCATAGCACACCTCGACACACTACCTCCGGTATCAGCAACGATGCAAGGCCACGTCGCCAAACCATCAGCCATCAAAATCCCAGTGTTGTTCTTGTTGGTAAGTCGTGTGCGCGTGCATTTTTCTTTGCTATTCCATTCGGCTCATTTGAAAACCCTATCCTTCTGCTATAAAAAAGACCACGTGAGGCCCAACTGGAACCGGGTCCCGACTACTGCAACAACAGCAACAACGACGACGCGAAGCTCGCGAAGCAACTCTTCTGCGGCACAGTTGCGCACTGTCCCGACAGCACCCGGAGTGTATGCAACCCGTCAGGGGCGATCGGCGTCATCTGCAGCTACGTCAGAATATGGTCAATTCTTGTCCAACATGCGGGAGATGGACCTGGATTTGGATGCTTGGATGCTCAACGAAGCTATTAGACGGTCGCTGGCTGAACAACAAGAAGAACGACAAAGCGGCGGCAGCAATAATACCAGCACGACTCATGCCTCTCAATCTCCGCCTGTAACACAAGAACCCATTGATGAAGACGATGAACCCCTTTACAACACCGCACGAAGGCTCGAACAGCAGCAGCAGCAACAACAACAACAACAGCAACAGCAACAATCCATATCATCCACCTCTTCCTTATCAACCTCGACCTCTTCATCTGAATCCAACTTTCCTACCCCTGATACAGAAGCCACCAACTTATTCAACCGAACTGCTTCTGAAGAGGATAAAGTCAGTCATCCTCATACTCACGATAACGCTGCTGGCGCCAACAGTAATCCCACAAGCAACGACGCCACCGTTTACTAACAGTAAAGATGCATCTCACTTTTGTGTTTCAATACACCAAAATCTCACCCTTGAACCCATGTCTTATAGCTACGAATTGACTTCGTAAAGCAAAACACATACCCATTCAACAACAGCAATCACAACCATTCACATTCTGTATCTTTCCATTGAAACTGCCCCCACCCCGTATACATACAACTTCCCTTTTTCTTTTGCAAATATATACATTATCAAGAAGGAAAGCTATCAAGGATATCATCAAATCTGGGTCATCAATCTTGGATAATGCTGTTTCGAAGGTGTAAATTGTTGGTAGCTCCTTCGTTATTGTTCGACGAGGATCATTTGCTGTATCACAGAAATTAAAGAGCCATTGGTTTGGATGACTCCACCAAAAAGAAACCTTTACGCCCATTGAAACTCTCTCCCGATGATCGTATCATTTGGTAATGACAAACAATGCAGCAATAATAACAACAGGAGCATCGGGTCAATTTGGCCGTATCGTAGTAACAAATACATCTGTTTTACTGTCGCAAGGTCAACATGAACGCCACAGGATAGTGCTATGACGTCAAGTATCGCTTAAATTGTAGCTGTAGTGAATATCACGAATTTGGAAAAGCGTATGTATAACTATTTCAAGAACAGCAGTATTAGCTGTCTCAGTGGTTTGTCCGTCCATTGTGGTGATGACAATGCTTATAATGCCACAGCATCCAAATTGAAAACTAACACATATTAGTATAAGGCTGCATATAAAAATAAAAACTGAGGCTTAGATAAATCCAGCAAAGTCAAATGTACGCCTTTTATCGACTTGGCTGTGTTGTCAGTCTTACTCTGCGTCTATAGAGTGAACACAGCCCGGGCATTTGTTCGCTCTGCACTGCTAGAATATTGTCATTGTAATTATCTCCACCATCCCTTTCTCTATCATACTCGTTTCTTCTTTCATTTCTACGAACATTTTATACTTTTGTTCTTTTACGTCATTGCCATCAGCAAGTATGTAGGGATACAGTTGTACTTACAATTTACAGTAAGCAGCTTTCGTGCTGCAAACCTCTTCATATTTCGGAGCACAGGCGCAAACGCTGGGATAGCAATGGCTAAATCCTAAACTCAAACAGTTGATCATCCTGCTCGATATTATTGTTCACATATATTATAGCTGCTATGGAAACTTAAAAATCATGATAAAAAATGGGTCACTCAAATATGCAGCTTCTACTAAGTATCTCCAACTGATTTAGTAACACTGCGAGAGATGAAAGGATGACTGACGGTCTAGTTGTTGTAGAGATCTTTTGGTAATTCGCTTTGAGCATACACTTACATGTCCTACTAATAACTGTCACGAAACTATCATGCCAGTACATCTTTGTATCTTATTAATTTGGCCTACTTCATAATAGCAATCGCTGACATAAGGTGCACGGGTACTACAACCGAACCCATTTGGAAAAATACTTTGAAGCGCTACACTTTCAAAGAAGAGCCATGACACTATTTCATGGGTCCCACAATAAAGATGCTGAAAAAGATATATATAAATAATCAATGGAATAGTTTGTTCATGAAGCGATATATAAAAAGTATAGTCTACCATCTAAGAGGTTTGAATTGGCTTGCCTTCATTTAAATGCTTGTGTGCTCAAACCCAATGCACATCATTGGAACCACAACTACAAGGCTTACAAAATTGATGCGTAACAAGTCCAATTGTGTTCCAGAGTTTTCTTATAAAGAATGAGAAAGAAGTACAACTTTATCATAATATACTGTATATATTTTCGATTGTCAGTGCTCCTCATTAGCGGTACAGTACATGCTATAAAAGAGTAGTTTAGCATGATCTTTTTCTCATTTTTCTTTTCTTTTCTTGACCGTTTTGTCTTTTTGCTCTTTTGTTATATCCTTATGATGAACGTTTATATATTTGATGACGGCACACCGGGTCTACTCCCAGGATATAGCACTAGTAGAGCTTTGGAAGTAAACGATTTGAATATGGGGCGTCAGGTACTCCATCAATTTGGTTTTCTTGTAGTTGTGCACTTGATGAATATAGCTTGTACTGAAGTAACTTGAGACCATCGTCACCGTCATTAGATTCTTTTGTTTTTGTTTTTTTTTGTATGTGATGTTTAATGAATAGGGTAACTTCTACGTCTCTAGGTGCTTGCGATCTATCGAAAAGTATATTTATTTGTCATGATCACTAATTAACATTTTGAAATAAATATAATAGCGGGCAAGGACACCACGCCGCATAGTGAGCGTAATTGCGTAGAAATCGAGCATAGCGATAGATAATACGAAGTTGGTAAAGAGGTGATGTGCGCTGCGACGGGCGACATCCTCCTATCATACTGTTGCCTACAGCCAATTGAAAACGCCACCCTTTTGGCGTTACGTTTTTTATGCGTGTACCATGATAACGCTACTGCTATGGAAATGAAACTTTACGTTGTAAAAACTCACTTGACCATTGCCTTTATTTATTTAAAAAATTGTATACTGGTCAACTCGTTTTTATCGCATATTAGCGTAGCTTATAGCGTATTACGTGATCTAAGCAGCGAGAGCTCTGATTATTCTTTTTTTAGCTACTGGGGAATATCCTAGTTATCTTTGTATTTTTTCATGTTATTGCTGCCATATCTATCTACCCTTTGCGATTAGTGTGAATCATATCATACCTCTAATATTATAAGCGTAACGGGAGCCTTTACAGAATGTTCTCTCAATATAATAGTATATGCAGTTTATTTTCTCACATTTAAAATTAACTCTATTAGTAAAAATCGACATGTAGAAAAATTCACTGCTGTCAAATCATTACAGATTACAAAAACTTCAGCCCCCAGCACTTAAGCGTTCGAAGAAGCAATCAGTACTTAAGTCTTGAAACACTTCACTGATAAAATATATTATAAATACGTACTTGTCAACTGTTGCGAACAATGTTTTTACTAACACGGTGGGACAGAATCATCATATGATGCTTGAAGTTTTTAAAAACGTACCTACTGCTCTAATCTCATATGTGCGTATTTTCAAAAAAGTGGGGCATGTTATCCTCTGACGGATCAGACTTTATCCGTAGTTGGAATAACCGCTTCAAAATCTTTTTTACTTTAGTCCAGCTACAATATCCCATACCACAACAAGTGCATTCACAAATTTGACGTAAAAGGATAGATTGGCTTTATAGTGATCAGAAGGTTTGAGCGTCTATTACGGGCTGATCACAAAGTACCTGGTACAATACATGTCATAGGTTGGAATCACGCAAGATGCCCTACTATCTTTCTGTCGTACCTGAGAGAAAATGATTGATCTCCGATTGCCGTGTGTGCTGGATTCGCCTTTGGAGTGCTCTCTTTCTGTGAGCGTTGCTTGACAGATTTTTGCATCAAGTATCATCGGATGGAAGCTATATATTAAGGCGGAATGTGTAACTTGCTCATGTTTAACTACCACACATATCCAAGTGAAAAAAAAGTATAAGCCCCTGTCGTTCACAGCAACCATCTGATAAGCCAATGAAATAAGGAGAAAGATGGGTGCACGTCCCGCAAAATCTGATAAAAATAAACATCAACAGCTCAGATGAATAAAATTGTGCTTTCTTTCTCTCTTTTCAGGAACCACCTAACTTTCTGCCATGAAATTTATAATCCCACACGATAGATTTGTACGGAAAAGTGACTTTAACAAGGCCGCATACAGCTATGCATTATTTAGCTGGACCTTATTTTTCGGATACTGTGTTGCATACCAAATCAGTCGTATATACCTGTATCGCACTCGAAAACAACGGATACAAAACGACAGACGAGGAATGAACGCTGACGACGACGATGACGACAACGATATCAAGGATGACAAACCCGACAACAATCTTCCCCTTAACGGACTCTTCAACACATATGTACGGATACCTTGGCTCACCAATATGATACCTGTAAAACACGTTTTGGGCGTATCGTTGTTTTTTATTACGAATGTTATATTTTGCTTTTTTGCACCATTTGTACTCGCCCCGTATGTTCCTGAATACGAAGTCCCGATACCAGCTCTCATGGACAGAAGATGTGTTTATATTGGCATGGTGAACTGGAGCTTCGTTATTGTCCTTGGACTGCGCAATAATATAGTGACTCGAATGTCCGGGTTGACGTTTGAGGCGCTAGTCCCTTTCCATCGATGGGTCGCTCGGATTGGCCTACTTGAATTCATCCCACATATTGTCTATCGACTGTAAGTTCCATCAAGTCTTTACTTGTTACTCATATACACTTTATATAATTTATATAATCTATCAAATGATCTCATACTGTAACTTTGATATATGGCTTTTTCTAGATGGTGGGCATATGACCAACATAAAATTTGGTATGAAGCAATGACGTTGGACTCCGAGTACATGACGGGTACACTAGCAACATTTGGATTCTTCCTCATTTTCATCACGGCTTTTGAATACATCCGACGAAACCACTTTGAATTGTTCTATTACACGCACATCATCGGTTTTGTCATTGCCATGATTGGTGCTTTAACCCACGAGATTTCGTGTATTTACTATTTCAGCCCTGCAATTATTCTATGGATCGCCGACCGACTATTACGATCTTATAGATCATGGCGCATTCCCTCAACCCTGCAGAGCATCGAGCCTGTTTCCAACAATATCATGCGTATACGTTTCAAATACGATGGTCTTGGATCATTTGTACCCGGGCAATACGTGTTCATGGCGTTTGCTCACAGTGCCACTGATAAGCTGGGGAAAAAATATCGGTCGTGGTGGCAACATTACTTGAATTGGTACCCGATGACGGTGGCCGAAATCTCGAAAACGATCCAGTGGGACGAAACGACACTATTACCGCGGATGCGAGGAACCTCCGACACGTCGTCTGCAACGGTCTACATCAAGGCACTCGGCGACTTCACAAAAAGTCTTTATAACGCAGCATCACTTGGTCAAGTCCAGAGTTTTAAGGTTGATGGACCTTATGGACCAAGACTAGAATATCAAGACAGCCACGTTATGGCATGCTTTGCGCTGGGTGTTGGTGTCACACCAGCCTTAGCGCTTATTCAGGACTGTATGAATCGCCGCTCTGCAGGGAGTTCGACAGTACTTACATCAAGTATTCATCTTTATTGGATCATTCGACATGCAGGTAGCTAGCAGTGGTAGTAAGAGATGGATACGAGATACAATTCCCATATACATAATTTGGACAAACATGAGGGAAGGTGGTTTAGCGTGTTGAATTATTTTCAACAGACATGACTGACCTAAAAAGGAACAAAAAACTTTGCATACAATTAGACGAGCTTGAACCGTTGCGGGAAGTCCTGGAATCATGGCTGCACGCGTCCACTCATTCCTCGCCGCGATTCAATCTCTCGATCTTTATAACCCGTGGCACGGCCATACCGAACGAAGAACGGATGGTTGGTACCCGATGGTCGTGTGGGTCAAGGCCCGACATTGCCCGATGTATGGACAACATCAAAAAATTAGAACAAAACAAGAAAGTATGGGTTCATACCTGTGGTTCAGCCGAATTCATGCGGTCCGTTCTCAATGAAGCTGCACGGTGCCAATGGGAAGCACATCATGAAACCTTTGAGTTTTAGTACTGCAATTCTAGTCTGCTGCTCGAATCTATACAGTGTAATAGCTTAATAATATGAATTAGTCCTGACCTCTCAAACAATTTTTTATACTGTGTATTCTATGCTTATTCTTTTTTCTCTTTGATTACTATAACAAGGTAAAGTCATAAGTCTCTATGTGTAACATTCAAGTGTGTCCGCGGAGATTTGGGTTACATATTAAGGGCTGCTTTGGGGCAAAACCTGGTAAAAAAAAGTGAAGATCGTTTCGTATCACCGAATGTCAGGGTTTCGGTCCACTCTTATATTGAGGATGATTCTGTTTGTATATAATCTGGCGTGACACAACATCAAGCTGGATTTGTGTCTGGCCCGCGCAAGCAACATGATCGTGTATGTAACAATCTGATGATCTGATACTGAATTCTTTGTACTGCCACATACAGAATACGAGATCAAGAGAAAAAAACGAGACTAATCTAATATAAATTCATGACAATACAAGTAAAGTTCCCTTTCTTTTGTCTACCTTTCGTTTAAAACTTCTCTTAGCAATGGCTGCCTCGGTCAAGGATAAACGTGCTTCCTCATCCATTGAAAATGAAAAGGTTGATGTTGTGGTTCCACCATCTCAACAACAGCAGCTGCAACCCGAGGTAGAAGAAGAGGATAATAGCATGCAGCCTGGTGTCAAGAAAATTGAACTGCTCAAGCAGGTGTGGACCAAGTCTGATATTTATATCATTTGCATCGGGTAAGATCACAATCATAATATACATCAAACAACACTACTCAATAAAGCACATTGAGAAATGCATTTTTCTATTATTGATTTGGCTAAAAACTACGGTCGTCTATCACCATCTATTAGTGTTCTGTTCGTGTCATGGTCCTCTCACTGGGAAGGCTTCATTCTCCAGACTATCAACCCCAACGTGACCAGCTCCTTTGGCGCTAACGCAATCATGAGTATCCTGAGCACCGTTACCAACATTTTGCAGTCTGTTCTGTTTCCTACCTACTCCAAGTTGAGTGATATGATCGGTCGTGCTGAAATGTTTACTGTGTCTACTATCCTCTATGCCGTCTCTTATATAATCATGGCCACCTCCCAAAACTACGCAACGCTCGTGGTAATAATTCGTTGATACCTGCAGCATTTGATTCCTTTAGCTTATTTATCATATCTGACTCGTTGATGTTATTCTCTCATTTTTGTTTGTTCTGCAGGGCGGTAAAGTTATTAACACCTTGGGCGATACTGGTATTATGATTCTTTGCCCAATTTTGATTGGAGGTAAATAATTTTTGTTAGTTTAGGGCTTGTTTGCTATATGAGTTTTCAAAGAAAAAAATTCACATCGTTCGAAATGCACTTTAGATTTGACCAGTGTGAAGAAGAGAGGCTTTTACCATGGTCTGTTTAATATTCCCCGTATTATCAACTTATATGCCACATCTTATGCCGGCAATGCCTTTTGGTACAGTGGCAATTGGCGCTGGGGTAAGTCCCATTTCAAGGGGAAAAAGATGAAGCGTGTTGTAATGATCGTACAACAATACTAATCAGTTTTTGTTCTGCTGCTTGCACCAAAATAGGTTATGGCCATATTCCATTCCTTCTTTGCGGTAGCGCTGTCCCTCTCTTGTTTGGCCTTTTTCGTACCCAAAAAGTGTTCAAGGAGCGCGGCCTGTACGATAACTACAAGAAAGCCTACCGGGAGCGACACGGTCACCGTAGCCGATGGCATAGCTTCATATGGTATCTTGTTCAAATCGATATTGTTGGTGCAATCCTTCTTGTTGGTGGTCTCGCTATGATTCTTTTGCCTCTCGTGTTGGCCAGAAAGCAGTTCGGCGGTTGGGCTACTGCCAATACTCTTGGTACCCTCTGTGGTGGCGTCGTAACTTGGGCCTTGCTTGTCATTTGGGAATGGAAATACGCCGAAAAGCCTTTAGTGCCACTCACCAAGTGGCCTAATAACACTGCCATCTTGGGTGTTTGTGCTGTTTCTACGGTGACCATTATTTCATCGACCAATTGGCTTTACTTTAATACCTATCTTCAAGTTTCTCGTAAGATCTCTCCTGGTCACGCTAGTATGCTCGGTCGTGGTTACAATACCGGTTATATGGTCGTGCAGTTCATTGTCGGTTACTTGATGATGAAAACTCGGTAAGAAGCCTATCCTTTCTGCTTTTCTTTTGATTTATTTACATGATAGTTTATGTGGCACATAATAATCAACATTGATAATTTCTAAAACATAAATTCATTAGTGTTTGGCGCCCTTACGTATGGGGTGGCGTTACATTGATGATTCTTGGTCAGTATTATGCTGCGTTATCTTTACGGGGTCGATCAGAACACTTGAAAAGATATATCAACACGATCATTTGTGTGCTTTATAGGTGTCGGCCTCATGATTCCCGCTCGTAAACCAAGCTCTTCGGAGGCATTCGTTGTTATCTCTCAAACAATTGCTGGTATCGGTATGGCAACGAATTTTTGGATTGTGGGAAAACTTTGTTGGGCTACTATAAAAGTGTCTAATTCATATTTTTTGGAATTGCTTGTGTTACAGGTTCGGGTATGATGGACATTCCATTGACTGTAGCAGTACAAAGCTGTGTTCCTCACGATGGTTAGTTTATACTTATACACAATGTATGTATATTGGGAGAGATTACTGACGAGTGTATTGAACTGTGATAGATATGGCCATGGTCACCGCCCTGTTTCAAGTCGGTGGTTCTATTGCTGCTGCTATTGGCTCCACGATGGCAGGTAGTATTTGGAACAACCTGTAAGTCACTCCTCCAGTCTTTAACTAGACCTACTAGCCAACTAATGAGTTGCTGAAAACTTCTGTTGACTATAGTATAAGCTTTACTAACACGACAGTATAACAATGAACTGTTATTTTTCAGGTTGCCTCAAAAGCTTGAACAATATGTCCCTGGTGACTTCGATGCCGCTCAAATTATGGGTTCGATTTCGGTTGCCCAGGGCCTACCTGAAGAGCAGTACCAAGGTGTCGTCCAAGCTTACAGTGAGGTGATCAAGACATTGTCCACCATTGCTGTGTGTGTCGCTGTTCTTACTTTCTCCTTTACCATCCGCATGAGATCGTTTGGTCTATCGGACAGCCCTAAAAATCGCGAAGAAATGGAAAAGCAAAAAGATGCTTCGGATACTACTACTGCTACTATTGATGAAAAGGCAAGACAACGTGGTAAGAAATGCAGTTCTCGGAAATGGTCAGATCCGCAGCATTTCTTTGGAAGTGTCCAGAAAGATCCTCCTGTTCGATCAACGCGTATTGTGTATGATGGGATATTTGTTAACGCTCTACATACATAGATATGTAGTTGGCGGAGGGTATAAACTAGATATCCCCACTTCATCTTTTATGGTTGGTGGTGGCGAGTCTGCTGATAATAGTACGCTGGCGTCGTTGTGAAATTGCATTTACGTATTCAAAACAATGTGTAAAATTGGCATGTATTGCACGATAAACAAGTACGCCTCAAAGCTATTAAATGTAATTGAGCGATATTCATAGTACAAAAAACACGCCAATATCTGGAATAACTGTTTTTATATTTGTTTTTGTGTCCTTCACCTGATGCCATGGTAATGGTATTCATGATAGATAGAGTCATCCCTTTACCTTATCTAAGAGAGAGTGAATGCGATGTACTACTCTTCGGTCTAATAGACCGGAGACATAATAATGATTAGTTTAGTTGTTGTTGTTGTAAGGTTTGCGTTTGATTGTTACCACTATTACTACTACTATTAACAAGAATTCGCCACCAAAGTTTAGGTTCCTGCGCCCCTCGCTCGTATGACAACTAAGTAGCGAAAAAGTTGATAAACCTGCTGTAAGCTATGCGTTTAAAAAGAGGTATCAAGGGGGCCAATGGTGCTTGAGTGCTCAAGCGGAAGCAGGAGGAATCTCTTGTGTGAAGGATTGCTGCTGTTGTCACTAAGATAACCCCCGTATCGTTATGAGACACACATGTCAATAAAGAAAGAGAGAGAGAAGAGCATCTTTGACAGTTGCCGCTTTTAGTTTCTTTTCCCCTTAAACATAGAGTGAACGTCGAAAACAAGCAAGAAAGGCCAGCACTTTCTCGCTTTCGCTCTTTTTTTTCAAGAGCTCAATCAATCCAGATGAGCGGATGCGGGTACTTTCCGTAAAAGTTGGATTTGACACACGCCTCCTTTTCTTTTGCCACCAGAAAGAGAGATAAAGAGAGGAGTCCTGTATCCTACTACTGACTACCATTACGAGCGGTCATTTAAGGTATACAACAAGGGTGACCCATTCAGCACCGACATCAATAGCCTACGCTCAACGCCCATTCTCGGGGTGACGCTTTCCGTTTCAACCTCCCAGAATAAAAGCAACAACAGTAGCCACTACGGTGGACTTGCATGGTGCATGCTTGGACGCGCCATGGTACATTACTTACCCCTAAACTTTGTCTTTTGCTTTCCGTGGAGCGGCAAGCATGAATGCGTCGTATATGGCCACACGGAATTTCGTGGTGCTTTACTTGAAAACACGAGTAAGAAAGAAAAAATATCATCCTGTAGTGATTCGAAGCACAAACATTTGTAAGTACATGGTATACGATCCTTGTATTAATGAAAGGTAACGCAGTAAATTACGCAGTATGTCGATTGAGATGAGTATGGTTAGGCGCAGTACGGAGAAAAAAAAAGCGTAGTGTTTATTGTTTGCAAAACAATGCACGCTATCAACGTGTCATTAAACGTAAATATCCGTTATTGTTTACATAATATTTGTTGGTAGGATAAGAAGCTCATCACCACTACAAGCGTCCATCGTTATCAAAGATAATTGCTCGCATCATATTGCTTCTTTTATTTTGCAAAATATCATACAGCATTTCGCACAATATATAACGTGCCGTTCTTCCTCTCCACTAAAAGTTGTTTACGCGATACAACTTTTCCGATCGGGTTAGATCCGTGAGACAACTTTTGTGAACCTACAAAGCATTTCTTCTTGGCCCCCTCCTAGTTTATGCTCTCAGCCAGACGGGTGCCCTATGTTGCACTTTGTGAGCAAGTTTGGAGTTGAAGAGAACCTTGTGTAGTAGTACTAGCACCACAGTAATAGTGACAACGGCGGTGTTCTTACACAAAACACCGACATTTCCGCTGCAAACAGGTTTCAAGCAACTATTCTGTAGCATCTGCTGACACAACTGTTTGCCACAGTAAGGAAAATCAGACATTTAGGAGAAAAAAAAAAGAGGGTATTGCAAAAAGAAGTAATAGCCGATTTCTCTTCTATAGCAGCACTACGATCAAGCCAGTACTATTAAAGAAGCTGTTGCGAAGCACATTTTCATGTATGCTACGGCATAGATTCAAGAAATATCTAGTTGATCCATTGTTATGTTGGAAAACAAAGAGTTCTTCTTTTCGTCAATCTCTATTGTTTAGATAGTACAATAAAAGAAAAAAAAGCTACCCTGGGTCCACATATGTGCGTGTATCAAAGTTTCTTTGTGTGAAATGATAACATGCCACTTGACATTACTGTTTTGAAATCTTTTTTGTACACACACATTCACACATACACGATGTAAGTATCGGCATGATGTACATGTGTGCTTTTCCGATGCATTGGATCTGTATACTGCGCTGTAGTATAATGGTTATGATAGAGCCTGCTCCTCCTCCCCTCACAAGATGATATCGCCGCGTCGTTTTTCACAAAAACTGCGAAAAACGGAGCCGAGAACACAGAGTCTAAGAGACTCTTGTATTGCTCCCTAATTTCCAGATATTCCGGAATGTGGGTGGTAGAAGTACTCCGAGCCTTTTCAGATGGTTTTCAGATGGTCGGTGACTTAAAGCTTTGCTCTGAGAAATCTGGTGATACGACAAAAAATCTAAGCTTGGAACGGTAACCGACTGCTACTACATAGTATGTGTGATTTATTTCACTACTTGGATGAAACGACTGCGCAATACATCATCGGACTAGTACAGCATGATGCATTTACGATCTAGTAAGTCTGGGAATGTGCATCATCGTGGGCCTTATCGCAGGATCCTATCTATCAAACATAGTGTGGGGCGTGACGATATTGGGGGAGACGGATGACAATATGTGTTTGCTTTACACTTCCACGATCTACTACATCTTTCTTTGAGGGGGAAAAATACCCACAAGGGAGAACTTGGGGGCTAGCTAGTTTGAAGAGGAATTGGGAAGAGAACTTATCCATATATAAACAGTTAAACGCGCCCTTTAACATCACTTACTCGTTGTGCTTCTTTCTTTTACTTTTTATTATACCTCTTACTAAAAATAATGTCTACACAACTCGCTTACGCCGTAGCAGCCTTCATCGCAGCTATTGTCGTTTATCGACCATTCATAACCAGACTCGATCGCATGCGCTATATAATCTTTTCCACAGCAGTAGCCTTTGCAACATTGCTCTTATTTGCCTCATCCCTTTCTATTACCACTACCACACTGCTCAGCGGCAACAGCAACACTACTGTTCCTATTCTATTCAGCAATCATGTTGGCAACACGCTATATTACCAATGGAAAGCACCAGCAGTAGCAATTTCAACATACGCATACAATAGCTATAATGAAAGCACCATCACTGTCTGGAAAGATCTTTCTCTGCTCATCTTGCTTTCAGCTACATCCATCTCCTTTTGTGGTATTCTATCGCGATGGGATTTTCCAATTCTTCATGTCAAACCCAACGAACCTGCTATCTGCAATTTTGTACATCGTCATGTATCCTCGGTAGCTATCATTCTACTTGGAAGTTACAGGTAAATGGGAAGAAGATCTACTAGTATCTACTTTTTCCATTCGTGGTTACACTTGGTCTTCTAAATTGCCAGTTATTAACACACCACGTTTTTTTATAATAGTAACGCCATTAATAACACAGAACATCCACATCAAGTCGTGTCGATCTTGTGCCCAGCTATTGCCATGTTGTATCTGATCGCTGGCCCTTATCTTTTTCGCAGATGGGGCGTCGTCGTAGCCACAGCGTGTTTGATCGCTTATATTGGCCATGTCAGCACTTTATCTACTTGTAATGATTTTCAGCAATCGCTTTTTGCTTCATGGACAGTTGCCGACTGGCTCGCCGTCTCATTTATCTTTGCTGGTAGCACTGCTGCATTGGACTACTGGGATGCTATCATGAATACCTACCCATACCTATCCTCTGACAAACTCGAAGACCATGTGCGCATGCAGGATCCAATGAAAATACACTACTGGATCCACCTTACAAAGACCATTATGAATTTGTCCTCTGAAGCTGAACTTGATCCAGAACCTATTGAGGACTTGAAAGCCGCTATCCGCAGCTTAGGACACAACGGTCGGTCCTGGAAAACCATGTCGATCCTGTTCCCATCCAACCTACGACAAGAAATGTGCGTTCTCTATGCCTGGTTCCGCGTCTGTGACGATATCGTGGATGACATGGATCCCAAGATCTATGGCACCTTTGCACTCGATTTGGTCCGCAAATTTCTAAACGAAGTGTTCCATGGCAAGAAAAGCAAGCCCGTTTCTCGCCAGGCAACAACCAAGTTCGGCAAGGCTGCATTCGGAGACCCTAGCGTACCAAATGTGGTCGATTGGAACTATTATGCACAATACCTTAACGAAACTCAACTGGCGACCTTGCGCGGTTTCTCTCGACTTGCACCCATTCTTTGCCCCAAGGCTGCTTTTGCACTTACTGATGCGTGGAAAATCGATATCCATCGCCAGGCGATGAAGTCGCAAGACGACTTGCTCAATTATGCAGGTCTTATTTCCGGCCGATTCGCTGAACTTTGCACTTGCGTGATCATGTACAAGTCCGGCCGTGGAAACTGGAGCGGTGTGGATCCCGTTGCTCGAAAAGATGATGTTCTCAAGCGCGCACGTGCCACTGGACAGGTATAGAACAAGAAAAAGCTCTTTGCTTTGTTTGTTTACGTTTCTCAGTGTCAGATGAGGCTAAGTTTACTTTTTTCTGCATCATGTTATTCTAGTGTCTTCAGCTTATCAATATTGCCCGTGATCTGATTGCCGACAGCCTCGAGGGCAGGTGCTACGTTCCTCTCCAATACATGCCATCCCGACGGACGTACAAGACACTCAAGGATTCCCGTGACCCGAGCCGAATTGGTGAAAGCACTTTAAAATCTTACGCGATGCAGATCCTCAAGCTGGCCGACTGCCTTACAGGTCAAGCACAAGTCGGCATCGATGGCTTGCCCTATGAAGTACGCGACGGTGTCCGAGCAGCATTCGAGATCTACTCGGCTATTTCTCCTGCTATCCGTAACGCGCAAGGATTCCCAAAACGTGCCAAGGTCCCCAAACGACGCCAGCAGATGATTGCCTTTAGCTGCATCTATGGCTTCCATCCAGGATTGGGCCGTGTTCTTCAGGCTGCTCTTTACAAGCTTCTCATGCTTAACAAACTCAGTGGACACAAAAAGCTTGCAGACATTGCTCTCCCATCAAAGTGAGCCGGGGTACTCAGAGCTGAAGTGGGAGTTGTTGTATCTGCACATCATTCTTTTGTAGTGGTTTTTGTATATTTATTTCGCAAATGCATCAGCCCCGCACCCTCCTCTTACTACATCAGCAACAGCTGCTTTATCATATATCATATCGTGTCTGCCATTGAGCAACGACATCAAAAAAAGAATAAACATCATATTTTGTGCATAGCTTAAAAAACTGATAAACAAAATAAGGGACCCCGCAAGCGTATCTAGTATCTGTATATAAAAGCTGTTTTCTCTTTATTGTGTGTGTGTGTGTAATCATGTAGAAAGAGAGAGAGAGAGAGCATATGTGTGTGAACACAAGAAAGCAATGACGGAAGGGCGGAGCTGATCAGCGATGAAGAAAATACAGAGCTTTCCTTTTCCGCTGCCCTTTGTGTTGAGTGATAACAAAACTGTATTACGCAAACTGCACAGCGTCGATCGTTTTTCTCTTTTTGTGTGCTCTGGGCTGTATAACGCATACTATTTTACGTCCCTGTGATAAACATACAGAGGGATAGCGCATATTAAAAAGTATCGCACCAAGAAGTATAAAATGAAACCGTGATAAACGTCCAGCCATTGGTCACCTCAAAAGTGTGGAGCGCCGTCGGATGTAATCTGCAGCTGTATTAAACTTTTTTTTTTCTCTATCGGGGAAACGACGCGGGCAGCGTATAATGGCGTGATTGAGTGGTGCTCCGGGGAGTGAGAACCGAACTCAGAGAACGCGCCTTTTTTTCTTTGTTCGTTTTATCAGTTACCAGAAGCAGCAGAAGCAGCAGCAGCAGCAGCAGTACAGTGCAGCAGTAAGCAGGAGGGCAATAAGCAATCCGCTTCTATGGAGACAGAGGGTGGCCATGGAATGAGGGAAACACAACCCTCATGCTACTGTGGAACATTCGACAAGCTCATTAATAAAGCATGTGTCTGTGTGCCAGAGAAAATATTGAGAAAACGAGCGGCCGCTTGAGACATGTCCAACGCGCGCCTCTCCATTTTTCTACACATGCTTTCGCCTCGCATCGTTTTATTGTTCTCCTCCTCCTTGCATTCATCGTCCATCATTCTTCAGTGTATCGAATCGATTGGGGGCAGCCTCATCCTTCTCTGCGCAAACAAACAAGGGAAGCAGGACGATTGGTTGCACAGGGCACGTGTGACGAATGCAGTTTCAACAAGTTCGCACTTCCCAAAGAAGTACTCACGCACTATTTTTATCATTCCCGACGCCCCAAACAAGGCAACCATCGCCTGTCAAAATATGTTGCGTAAACTGTATATATTTATACTCTGGCGCACCCTCTCGCCCTCTGCTCATTTTCCACCTTTTTCTTTCTTCTTCCCTTTGCTGTTGTTCTTTGTCACTACCCTGTCCATTATCATGCGTTCTGCCACCGCCATCCTCTCTGCCCTCGTCGTCGCCATCGTCTGCATCAGCGGCTCCTACGCCCAGCAAGGCATCTTCAACGTCACAAAGCCAACGCCCAACTCACCCTATGTTGCGGGCCAGAAGCTTCCTCTCGTCTACGATGTCGCATCCACCACCACTGAGCAGAGTGAGTCTATAGAAGCTTCAGTAGCAAGTCAACGAGGAAGGCTAACCTTTTGAATTCTGCCATTTACCCAAACCTAGCCCTCCAACTGAGCGTCACCTTGATCGACCCCCGCAACGCCACAAACAATGTCCTGATGGTTCAGAACGGCGATATCTCCCAGGGCTTCAGCAACCAAAAGGAGATCGGCAACACCACCGTCTACGAACACCAGACAAACGTAAGCTATTGCAAGAGTGAAATGGTAATAAAAGGATTAAGCTTTCTAATGGGTGCACCTATTTATATTAGTACGACATTCCCACCAACACCGCCGCTGGCGAGTACCAGGTAAGCATATGACATAGATATAGAGTTCAGGGGCAGCAGCAGAAGCAGCAGCAGCTACCACCGCCCCGCCAAAAGCAAGCAAGCAAGCAAGCAGGCAAGCAGGCAAGGAGACCCAAGAATAACCCACATTTCCCCAATATAGGTTGTTTACACCAACACCATTACTGGCTACAACACCACCATCCCCATCACCATCGCCGAGGCTGGCACCACTCCTTCCCCTGCCTCGCCATCATCCACTGACGGCTCTAACGATGATGAGACGAGCATGTGGGACACCGGCGCTGCTTCGTCCATCTCTCTTGCTCCCGTCTGGTTCACCTTACTTGCCGTCGTTGGCATGGCTCTGAACATGTAAAAACCAAGAGGAAGCATCAACAAATTAGCTAATACCACTCTTCTTCATACAACAAATCATTTCCACAACACCATTCTGTAATTTTTTTTTCTTTTTTCTCAATGCATTTTTATTTACTTTTTTAATAATTTGAACAAAAAGGCTTAAAGATGATTTGCCTCCTTAAAAAAACTGCTTGAGAGCGAAAAGAAAAGAGAGAGACTGGAGACCACAGAGTGAAAATGGAGAGGAAGAATACAATTAACAAGAGTAGTCCCAAGTCACGCACCCTGACTAGTATATACACAAGTGAACTAGCCGCAAGAAATTAAACATGTTTATTTCTTGCCAGCCTTCTGGGCAGCCTTGGTGACCTTGCCAGACTTCTCAGTCTTGTCGACGGCCTTGATGACACCGACGGCAACGGTCTGACGCATATCACGGACGGCGAAACGGCCAAGAGGGGGGTACTCAGTGTAGGCTTCGACGCACATGGGCTTGGAGGGAACCATCTTGACGATGGCAGAGTCACCAGACTTGACGAACTATTATATCCACAACAAAAATGACATTAGCAAACTTGAGCACTGCAAATGTTATCCAAACCCACCCAATCTGACAAAGTAAAACTGCTTTCTTACCTTGGGGGCATCTTCCAACTTCTTACCGGAACGACGGTCGATCTTTTCCAAGAGCTCAGAGAACTTGCATGCAATGTGAGCGGTGTGGCAATCCAAGACAGGAGAGTAACCGGAACCAATCTGACCAGGATGGTTCAAGACGATGACCTGGGCAGTGAAGGAAGCGGCTTCCTTGGCGGGGTCGTTCTTGGAGTCAGAGCAGACGTTACCACGACGGATATCCTTGACGGAAACGTTCTTGACGTTGAAACCGACGTTGTCACCGGGGACACCTTCAACGAGCTGTTCGTGATGCATTTCGACGGACTTGACTTCAGTGGTCACGTTAGCAGGAGCGAAGGTGACGACCATACCGGCCTTGATGACACCAGTCTCGACACGACCGACGGGGACAGTACCGATACCACCGATCTTGTAGACATCCTGGAGGGGAAGACGGAGGGGCTTGTCGGAGGGACGGACTGGGGGATCGATGCTGTCGATGGCTTCCAAGAGGGTCTTACCGCTCTTGGCACCAGCCTTGGTTTCCTTGTTCCAGCCCTTGAACCAGGGCATGTTGGGGGACTCATCCAACATGTTGTCACCGTTCCAGCCGGAAATGGGGACGAAGGGAACGGACTTGGGGTTGAAACCGATCTTCTTGATGAAGGTGGAGACTTCCTTGACAATTTCGTTGTAACGGGCCTCAGAGTACTTGGTCGAGTCCATCTTGTTGATGGCAACGATGAGCTGACGGACACCGAGGGTGAAGGCCAAGAGAGCGTGCTCACGGGTCTGACCATCCTTGGAGATACCAGCTTCGAATTCACCAGTACCGGCAGCGATAATCAAGATACCGCAATCAGCCTGGGAGGTACCAGTAATCATGTTCTTGATGAAATCACGATGGCCAGGGGCATCAATGACGGTGACGTGGTACTTGGGAGTCTCGAACTTCCACAAGGCGATATCGATGGTGATACCACGCTCACGCTCGGCCTTGAGCTTGTCAAGAACCCAAGCGTACTTGAAGGAACCCTTACCGAGTTCGGCGGCTTCCTTCTCGAACTTCTCAATGGTACGCTTGTCAATACCACCGCACTTGTAGATCAAATGGCCGGTGGTGGTGGACTTGCCCTGTTGATCAAAGAAATAGAACGTTCACAGAGAAACATTATGCGTGTGTTTGTGAGTATACATGGATCAATCATGTTTATTAGGTGGAGAAATTTCAATGGAGCATTTTGAATGTTACTTACGGAATCGACGTGACCGATGACGACGACGTTAACGTGAGTCTTCTCCTTACCCATGGTGTATTGACTACATAAAAACAGGATGGGATGAGTACGTCTTGTCTTGAAGGATCATTGTATCCATCGATGCATCGTGGCATTAGGCCATAGGATGATGGATGGATGGATGCATATCGATGCTGTATGTATAGGTTGGCGTTACTCACCTTTAAAAAGTTAAAAGGGAAGGAATCCGAAGACGGCAGACCCCAAAAGTTTAAATATCCCTCCTCTCAAAGTCCGACAGCAAAAAGTTTTTTTTTTAGTTCTGCTTTTAATTCGATCACCATCCATCCTTAGCAGGCCCCTATCATTGCCTGAATCATCGTCTTGTGCAATTGCTCTCGTTCGCTTCCTTTTCTAATCATTTATCAGGCTTTTCTTGACACAATTGTCTTTTTTCGCTCATTTCGGGTACTGGGGCGGAGCTGGCTCCTGATTTCTGATATTTGCCCCACCCCCTTTATCGGTTACATTCACCGAAAAAGCGCTAGTAGGTTCGCGAGACCAGTTTTCTCCAACTTGAAGGCTGTCACAACAGTCGTAACCGCAAGCGAATGCCACTGCGATTCGTCGTTTCATGTTCGAGATGTTGAAGGCTGTGGCGTATCCACGGATGAGCGATAACGTATTTTCGAGTCAACCCCAAAACCAGGCATTATACGAAGAGCTGATATGTATCCCTGAGAGCATGCAGTTCGAATATGCTTCCGGGCAATGAGACACCGCAGCACAATAGGATTTGTTCTATTAAATGCTCCATCCCAATTGTTTATAAGGAAGTTACTTGCCAACCTTTATTGTCCTCATCAAAGTTAGAGACCACCGTCGTTATATGAGCCAAAACGTGCTGGATCGCTCAGTGGGAAGGGTGCCGGAATGGGTATGTCCGCTGTTGGTGCTTGTTTGTTGTTAATGGCGGTGTTGTCTTTTGCATATAAGCAAACAAACAAATTTACAAAGCTTCAAGTAGAGAATCTTGGAAGAGTCACTGGTTGCCGTTGCCGACATATAATTATAAGCAATACATGTCGAATCCTAGGAGACGAGAGAACCTGATCAAGAAGGCAAAATGACGATATTGAAATACGTGGGTGATGTACACATAAGCTACTGCCATTGAAGTTACAAGAAGAGTATTAGGTTACATTCACAACGAGAGTTCAGCCCAGAGATAAATTGTGCGACAGAAGCATTACTCTCACATATCGTAAGTGTGGTGACTAAAATATACCGAGTTCGTCGGCCAAGGGGCTTTGCGACCTGTTGTGACGAAATTTATGTGTACAAGTATATCTCTCACAAGGAGCTTACAGTGCTGTAATACTCATCTTGATCACGTATAGTTATAAAAATTGATGGTTACAACTTTCCAACAAGATACGGTGTTGTCCGCACTTTTAGCCATGAGGCCTACCCGTGCCTCGTCGGCTCTCTGCTTGTTCTTGTCAAAGGATTACTTGCACGTTATGTCTATACGGCAAGTGTGAACGCATGTTCTATCATACTTTGCATTAACAACAGTCGCGCGGTGTTAATAAAGCAGGAAAGGACATGTTTCAATGAGCATTCTATATGATACGAGCATTATTTTTGTCTTTTTACGCACTATGTACAATCTGTACTTACTTTTCTATGAACAGCTCTGTATAGGACGCTTCATTTTATTTTTCAATTTTAGCTTAGAATGCTTCTTGGTCAAGTTTCGTTATGCTGAAGAGTCTTGTGGAGTTGGCATTGATCTCAAAAACGAACGCAATTTTTATTTATGCTTTGCGATAGATCGGATAAAAAATTAAAAGTGTGTAATTGTAAAATTGTATGTGGGTGCTCTGCTTGTTTTCCTTGGTGAGCAGAAAATAAGTTCACTGAATTATTGTGTACGGTCGCTATAAGATGGTGACTCGACAAGCTCTGCCTCTGGAATTCCAGATTCCAAAATGGTGTAGGGTTCCAAGATCACCTTTCCAATTTGTGCTGCTTCGTCAACAGCAATCACAGCGATGGCCAATGTGTTTTCGCCGCTTGTGTTGAGAATACCCTTGGGAAGATAGTATTGGGTCTGTGGACCAAGATCATTGGCATATCTGCCGAGCTGCCAGCCATTGAGGAACACCAATGAGCGGTAACGTGCCTTTGAGTCATCCTCGAAACGAAGGCTCATAGGAGCATCGTAACCTTGAGGAATATCCATTTCAAAGGTGGTTCGGTACCATGAGACGCCAGTTCGATTTTCAGATTCGGGGATAGATGCCTCTTCCCAATCATCGTCAGGGAAACCAGGCAAGTGCCAGCCATTGCGCTCACCAAAGAGACCGCCTTCATTGTATGGGCCACGGACTGGATCAGCCAAATCCTCACCGCCAAGGTTACCTTTAAGTTACCAGAGTTGTTATTTTTGTTGTTGTCAGAAGTAGTGTTGCTTTTTTTTATGCATTTTAGCAAAGAAACACTGAATTACACAAACCTTGAATTCTCCAATCGATCGACCAAATGGTTTGGTTGCTGACACCCAAAAGCTCAGACTTTGTAAAACCGCGGGCTTGCTTATAATTATCATCGGCGTTCCAGTCGTCTTCGTGGCCAGTGGTCCACAGCAGAATAGAGATAATGTTCTCGCCTTCGGGATCAATGAGCGTGCCATTGAGATTGGTAAAGTCTTGATTGCCAACATCGAAGCCGCCCAAATAATGACCATTGAGCCAAACAATCCAAGCGGATGCAGCGCCAGAATGACAGGTCAAGTTAAAGCCAGTGATTTGAGAGGTGCCTTGGAAAGTGCCACGGAACCAGATATTGCCAGTGTGATAACCTGTGTTAAGAAATGCAGAGAAACTTAGTGTTTATGCAAACCATGTAACACAGCTGAGATTTTTTTACTTTACCGTAATCGTCAGCATATAGAATCGGCCAAGTATCAGGAATGGTGACAGAGTTGCTCTTCGTACGGTTTGCCTTGATCCAATCTGAGTCATCAAAATCGGGCTGGGATTCGGGAGCTCCAGGACTATACTTCCAGGTAGCCTCGGAGAGATCGGTGTACTTGACCTCGGGATTACCAAAATCTAAAGTACCAGACCAAGTTCCATGACCGGTGGGAGACATGCTGATCTCCTTGCCATTCCAGGTGAACGATCGAATGCTTTCAGGTGCAACAATTTGGATATCGGTGGTCTCATCAATATCACCCTTGAAGGCGACAGTACGGCCCTTGACTTCTGCACTGCGGACAAGATAAGGGCCTTGGATCAAAACACGTTCGTTCTTCTTGGCATCGGTAATAGGTGCCCACCAGCGAGTGGCACTGGAATAGCCGGCAACAAGCACAAGGAGATCTTTACCAGCGCCGCTGATATAGATAGGCGTCGTACCGTCGGGATGCTTGTAATTGAGTGTCAAAATGCCATTGTCGACAGAGTGGGATACGCTCTCGTCTTCGGTCTCGACCTTGACCCTCTTGTCGTTCTTAACCTTGATGGCAAATTCACCATCTTCTTCCTCGTAAGCGTACACTAGGATCACATCGTGCGAGCCCATTGCTTGATGCGTGAATATTTCGCTTGTAGAGTAGACCAAGTGATGCGAGTTGAAGTCGTAGTCGGACGTAAGAATCTTGGCGTCACGGCCGTTCAAGATGAGCTTGCCATCTTGTGGTACCTCAAAAGTGCCATCGGAAGTTTCCATGGTAATATGGAATCTTAAATAGTATCAATAACGAAATGATCAGCGTCCCGTATAAGTATTATATTATATTTGCTTAAACGGTATTAATATAAAACTTGTGCTACTTACTCGTCCTTTTCCTCAGAGGCTGTATCCCAGTGCTGAGCAATGTAGAACTTGGTGTTGGTGTTGACATCAGCAAGTCCGTCAATCAAAATAATATCACTGTTATCTGATTTTGGCTCGAAGCGCTCCGTAGTCAGGAACGGCTTGACTGTGTGGAAGAATGTTCCTGGAAAAAAAGTATGGGAAGTAGCATAGAAAAAAGATCAGTTTGTATACAGATATATGTTGTTTGTAAATAAATTATGCAAACCTTGCAGTTTAACTTCATAGCCCTTGGGCGTCATCAAACCCGGTTCCGAGATAGGAGCACCGTAGTCATAGCTCGTATATACACCTAAAAATTTGTAGCATGTCGATTAGTACTCTGTTTGCAATACTAAGCAAGAGATGACTATACGACTGATATGATACTTACTGGGCTTCGCTAATCCACCCCAACTCGTACCTGATATAAAGCATACAATTAGCCTTATTTCCATTATCGCAACCGATACTTTTATAAGATTCACTCGAACTTACCGCCATATGTCATATACAAATTCTGGATGGTTGCGCCTTGTCCATAATTGTTCTTATAGTATACCTTAGCGTATTGCTCGTTTACAAGTTGCCGGCAAGCGTCATAACCAGGTCCGCCCCACGGATCAAAAGCACCGCCTTGGAATTCATATAAAGCGAATGGTTGATCTGGGTTAAGAAGCTCATGCATATCACGCCAATGAGTGCTTCGGTTATTTTGCCAAACTGTTGGATTGGCACAATCGAAGCCCAAGGGGTAAGAATCCCAGCCGTAGATCTAGAGATTGATTCAGTCAGTTTTTTTTTAAAAAGTCAGCAGGTATAATAAATTCATGCAAGACATAATACCGGGACATACATCAACAGATCCAGGTCCGGTGATCCAATTGCCATTGGGTGAGCCAATATCATTGAAGATGGTCGGCACATCCATTCCATCCTCCTTGAACTTGTTCTTGATCATTTCCATATAGTTCTCATCCACATTGTCAGCGTATTCATTGTCTATAGGTTGATGGTGGATTTAAAGAAACTGTTCATCAGACAACACATTAAGTGAATATTCAAAAGTTACTCGAAGAAGGTATAATTACCAATTTGGTTCAAAATGATATTGCCTCCTTTGGTGATCTGATTAGGGACAAGGAATTTGTCGATTGCTTCAAGCCATCTATTTAGTTCCCGGGAATATGTCAGTAGTATTGTCAGTACAATGTATCCCCTATCCAATTCTCGTATAAATCAAGTGATACATACTCTGCTGAATTGGCATCGTTCTCGGGGTTGCTCTTACGCGCCATGTCATACTGGTTTACGAGCCAACCGGGGAAGCCACCACAATCCTAAACGACACATACGTTTGCAAAATGTGCTATCAGTCATACCGGGTGATCGCATAGGGCACATAAAGAACCTCACTTCGCTTTGTCCACTAATAGCCAGCGTCAAGAGTACGTTATGCCCTTGTATGTTTATGAGGCTACACTTACAACTTCAGCGTTAATATAAGGGCCGGCACGTGTAATCACATGGAGATCTGCAGCCTTGGCAGCATCGAATGCCTTTTGGACATTACGGACGCCATTGAAATCATAGACACCTTTCTTTGGCGAATGATAACCCCAGTCAAAGTAGAAAGAGATACCATTGAACTCAAGTGCCTTGAATTTCTCGGCAATATCAAACCATAAACCTGGTGAAGGCAAGCGATAGTACTAACAGACCAATTTATTTGCAAACAGCATAATCAGTTTCAGGCGCTTATCTTGATTGGTCGGTAAAACAAATAGTAGACGAGGCTAGTATTTACATGAAATTCGCCACTGAACAAGAATAATCGCTCGCCATTGACGATGAGGTTATGTGTATCCCAAGTAACCGGCCCATCCTCCTGTCGGCCTTCAAAGCTATGACCGACCGGCACTGCGGAAGTCGAGGTGATTGCCGTAATGGCTAGTGAAATGCTTGTCAACACACCCTTCAGAAGCATCGTGTATGCATAAACCTCAAAGTTGATAGCCCATGCTATACTCGTCCCGCTTATATACTTTGTTTTAGAAAATAAAATTGTAACCGTACAGGACATTAGCTAAGCGATCAAACCATGAGAAACTTATACCAGTTTTGGGAGTGCTGGGACGGTGTTCACCACAGAAATCATAATTTACATCCCATATACTTTGCTGGTCTACGTCTGCTTTTCGGCTTGTTGTACAAGGTCGTACTTACGGAGTGACACGATCTTTTTTTTCTCTTTATGAAAAACGATCCTAGCCCCAAAAAGACGACAGGGCGGGTAAATTTATTAATATTAGAGTTACCTGAGGCCTTCGCGCTAGACTGACATCACTATTTTATGCAAAAATACTCTCAACTTTCTCATACATACTGCTTCACATTAGGTCTGTTCGTAGCAAGCTGGCTGTAGCCGCAGGCGATACAAATGAAAGTGAGTGAAGTTAATTTAAGGACATTAATAATGAATTCCAGAGCTCACTTTGATTACACTCAATTCCCAGATAATATGTAGACACCAATTCAAAATCAATTATTCTTGAAGAAATTTCCCAACTCGCCTGATTTAGCAAAAGAAGTTGTTGCACACTGCAAGGAGAATTTTCGACCAGAAAGCTTGAGCGTTTTCCTCCGAGCTTTAGCATCACACCCTTCTTTTTTTTGCTCTTTCACATATACTTTATGACGCGTTTTCATAGGCATCGAACCAGAGATTCCGGCATTGTGGTACTGTCAGATCCATCGACACCACCAAAGTCTCTCCTTGCATCACACTTACCTTCCACTGCGTGAAAAATGGAAACAATCGCCTTGTTCTTTTCGGATACTGTTATATCTCGTTCCGTTATAATTATTACATAATTGATTACTTAACGGATAAGATGCTTTCTGGGGTTCGACAAACAACCCTGGCTGCTTCGCATTTTATTAATCATTTATCTGACCAGGAGGGCGCCTTTCTTGTAAATTCACGCTAGTGCATTTTCTTTACATGTTGATTAAATCAAGACACGTACTTGCACCTACCATTACCACAGAAAGTTACGCGTTATGTTTTTCAAGTATGTGTGTGATGTATACATTATTGCGCATGTATCAGAGGGCGTGGTAAAAGATACAGAAGCGTTTTTATTGGGCTTTGCGCCAGCAAGCTCCGTTCGAGTCACCTGAAAAAGAAATCTTCCCGCGGATGCTGACGTTCTGGTGGCATCCATGAATCTTTTTATCTGTTGGGGAGGGAGAAAATGCAATATATCGCATGGAATTATATGGATCGGTCTCTTGCCATCATCACCGAGTACATATGAGCAGAGACTCTGTGTAATAAAGTTACCGGTTTATTCTCACATTTACCGCAGCAAATCAAATGAAAAGAGTCAAACCAACAGAAAGCCTCACCTCCTTTCGGGAAATTACCTTTTTCCGCATGTCACAGATAAACAGTTTATGTGGCTAGAACGATTCTTTTTTTTGCGTTTAAAAATACATATAACCGGGCAGGTCTCAATCGACTAGTGCGATCCTCGTGGTACGAGTTTAGTTTTTATCGAACAATACAGTTATTTGAAAAGCTTTATATGGGATGTCTTCGAGGACGTTTATGCAACCGAAAGTCCTTGCTCGCACTCAGACGATCATACTATCACCCCGTATGGTTTATGTTATGCTATATGAAGAAACGTTTGTTGAAAACCACATCAATGTCATTTTGAGCGTTTTTTAATCGTCTGCCAGCTTGTTTGATTCCCATGACATCTAGGGTATGTGGAAACCTCTACTTTCGTCAAGCGTACCATTACGCAACCTCTTAAAATACCCAGAACAGACTCTTGCACCTATTTTAGATGACGACTGGTGGCATAAGTACATACTTCATCTACGACAGTTTGAGGTGACGATTGTATTGTTATATCAGCTCAGCGTTTCGTTGTCATACGATGACTTTGAATGAGGATCAAGCGAACGAGCACTTGCTGCCTTTGCTTAAAACATGATGAGCGTGCTCTTCACAATCTTGAGTAAATGTAATCGTAGTTCTATAGGCTTATCCTTGCTAAAGCCACCATCATTACCCTTGCCACACTCGTCTACTGCAAAGTTGAGACCGTTCATAATAACGAGAAGGTCTGACCGTACCGACTGCTGCTGATCTTCAATCGGCTTGTAGACGCTATTTTTAAAGCAGAGAGACTTATAATAATTAGTAGCAGTGGAATGGGAATGAGCAAACCCCCTCTAACATAAGGAAGAATGACGACATGTTCTTGAATTTTGAAATAAAAAGGTGGAAGGTTGCAGGAGGTGGCAAGCCTTCATGAGTAATTAAACAATAACAATCTTTTCTATTAAATTAGAATTATAAATATGTTTAGGGTTTATTGTTTATTCATCATACCCGTGTTGCAACATTCATAGAGGTCCTGTTGTCGTTCAAAGTGTGTATATTATGTATTCGTTTGTGTTTTTACATTAATAGTTCAGTTTCTCGACTAGTACACTGTTTCTTTAGTATCGAATGTTAGTGTCATTATTGAAACCAGAACATGAAAATGAAGACGATTGTGTTTGGGTAGAGTACCGAAAATATGTTCGACCGACACCTGCTGCATTCAATGTTTTGTACGATGAAGAGTGGAGTGGTGATGTCCTCTTTACATGTATTATTAGTGTTACAATGACAACAACAGTGTTTTTATAGCAATGTATAACGAAATCTTTCTCATTCTTTATTTATACATGATGCCATCTTCTATCTGTTAATGTATGCCCTCACCTTTTTCACATCGCCACACGCCTTGTACTTTCGCTGAAACCGCTATATACTCGATGGAAAACTAAAAAAGGCTGGGCTAGTAAAGAGTGGCCGCAATCCCTTTCCCTACTTGAGTATTGTTATCAGCCTGAGCAAATTTGCTGATACTGTCTGCGTAAAAAAGTGAAGGTCTCCATTTGCGTAGAACATGGCACGTAAACCGAAATACAGACAATGAAATAAGTATACTGCATTCTATCGTCATTAAAAGTGTTCTCATACAAGCAAGGCTTTAACACAAACCAGGCTTCTTGCTAGATGAATTACGATGGCCTGTAAATGTTTTATTTCTTGCTTCTAATCACCTATAAATTTCGGTGTCGTTCTGACACCCACAAAAAATTGTGCAAATCACCGTCGTATAGCATTTGTGCAGCTCTTTCAAAAACGCTGAGCCCATCAAGTGTGTCAGACCGTTCACCAAAGGGTAGCCAAAGCACAAGAGGAGATGTAAGTTTGGCCCGCAATTGCCATCAAAAACGATTACTGGTACGTACTGCTGTGTATATCTGTAGTCGTAGAAATTTAAGACAATCCAAAAAATTTGGAAACTATCATAAGGTCTTCTTCCCCTTGCAAAGGAAAAAAACTTGGAATATGATAATAACCAATTAACCCGTTGTTTTTCACATACTGGAAACTAATATTAGAATGATAACAATCACCTACCGCGCCGCATATACCTAACTTTCAAGAACAAAAAAGCATCGATGATTTTGTACTAGTGGCAGTGAAACAGTAAGTAACAATGAAATCGAATATTGAAGCTTTCTTTTTTTTGTGCCTGCTGTATATCTGACATCAGCATTTCTTTTTTTATATATAGAAGACAGACCAGGCTTTCTTATTTGTATACTGTATACCGATTCTTGTGGTTCTATCTGGCGGTTCTATATATCCCAAATAAAAAGGGATGGTACTGAGTATATCATACCGGGATTACCATCATTGATTTTCAAAAGTAACTTTTACAGCAGTGCTCGCCAAAGAAGAAGCATTAACATTGGCTGCCAAGACACTTTAATCCTCTTAGATACATATGTGAGAAATTCCATATCATACACGCATCTAGCACTTGTATAAAAGCGAACACCAAGACAGTATAGGTGTCAAAGACGTTTGCACATATAAGAAAGAGCGACGACACCCTAAGTACATACAGCACTTCGTATCAAAACGTACATAGCCAGTATTAATATGAGGATGTATGCTCGATGTATTATTAAATAAAATCGAGAGGTAAAATTAGTATATAAGGCAGATGATGGAAAGTGAATTCATACTTTCCGCCTTATTAGCTCTCAATTAATCTCACTACCACCATCAATGGAAAAGCCGTACTATACTTTGCTTCTGCCAGCTATGTTCCCGCCATGATCCAGAGCGAAAATTCAAATACTGTACTGTACGTAAATGAGTACCGCCGGGCCACCATCCGTACCGCTGTTACTACTCTTGCTACTGCACGCAGAGCTGATGGTATGGTATGTGTTTCTTACCTTGGGATTCATCGTATCATGTCACTAGCTTGAGATCTTTATCTTCGTTTTCCCCGTTTTGCGTAGCGATCTTCAAGGAACCGGGTTTTCGCTAGTTCATATCCTAACACTGCATGCGACATCTTTCTTAATATAAAATGACACTTTTAAAGTTATGCATAACATACCATAGCCTTATTGGTTTGAAGTGTCCCCTTGAGAAGAAGCAACAAAAAGCCAAGGCACATATGCTTTTTTGACGTTCCAAAAACAGTGCTAAAGCGGCGGCTCACTGCTGTAGCATCCATCATTCGTCTATACGATTGCCCTGTATGGGTCGGATGTAATTGAAAAGAATAAGGCAGGACATCAGGGACACATTGAAACAGATGTTTCATAAGAAAAAGCTTGTAGTATAGACTATAAAGTGCATGCTTATTACTAACGTTGCGTTTCATGTGATGTTGCAAGTTGCCTTGCTTTTGACAGATGCTGTTTGCTGGGTTTTCTTCTTACCTTGTAATACATCAAAAACGCCGTTTTCTTATTTTCTGCATCCACACAAAATACTCTCTCTCTCTCTCACGTAATGCCTGCAACAACAACAACACTCGAACACCAGGATAACGACCCTCAAACTGTTCTCATTGAAAAGGAAACAGAAAGCGATGCTGTTGAGTCCATAATCCAAGCAGCGCCGAATCAAGGCATTTGGGTGTTCGGTTATGGTTCTCTCATTTGGAAACCACCAATCCACTACGAATCAAAGTAAACCGACGACGTGAAAGATTTCCCTCTCTGACCCAACCATTTTTTTAACCTCTCTGAACGAAAGCATTCTCATTAAAACAGTAACGTTTAAAATATATAAACTTAGGGTTGTTGGCTATATTAAGAATTACGTTCGACGATTCTGGCAGGTAACTTTGGCTTTACCACGGTTTCTTGCTGCTCTGCGTTTAGTTATTAAAAGTGGGGGGAGATTATCTTAGCATAGTGAAGATCACCGAGGCACACCTGAGAAACCGGGTCGAGTAGTCACATTGATCCCATATGACGAGTGGAAAACAATGGAGGATGTTGTAAGTCTTTTTGTGAGATATAGAAGCGTCGTCAGTTTATTAATTTGAGTTTATATTAGCATGGACACGACGACGTAACGTGGGGTGTCGGTTTCAAGATCCCGTCGGACGACGTAGAAGCTACACGCGCTTATTTAGATCATCGAGAAAAGGTACAAAAGTCTACTTGCTTTTTTAATTATGCCACTTTTTTGTGTGTGTATTTGTGGCAAGTTTCATTAACAAGAATTTTGCACAATGATTATTTTGTAGAACGGATATACAGTTCACACAGTGGATATTTACAGCACAGAGAGCGATAAGGAACCAGCTGTCAAAAATGTAAGACGATAACCTTGTAGTGTAGATCATGGCAACGTACCATTTAACGCCCAGGAGCTAATGTAATGGTTTCGTCCCTGTTTTTTTTTTCAAATAGGCACTGGTATACATTGCTACGACTGATAACGAAGCATATGTTGGACCTGCTCCTATGGAAAAGATTGCACAACAAATCTTTGAAACTTATGGTAAGCGATGTTAATTGAAGGAATAAAAAGGGGGGGGGGTGTGGTTATTTTATACATCGCGAATCAAAGATTGAAACATGGATCTTTTAGGCCCTTCTGGATGGAACGCAGAATACCTAATAAACCTTGCTGAAGCTTTGCGTGAAATATGCCCCGATGCTCGTGATGATCATCTCTTTGAGTTAGAGCGACGTGTCAAGGAGCTTGTTGACAAGTCTACTGCCTCCTCCTCCTCATGAGCGCCCGCCTATTAGAATCAGATATAGCTGTTGTATACATTTGTTTCGCTATGTTTAAAACAATTATTAAGATGCTCGATGTTACGTGCGTACACGTTATTGAAAAAGAAGTTCCTCGAAAATCAGGATGGCTTCAGCAGTTGGTATAACCATCCCCTTATCTCGCTCCTTCCCTCACCCCTTGATGTTATTCCAATCAAGATTCTGTTGCAGAAACGCCCATAGAAATTCTGCCTTCGTTGTCGAATCCTTTGTTAAGCTACACATTTGCCTTCCGTCGTGATAGTAACGGACAGTGCTTATAAAAAGCTTAGACCTACACTTGTTTCCACTTGATTTGCTGAAGGATGCTTATTCGGTTTCTCTCCTTTAAAATGGGGAAAAAGGAACATCTTTGTTTCCTTTAGTTGGACGCACTGAACTGTATCATGGAACAAACAACCGGATTTGACATAATACCAACTCTAGGGCAAGAAGTAGAACCCGTACTACTGGAACGAAGAGTGCTGGTACCTGATCGAGGCTTTCGATTAGGGATTTCATATACCATAAAAGTAATAGGGAGTTTCACATGTGTCCTTAAATTTCTGCGTAATATTACTCTTATCATAAGCCAAAGAGGAACTTGACGTTTTTATTCAGGGCTAGACCAAATTATGCTTTGTAAATTCGGGGGTTAGAGCTGCTTGATTATTGTTGCATCTTCTAGCTAATACTAGGATATAAGGAGATTCGAACAACACAGCATCTGCTCCTACTACTGTATGGGCTGCAGTATAACGACAGTGTTTGACGCTTCAAGTACTACTCACACGTTACTCGATTTGACAGTGTAATATCACACAAAAAAGAAGGAGAGATTGATAAGCGATGTATACCTGGGATATCTCTTTCCTAATCTTTCTTTGCGACCCGTCAATCAGCTGTTGCTTTATGACAGGCACGGGGTGGATAACTAGAAACTCTACTCAAATTTCTATTTTGCTAGTAATTCCATCATAAAATCGGAAGCAAGCAATAACAAGAGTTGTTTACGTACGCACAAGCAGTAGCAGCATAAGTGGCAGTGAAAGCCGCGAATACACTGGTAGCTATTGTGGCTCGCACCTGCACAATTGAACTTTAAGTGTATCTGCAGTAGTACGTTTAAAGGTTTTATATTTTACGTCGCTGGTGAACTGCGTCGGTTGGAGATATTTTTGCTCGAGACAGATAGTAGGATTATAGCAAATTGCAAGCCCTATGAAATAAAGAGAAAAGTAGGGGAAAGGTCTTGGACATATGTATAGCACAGTGCTGCTTTGCTGATCGTAATCGCGTGCAAGCATCCTGCGCCAGCACTGTTTCATCCGCAGATTGTGATATAAGAAAATATATAATGTAAAAGTGCGCTATATACCAGACAAATTGGGAAAGCGGTTTTCACTATGGTGCAGTGATATGGTTGTAGATCTCGTATTGTTATTACCCAGTAGATTCATGTATATTTGGAATACCTTGTCTTTTATCGAGTTCCTGCTGCCATGTGTACCATCAATACAGGCAGAAAATCCATGCGAATTCACGTTTATATATACGCCGCAACGAAATAACCCAAATTTCGGCTCAGCTTCGCTCCTTTCAACATACCGACCATTTTGCAGTTTGTGTCATGGTAAGCTTTAATGCTAGAGAACGAAAAGTAAAGCGATCAAGAAAACTAATGTAGAATGCTTACACTGTAACCCCTTCATTCTAGTCGGTAAGCTCTTATCTTCTCATTTAATTAAAATACGTGACTTTAAATACATAAAGACCAATGGAAATCGTGTTGCTAAATGATTGAGTCTATAACAACACATGTAGTATTTCTTACCTCATTTGACCAACGGTAAGCATTTCTTTGTGTGTCTCTCTCTCCCTCTCTGTATAGATCACGATACCCTTACTAGCGATCCAGTATAACCAAGTTGCTAACTGATGCTTGTGTTACGATTGCAGGCTGGCAAGTCGATCAAGCCATTCTTTCAGAAGAAGATCGTGTTGTCGTGATCCGATTTGGCCACGATTGGGATCCTGTGAGTAAAGGAAAAAAACAGAGAAGCGTTTTATCTTTAGGAATAAGAAAAAAAGGACTTTAGCTCATAACTGCTATTCATATTTGTTTAGACATGCATGAAAATGGATGAAATCCTGTATAGTATCGCTGAGAAAGTAAAGAACTTTGCCGTCATCTATCTGGTAATGGATAAAGAACTGCAGTAATGGAAAACTAGACAGTAGCTATATTAACTCGTCACCTGAACAAACCGTAAATAGGTGGATATCACTGAAGTGCCTGATTTCAACAAGGTAAGTTTTTAATACATAGCGAAGTATTTGTGTGCTTTCTGAAAAAGTAAAAAAGAGATCTTTAAACGTTTTGTGTGTGTGTGTCTGTAGATGTACGAATTGTATGATCCATGTACAACCATGTTTTTCTTCCGAAACAAACACATCATGGTTGATTTGGGAACGGGTAACAATAACAAAATCAACTGGGCATTGGATGACAAGCGGGAAATGATCGATTTAGTTGAGGTAATTAAAAAAGAAGCAAGTGGATTGCACCTGTCAGAAAAGGAAGCTTTGAGATAAACTGAATATGCTTTTTTCATCATAGATCGTCTATCGTGGTGCCCGAAAGGGTCGTGGTTTGGTCGTATCTCTCAAGGATTATTCGACAAAGTACAAATATTAGCGAAGGAAACGGAGGAAAAACGAACATTACTTTGTCTCTGTCCCTCTCTCTCTCTTTCTCTTTGTGGGTTGTGTGTTTTGTTATTACATTTCGTTGACAGCATCCCAGCACGTAAACATCATTTACATGCTTACTGCACGTCTTGGGAGCACAATCAAAGAAGAGGTACAACGCTTTTTTTTCAATCTATAAAGCAATAAAATCATGTGTTTATCTCAACTCGAAATCATTTTCCTCTCTGTACAGTGCTTCCGGAAGTCGTGTCTAGCGGGGCGTCACAGTCGCTTCGCATTAATTCACTCTTCCTGCTAACATCAACTTGCTATATCTATCTAAGCATTCGATGGGTACTTTTGGAGGGGCGGTAGTGGCGCTTTGAAGAGATTTGCATTTGTTTAGATTGGTTTTTAGTTTTGACATAACAAGCGGAACCATGCCAGTTCACGCCAATTGCTCAATATGATACCTTTCTTTTATTTCACATTTTCACATTTCTTCCCTTGTCTTTTGCCCGTGCAAATCTATTAGTAATGCTAGAAAAAGCTATGTACGAGCATCCAGCAGCCGCCAAGAATTATACTCTTTGTGTGTAACAGATCCAGAAAACTCCTTCTCTAATGCAAGACGTCATATCCGCTTGCCTGGTGGAACGATCAGGTATTTTCCATCTACTCCCCCATTCGCCTTTAGCTGAAAACAGTAAATCATGATGTATGCTTTTAGTAAGTATCAATTAACAAATTAATTATAGTGTAAAAAAGTGCCCAGCAAACTGGAGAGTAGCGATGATGATGTGGTGGGTAAGATTGGGGAAGGATGACAGAGTGTGGGAGAAAAGAGGAGGCACTATGTATGATATTATGCTAAGCGGTTCCGTATTTCGTAAAGTTCTTGACTATCGAGAATCAGCGTCTTTTTCAAGTTGCCTACTTGACGATACTGTATATCCCCACTCCGTTGTTGAAGCATAGCCGCATCGTCCAAATAATACTGCCAATCACCATTGTCAACCATCCTATCGCCAGCACTACTGCTACTGCTACTACTGCTGTTGTTGCCATGGCTACGACTACCGCTACCATCAGCAGCAGCAGCACTATGACTACTGCTGCAACCCAGACGACGTTTCCTGGCAATGACGGACCAGACAACCGAAGGAATATCCTGAATTAACCAACCCGACAACTCGAGCCAACGCAAACGAGTACACTGACGCAAAACATGCTCCAAAGCATGACTCTTCTGACGCTGACGACCCGCAGCGCGCAGGGACAAATGAACGACGTGGGAGCAAAAAGTGGCAACAGTTCCAAGAATCCTGGGACTACTCCCACAGCGGATCGATAAGAACTGGTTTCCATAAAAAGCGAGGACGTCGCACAAGCTCTCTTGCTCAATGTGTTGGAGTGACACAGCGAGGTTGCGGATATGAAAGCAATGCTGGGTCAGTGCGGTCAATGCACTATCGTTGGCCGTGCGTATTCGGTTGTGGTTGGCGCCAAGGTCGATCGTCGTCAGATCGGGCAAGCAGGACAAGAGTTGGGACAAGGCCGTTTCTGAGAAATCCGTCCACACCATCGATAATCGGTTTACGCGCTTCAGTGGCGACGCTAACAGGGCGTGGATGTTGTGGGTTGTGCTGACGAGGTTGCAGTATCGGAACTGGAGCGTTTGGAGGTGGCGACAGTAGAGTGCGAGCTGGCAGACACTTTCGGTAAACAGGACGTGGAAATCCACAAAGGTCAGCGTGTGAACATGCGGTAGTTTGGGAAGTAGCTTGGTAAGGTCGCTCATGTTGCTGCCGCTCTGTCGACACACAAGTGTTAGTTCTTTGGTGTGCCGTGCAACAGTGTCTCGTAGCAATGGACGATGTTGCAGGCCCATTTCAAGTTGGTGAATGTGGCTGCGAAAACTTAGATTGAGATGTCTGTAGAGCTTGGGCAAACATAACTCGTAGAAGCGCTGAGCTGTAAGACAGAGCTGAGCCAGACTGGATCGTGGTAGTCTGTGCAGTATCTGTTGCAAAAGCTCTGGCGGAAGTTGATATAGACACAACGACGGTGAAGACATGATGTAATTATGATAATTAAGAAGATAGTAGTAGCAGTAGCAGTAGTAATAGTAGTAGTAGATGGTATAATGAAACAAAAGCAAGTAAAGTATAAACGTATGTCTGAAGGAAGCAGTTGAAAAGAGCGTGGAAGTTAAAAAAAAGAAAAAGAGAAAGAAAGAGTGTAGCACAGTAGTACTGTGTGAAGATTATTGAAACTTTTTTTTTTCTTGTTGAAAGAATGGTGGTACGATGTCTGATTAGGAGGATGGATGATGATGATAGAAGTATATGCTGTATAGTGTCAAGTTTGTAATACGAAGGGGAGTAAGGTAGACTATGGAATACGATAATATATATGATTACATACGGAGCCAAAGGTCCCGTAAACGGTTTGTGCTTGATGATTTTAGCCGTGGTTCTACCAAGTTTGAGCGCTTGTATTGCTCCTAATTGATTATACGTTATTTTTTTCGATGTTAGTCTTCTCGAGCCACTTGCGCGCAAACTCTTGTAAAGTGCTTACATCTTCGCTAAGAATCTCAGTGTCAGCAATAAAGTGAAGGATCTTGCCATCGGGTTCGATATCGTATGCAGGACATTGGAACTTTATCATTGCTACAATACATTCGCCCATCAATCGAAACTTCTCCCAATGAATCGTTCCATCCGGGCGCAGGTCCTTGTTGCCTTCAGCAAGCGATACGAGATCTTGATTATGAATGCCACTATATAATTTTTTGTTTTGTGGAGAGAGAGAGAGAGCAAGGGGATTAGAAAAACACATATACGCAACGCAATAACAACAACATCAGGGCTTTCTATTTGACCTTTTTGTCAATGACTTACAGATAGGGAATACCCGGTGCTTCAGACGCCTTGAGTGCAAGTCGATAAGAACTAAATGACCTATCCGAACTCATCAACCGTTCAAGACTCTGGAACTGCTTGTAAATCTTCTTGTCGGAAATAGCATCACGCGTTTGCTTCAGTCGCAAGACGGATGCGCTGTTCAGCCCAGCCAAAACTGCCATAAGCGAGTTGTAGTTGTTATGATTTCGCAATTCCTAGTAATAATAATATATGTGTGTAGTGTGAGGCAACAGTGAATCCGCAATGGAAACAGACTACCAAGAACTTACCACAGCAATGGACATGTACTTTTCAAGCAAAGCAGCGCGCTTGTTTAGCTTTGGCTGTGTGACAATGATGGTGGCCACCCAAGCGGAGATGAAGTTAAAGTGAGCTATCGAGGCAACCACGGCACTGTGGCACTTTACTTGGTCTTCGGACGCTATCGAGCTCGGTCGTGGGGCCCAGATGTTGCGTACAAACTCGCGTGCCTTGATCTTGCCAAACAGCTCAGACTCGATCCATGTCAGTTGGTCCGCCACAGCCTGGTCAGGGATCTCCATCATGACCCTAAAGTTGTAACTGATCTGGTCCTTTTCGGACTTTTCGCCGCGAAACGCTGTAGAAGACGTGTTATTGCCACCACCAAACACGCTGATAAAGCTGGCAGCAGAAGAGGAGATGGTGTTGGCACCAAACGATGTCCAGCTAGGCGAGGTGGACATGCTGCAGTGTGTGTCAATGTTGATCAACCCGCCTGCAAACTCGGTCCGATTGCTATTGCCGCTGCTGACATTGGTGGTAGGAGGAGCACGTTCTGCGGTAGTAGTAGCAGTGGTTGTGGATCGCGCATCAACGGATGGCCGTCGCGTGTCTACTTTGGATGCAGGTGTGGATGGACTCGTGACAGGCTGCTGCTTCGATAAAGGCCTTGGTTGGGATGGCAACGATGGAGGCGTGGTTGTCGTTTCTTTTTTTTTCGGTAGAGGCTTTTCCTTTTTGGGTTCTGGTGACTCGGACGCGTGTTTCGGCTCTTCCTTCTTTGGCGTCGTGTCATTGTGTTGTTTTGACGCTTGCTCTTTTTGTTCTTGTTGCGACGCGTCCACGGACTCTTCTTCCGCCGGTTTGGCAGCTGTCATGGGAGCAAATGAAAATAGGAAACCAAGGGAAGACGTAATGGACGATTTGCGTTGTCGACTGCTGTTGCTACCACCACCACTGCTACCGCCAAACAAACTGAAAGAACTAACACTGGCAGTGCGTTTTAATGGCGGTGGTGGTGCTGCTGCTGCATCTGCATTCGATGTTGTTGCAGCATAGCAGCCCTCTGAAATGGATTTGCTGTCCTCGGCCTTGTCAATCTTGGTGCCAGTGAAAAAGTTGACAAACGATTCTGATGAGTAGCCACTGTCCTTTTTGTTTTTGGTGGTACCCGATGTTGTTGTTGTCGTCGTGCTGGATGATGTTTCTTCTTCTTCCATTTCATCCATGGTTGTACCCTCGCATTCTTCAAAGACATCATCGTCCGAAGAATCCGATGCAGCGTCGTTGTCTTCCTCGTTGTTGATAGGGAGATCCAGGTGTTCGTTATCGTCATCCGCCATGCCCCAATGCGCGTCGGGATCCTCGTCGGGCGGCATCCGATTGGCCAGTGGCGTCAGTGATTCACTGATCGGTCGTAGCACCTCTTCTTTGGATATCCGATCCAGAAAGTGCGTGATCAGCTTTCGTGTCCGTCGGCTGTGGAAATCATTCCAGTAACTGGATAACCAAATGAGGAAAACGGCCTGGATCCGCTCTTGAAGACGCGTCGGCGGTGGTTCCAGTAATCCGTCACTGTCGAATCGGTCAATAAGCACTCGTGCCAGCTCACTCGGCTTCATGAAGCGTCGGAAAAACGTGATAAAGATCGTTGCAATGTGTTCGTCTGTTGTTGAATTACATTTGGGAAAAGAGAAAGTAAGGGTGAAAAAAAGCACGAACGGAATTGGTTTCGTTAGTGAGTTTGAAAAGAATAAAAAGAACGCATAAAGGAGGTATTCAATATAAGTTATTTTAACATACCGGAACGAGGTGGGTCGTCCGCAAGTAGCTTGTCAACGAGATCATCAATCGTCAAGCCTGTTCCCATGGACTCGCTATAGAGATTGGGTTATATTTTAGAAAAGAAATACCTGTCAGCAGCAGTTACAGTATATCTGTAGACCGTAAAGAGGGGTCTTCTGGCTCTTACCAACTGTCTTTGGACCCTCGCCGACTGGCAGCCAAGCCTTTTCTAGCATATGGTGTATTATGCAAGCTAGTCTTACGCTCAATGACTTTGGCCGACGATGGTGATGCTGTATCGGTATTACGGGCATCCTTGAGTTGTTTTTGCTTTTTTGCGGTTTTGTTAGAAGCCGGTGTTGAATGATTGGCTGTGCTGGTTGTAGCGGTTGATGCAGTGGCAGCGGTAGCTGTTACGGTCGCTGTCGCTGTCGCTGTTGTTGTTGTTGTTGCTGTCGTCGTACTAGTTGTTGTTGTTGTTGATGTTGGCGCATACACAAAGCCTGTCAGCGGTTTAGATTCTGCATCGGATGCAGCCGCTTGTGCAGCAGCAGCCTTTTTGGACGACAGTGACGGGAACCGATAGTCAGATGTAAAGCTATTCGTGTCACTTGAAAAGCTTGTTCGCCGTACTACTGACTCGTCGTTATTGTTCGTGTGGGTGCTGTTGCTGGTGCTGTTGACACTGTATTCCGACAAGCCATCGGTAGACCGACGACTTTTCAATGAAATTGCCTCACCCGAGATGCGGCGTTCACGCATTGTCATTGTGCTTTCATTATCGGAAGTGGGCGTCGGTGTTGCTGTTGCTGAGGATGATGATGGCGGTGCTGCTGCTGGTGGTGTTGTAACTGCATGAAACGACTGGAACTCGTCGCCGTGATCTTGAATGCATCGTTTCACCAGCATTGTGTAGATGTCTTTCATGCGTTTTGTGCCGTCTTCTGAAAATGCGTCGACTTCAAGCAATTCGACGCCGAAAAGGTTGCCAAGTTTCTTGCCGAGTTCAAGGTCGACTTGTCGTAGGCTGGATAGATCTGCTTTTAGGCCGACGAGGAACGATGGGATGTTGCGTGACACGTAAGCGTCTGGTGGTAGTGGTGGTGGTGGTTTGTGAGAGTTTCAAGAAGAGAGGTTGCAAGAAACAAGGGGAGGGGGCGAGGAAGAAAGAGGAGCAGAGAGAGAGAGAGCAGAGGAAGAGAGAAAGGAAAAAAGGGAAAGTAAGAAGGTGAGTGAGCAACACAGCCAAAAAAGAAAAGATCAAAATCAATAAAAAGTGTTGTTGTTGTAAATATTGCCTTACTTAGTAAATCCGGCAGGCAATCCATGGAGTCACGGTTGGTGGTGTCGTAGCAAATAAGCCCTCCGTGAACATTTCCCAAATCCTGCAAGTGCCCCCAAACCACACATGTCCCCCCCCAAAACGAACCCCCCAAAGCAAAAAAAAGGTTAGCAACGATCTAGGAAACCATGGCAATAAGCTAAAGCAGAGCTTCTTTTTACCTCGGGGAACTCGGGTGGATCTTGATTGGTGTTGACCATGGTATCATCGATTTCAATGATGTCCAAAGGGTACTTGACCTCATCGACCGTGAACATGGTCCGATGACATTGCCACGCTAAAAATATCCAAACAACAACAACAACAACAATAACAACGAAATTAGTCTCGACCATTTCTCTCTCTCTGTGTGGGAAGAGCAGCTACTAGATCAACCCAGACGGGCTTATTACTTGCGTGTTGCATTGTTTGGATCTGCCGTCAAATTCTGCAAGCCGAGTCGGATCAGCGTGGACTTGCCAATGTTAAGCGTCCCTGAAATCACCACCGCCATTGTCTTGTCGCATACCTACCACAGAAACACATCTTTTTTTTTAGAACAACCACACTCCATACTTGTTTTTTTTTCTTTATTTTACTTGATGCGTGGGCAAGTCTGGCTGGATCGGCGGAAGTGGTTTGGTGACTGGATCAATCGTCGTAGTCGAAGCTGCGGTGGAGGTCGTCGTCGTCTTGGCTGTCGTGGTTGACTTGATGGACGTCTTGGAGCGAAGTGATCCCCGGAATGATCCCAAGGTCCGGATCGATTTCGTGGTCGATTTTGCGTCGGATGACGAGGACTTGTTGGATTTGATCTTTCGGAGCTGTGTCAAGACTGCCTTGGATTTGGATTCCTTTGCCGTTGACGTCGATTTCTTCGAGCAAGAGTCTTTGTCCTTGTTGTCTTTTCCCTCCTTGTTGGATCTGATTGACTTTGCATCCCTCTTTGCTTCTTTTTTCGCTTCCTTTTCTTTCTTCTTGGACTCTTTTTTCTCTTTCTTTTCTTTCTTCTTGGACTCTTTCCTTGCCTCTTTAGCTTCTTTCGTTTCTTTGGATGATGAAGACGTCTTTTCTTTAGATTTCTTTTTCGAGGACTCCTTTTTGCTTGATGATTTTGCTGCTGTTGCTTCTGCCTTTGATGCTGATGGGGTTTCTTTGACCGACTTGCTCGACTCTTTCATCGCTGATTTGGATTCTACGGTGGTAATAGTAGTAGTAGTAGTAGTAGTAGTAGGCGGAAGGGTTTTGCTATCTTTTGTATGTGTGATAGCAACAGATGAGGGTCGTTCTTTTGGCGCTACTGTTGCTATTGGAGTTATGGTTGTGGTCGTTGGTTCGGACTCTTCTTTGATCGGTACGTTTTTTGCTGGTGCTGGTGCTGGTGCTGCCACTACGGGTGGAGATACCGGTGCCGATTTGACATTGACAGCTAATGTTAGTGATTTGGATAGTTCTTTTGCTTCACGTGTCTCCTTGATCGACTTGGATGAAGGTATAGACTGCTGTTGCTGATGCTCTTTGACAGGTTGCTCCGGAGGAAGTTGCTTCTCCGGGTCTTGCTTTTTCGGCTTGCGGTCAAACGACGCTAGAGCAGCAAGCTTTCGCGTGAGCCACATGCCCTAAAAAGGAAGGTCACAAAGAATGGAGAGTGAAAGAAAAGAGAGAAAGAGAGAGAATGCGAGACTCTAAAGAGGTAGTAGACTGAAAACAAAAGACTCGAGAGATATTAAAGAGAGAGAGAGAGAGAGAGAGAGCGAGAAAGAAGGAACGGGCACAGAAGAAGTAGAAGAAGAGCAAAAAAGAAAAAAAGGTTAGGGAATGGGGAAATTTACTTGTTTATTGTCAATGGGATAATTAGGGGCTCATGTTTATGTCTTTTGTGTGGGTGTGTGTACGCTTTTGGAAAATGATTTGATGCGTGTGCTCTCTGTGGGTATGCGTGCTATGTGGTTGCATATCCACCACCCGCTTACCACCACTGCCACTACTATACCTGCTACTGCTACTGCTACCACTTAGTCACCACATTGACAACTGACCATGATGAACCCGGATCCATCCCCTTTTCAAAGCTCTCTTGGGTAGGAGCTCAAATGCCCGAACTCTTTTTTTTTGTGACTCCTGCACGCGCGTTACAAACTTATAACCCCCCATCCCATCCCATCCCATCCTCCTTTGTCAGTGGACGTGTGTTGCACCCCACCCACACCATCCACGCTTCTGCTCCTACTTTACCTTTTCTGCATGTTAGTAGCGTATATATGGGCGTTGATAAGATGATATTTAGTGAAGACACAATAAGAGGACGAAGAGAGAGATAGAGAGAAAGGGAAAATAAATGTGAGATAGAGGGGAAAGAATGGTAAGTTACTATGTGTAGTTATGTGTATACATATATATATATGAGTGAGAGAAAATCTAGCTAGCAAAGGTGCAGTACGGCTACTACTACTACTACTACTTTTTGTGTTTTGTTTTTTTTTTACAGGAAACGTCCCAAATCAGTGGATGCCAGGTTGAGGTCAGGCGACTGTGCATTCAGTGCGCGAAGGAGCTCAATCAACTGTGCCCGGGTGGCATCAGCAAGTTGCTCCTCACTGGAGAGCACGCTTGAGAAGATCGGCAAGAATTGAGGGATGTGTCCCATCACCTGTACGACACACACAAACACACACATACAACCAATGTTGTAACCCACACCCCCTCATTCCGTTAGTGTCTGTCCATTTTGACTCGTTTGATGGCAACAAGAGAGAAAGAAAGAGACTTACGAATGGGTTGTTGGCACGGAAGAGGTGGAACAGACATTCAAACACAGGTTCATTCTCGGCATAATCAAACTTTAAGGGAAGGGCATTCAGGAACACGGGTAGTACCTGATCGAGCGGAATCGCATTAGGGTGTGCGAGGATCAATCGTGCAACTGCACCGGAGGCGTTGTCCGTAGTGCCCGGAAGGCTCTGGTTCTCAAACAGAGGGTGCAGCGCAGACAAGATCGCCGGGTATTGCCTAAAGCGTGCGTTGAGTATTTCCATCATCTTTCACACCGCGCGTCGACCTTTTTTGTCTCACGCATGTGGAAAAGTTTAATAAGGCCCTCAAGTTACACTTACTGGGAGAGATCGGTTTCAGTGTTGGCTACAAGGATCCCCAGTGCAAAGGCAGCATTGCTTCGTACAGTCTCCTCTTCGTCACCGGCGGCCTTCAAGAACACTTGAAGAAGCATCTCGGTGTGTGGAGTAACGCCGGCCTTGATGCCACCAACGCATTCACCCAGACAGCCAGTGGCCATCAAACGTTCACCAGCACCCTTGGTGGATTTCTGTTGTTCATGTTCACAAATATACAACTCCGGTTAGTGTTCATCGTCGCCATCGTCATTGTACATGAGCGGACAGCTAAACTTAAAAGTAGCAGAGGTACTTGCATAATATTTGGCAATTTGTGGCAAGAATACGTTAAAGTAGGACACGTAGCCTTGACCGATCGTTTCACAAAGTGCAGCCACCAAGTCCGCTGCTGCTGCAATCAACAGGGACTCAGATTCGGCCTCCTCGTCTTCATCATCCACATCCTCAACGTCATAGGTCTCCTGGCAAGTGGATCGCTTCTCAAAGATTTCCAAGATATGGTCAGAAATCTCCTCGACGTCTAGATAGCAAATATATATATATATATATATATATATATATATATCAGTAACCCCATTCACAATGGCAGCTCGAGTAGGTAGTTTGGGTCGTCCCCAATCAACTTACGATCTGCAACAACGCAAGGGCCCATTAATTTGAGTGCCTGAATCAACTCTTTGCAGATCTGCACCGCAACCATACGATCGTCCTCGTCACTCCACATGGTGAGAATAGTGGGAATGGCCAACTGCAGGATCTTTTGGACGTTCTCGTGCACAGCATAGTTGACAGGCAAGCCCTGGACCCAGTCGCCGTTGCTGGACAGCGAGTAGAATGTCTTGATGTAAGCGAACAAACTGCCAAGCGAAGCCTTACGGACTCCGTCAAAGAGGTTACCGGTAGCCTCGACCAAAGCCTGGAGCGACTCGTCGACATAGGGCAAGAAGTGGCTGCGGGTGTTTTCAAACAGCTCACCCAGGGCATCACAAGCAAACTCCTTTTCATCCGCAACCGCCGAGTTGAAGTTGAGGCTGCTCGAGTCATCCTCATCCTCGTCTTCGTCGTCATCACCTGCAGCAGTCAAGTCGATCTCGGTCTCCAACGTCGGCTCGTTGCCTTCCTCGGCCTTGCATGAGTGCAAGATCGCTGGCATGATTGTTGGCAAGAACGGAGCAAACTCTTCGCCAAAAACACCGGCAATCACCGAGAAAAATGCATAGGCGCATTCACGGAGACGCGGCGAGTCGAGGTGGAGTTGTTCGATTGCAAGATTCATGAAATCCTCAGTGTGAGGACGGAACATGTCAGCTCCCACAGCTTCGGCAATGGCGCCTGCGGTGTCGGTAGCAACGCCACGCAACAAGGACTCGTCAGTGCCGTTGGTGGCGGACATGAACTGGCGGATGCGGGGCATGACTTGGCCAAAGTAAGGCTGGAATCCTTCGCTGGCAGAGTGGGCTGCGCTGCCAATGGCACCCAATGCGGTTGCTTTGGTATCCGTGTGCGTGCCGTTGTCGAGCAACCAGACAAGCTTCTCCATCAACATGGGGAGGTATTGGATGACCTCGCCACCAAGGCCGTCGAGCATCGGATCAAGCGCGTTGCAGGCGTGCTTGGTGATTTCTGGGTTGGTATCGTTCAGCAGGTTGAACACGAGCGTCATGATGGCCTGGTGGTGCTCGGCCATTTCGACAGGCAGCTCTTCTGCAAGGCAGCTGAGAGCCATGCAGGCTGCACGGCGGACGATCATTTCGGGATCTTGCAGACCAGCGCACACGATGGGGAGTATTTCGTTCAGCATCGTGGAAATGTACTCGGCACAGCCTTCGATAATAACGGCAACGCTCATCATGGCAGCCTTGCGGTGGCCAGGAGATGAGTTCTGCATGTAGCTCACAACAAGAGGCAAGATGATGGGAACGATCTGCTGAGGAGGCATGTTGGATGCAAGTGCGTTCAAAACCTTGAATGCCGCCTACAATAGAACATGGGTCATGGAGAGAGCAAAGTCTAGTTTAAGCCTCGTGGCCTTTTGCAAATACTTCTTTTCCACCTGTACGACTAACCCTTCTCTCATCCTCCTTTTCCCTCTTTCCCCCCTTCCCCTATCTTTTTTTTTTCTTTTGGTACTAACTCGTGATGGAGAGTCGTCATCTACATCCTCAGGGTCTTCCTCAGTGCCAATAGGGATGACGTTTTCGATGATTGGAGCGACAAGCTTGAGCGACTTGATCTTGCTCTGCTTGCTAATTATAGTAGCCAAAATCGTTACTTTTGGGATATCTTCGTGCCAAAGAGAAAAAAATAAAAAACTCAAGGAGCAAAGGCGTGAATACTTACTAGATGGAGCCCCACATGAGCGAGTTCAACGCCAATTCACGAAGCGAGTCATCCAACTCGCGACTGGAAGCAACCGTCAATAAGAAACGGATGAGATCAGCAAGGTGTTCAGTGAGGAATGGCGTATCCTGAAAATAAAAAAAGAATGTTTGTGTTACTTGTCAAACGCAAATATCCTCCTTTCCGAAATCTTTTTTCTCTTTCCACTCCTACTTGTTGAAATATACGGACTTACCAACATGAACAAGTTCTCAATGACCTCAAAGATTTCTCGGGCGTTCTTATCGTCGTTTTCCTTAAGCGAAGCCTGCAACACGTTTACCATGGCAGGAATCATTTGCTTGAACGAAGTCTGGAAAACAAGGTTTGAGTTAGTTCATGCAGAATAATAAAACAATAAAGCCAGTATACTTACGATGTTTTCCTTATCTTCGGGGTCAATGAACTCTGCCAACTTGCCAAGAGCACTAACAAAACGATTTCATCCATCCATCGTATCAGTAAAGGGAACAACGTTTCTTATTGTTTCTTTCGTTCCTTCCCCTCTATTCCATCCGAGAATTCTCTCCTAAAACGCCTGGTAGCGTTTCTTTTCCACAGTTACAGTTTTTTTTCTTGCCAGGTTCAAAACTTACAGAACGGTGGTAGCGCGTACTTCTGCGCTCTCGGGATCAACAATGGTCTTGGAGAAGAGTTCGAAAAGCGAGGCCGTCTGGTTCATCAAGAACTCGGCAATAACCTCAAAGAGGGTATAAATACAGTAGATACCCACTTCACGGTGGGCGACGTTCTGGCTCGAGCTAGCTTGGTTCAAGAAAGCCAACAACTCGGGCCACTTGTTCTCCGCAATATCGATGCGTGCAACGGACGAAATGGCACGGGCAATGGCATGGCGTACGAGATTGCTATTCAGTGTAATTTGTAAGATTATAAAAAGACAAAAGATTAAGCATGCAAGCTTTACGATGGGGGGGCTTTACCCTTTCCCGAAAATCCCTTTCATTTGTTTCTTTTACTTACTTTTGTTCGGTAAGAACAACCTGAAGCAACTGAGCGCGAACGGGGGCACGGGCAGCTTCGTCCAACTTGAGCCACCACTTGGAGACGCGCTTACGAAGTTCGACCGCGGCAAGTTGGCGCACTTCAACCATGGGGTTGGTGCTAATAACTTGCACCAAAGCAGGAATACATTCAGGGGAAACATACACTTGCGTGTTCAAGGTCGAGGTGATCTATAAAAGACACATTCGTGCATGGCATCGTCTCAGTCCATGCGCGCGATTTTCCTTCCACACACACACACAATCCTTTGCAATACGAATACTACTCCTACTTACGGTACGAATGGTTTCCGAGTCCTGGGCTCTCGCAATCTGAGACAAGAGCTCCTCCACTGATCTCTATATCGTTTTCGTCCCTGAGAATTAGTACTTGATCCTTCGAACGATCCAACTTCTCTTAACTTACAGCGTCCATGTTAGCCCGAGCAAAGGAAAGTTATAAAGGAAGAAAAGGTGTACTGGAAAAAGTTAAAAATTTTTTCCTTTTTTTTTTCTGCTGCTACTACATGGCGGATTGTAGATACAACAATCCAACCCGAAACAAGCATATTCGTGTAACCTTACCAGTATTCTCGCGTGCCTGAGAAAGAGTTACAGCAGAGGCACGAGTTACAGTAGTAGACCCTGGGTTAAATTTTGCGTTTTTTGCGATTCAACTCTATTTCCTTCGAGAACAACTCTAAAATAGCGGGGGAATAACGCATGTTTGGATGAGAAATATTAAAGAAGAGAAGAAATGATCGTGTTACTGACTGTCATGGATGAAAGAGTATGAAAAAAAACCAGACGCATACTACATCTTCGGAGCATTTTTGGCTGTCTGATTACATATTTTAAAAGTCAAACAGGTTTTTAATTTTGCGTTACTTGTGAAGGGGTTACCTTCGAGAATATTTGGTAGTAGAGAATTACATAATGTATCATATTATAAGGAAGAATATGCTATATATGTAATAATAATATCACAATCCTCGACTCAAGATACAAAACAACTCCATCAAATTCACTGGACCCTTATCAGCTCTTCATCATAAACATGGTATATCATTTAACATATATGGAAATACAAATAGTAAAGAAAAATGGATGATATGCTTACAAAAATTGTCGCGTTGAATTCACTGGTCGTGATCAGGACTTCCTGGTACGCTCATGGGCCCTTCGTCAGTAACAATAGTCATATGCTTTGCTTCGTTCAGTCTTACTATCACCGGATCAACGATACGGGCAAGGGATGTTGTTTCTGATCTATTTCGTAGAGCAGTAACATGCTCTGCCTTGAGCGTTCTCAAGATATCGATAAATTCAACACACCCAGCCTAAAATTATGCAAAAATAATTACATCAAGTGAGATTGATTGCTTCTTTCATTCCTTCGATTTGTACTACCTACAGCAACGGTTGAATAAAATTCTAAAAATGGAATCAAAAACTGGTAAAATTGACAGGTACTTCAGCACGTTGTTCCTTGTTCATGACAAAAACACCTGGAGCCTGCACCGACATGCTCCAATGACGAACTGCGTCTCCTAGATACAAAATAGTCCAAAAAATATTAATATAGAACATAAGATTAGCGATAACAGCCATTTTACTTACCATGTCCATGTAAGAAATGCACTTTTAAAGTTCGGAATGTGTTGAGTGATGCCTTTGAATATTTTTGAGCTATGATATTGTTCGCAACATAGCAAGCATTCCGAACATAGCTTTGTAATAAAGTAGCTTCTGAAGGACAGATGTGATACGCAGCGAAGCGGAGGGGCTCACATCTGTCCTTTAGAAGCCAGTTTATAGCTTTGTAATGATCAAAGCTAGATTTTCCAGTGCTATTACTTCCATAACCGTTTGAGACTTCCGTCAAGAGAATTTCCATGTCCGGAAATTCATCAGCACGAAGCATTCCATCTGCCTTGTAATGATACCGGCCATCTTTCATCCCAGAATGTTGTAATTGTTTGGTGATCGCATTCAATTCGATTTCACCAGGTAAGAACGTAATCTGGTATCCAGTGCGACGAAGATACTTGGCAACGTTTTTAAGACACGGATCAAATACGTAAGATCTGTAAATGGTTTCGGATTTTTGCAGCACTTCTACTCCCACGTTGACATACACTTCTTCAGCACTAAGATTTGTAAGATACAGTAATGATTTGTAAGCCTCTTGTAGTTGCATAGCAACCTCGATTCATTGCCGATAATTTTTACTTACAATATCGAAAGTATGCTACTGATGAATTTTCTTTTGGAAACCAACTGATCATCGTCAAGTTCTACGCGATCTAGTTTTTCCACGGTATCTTCCATTATCTGGCTGGATGTCTAATAAAAAATCAGTTACTATCTTTTTCAGGTATTCTCTCTCCTTTAATGGATACATACCGCATCTGCCACGTCATTTGCGATATCAAATAAATGCAAGTCAACGGTTTCACGTTTTAGACTGCTTACTTCCTTGACCGTTTTTATATATAGTTCTGCTGGCTAACAACTTCGACGTCGTACCAGCTTGCCACACCATATTACATTATGCTTTTCCGGACTAGTCAAATGGCACCATTCTCGATCAGCAAAACATGTTACATACTTTACATTTAAGGTGTGGAACGGGAGATCTTTTCTGTTTACCTCAATTGAGATAAATCTGATGTTTGTCCGGGTTGCCCAAGAAGGCTTTTCATTCGGTCCAAATACATGCTTCTTTGTCGTCATCTTCTTCCCCTTCAACAATACTAGCAATGGTTCGTGCTCTCTTTTGCTCCATGTTGCTGGTATTGCTCGAACTCTCTCCATGGTTTTGTTTACGTGTATTCTTTTTTTCTTCATCAGCAATTTGTTGCGACATTACGCTTCGTAACCGTGTCTACAATTTTATGTTAGAGTAATTTTTACCTTGATCTTGCCCGTAACTATTAAACAATAGGTATACTTTTTGTGTCTCGAAAATCATCGCCTCTGTTCCTGTTGGTGTAGCATGGTCTCTGAAGTATTTTGTTGAAATACTTTTTTACTTTGAGTGTTCTGTAAAATAATTAGAATGAGCATGCGAGTAATACAAGCGAAATCTAATATTAACTTACTATTATACTAACAGTTGGGTAATTTGCAATAGCTGCAATCATGGTTTCAGCCATAGTACCAGCCATCACATGCTCTTGTATTATCTTGGCGTGATTAAGGACGTGAACTGACGCGCTTCGGTTGGTAACGGCTGGGTCAATTTTCACCAAGCTTTCTAAATAGTGTGTGAGAGCCTAGTGACAGGGCTCTTCCAAAAGCCAAAAGTCTACAGAGGTAAACAAATAAAACAAGCATCTGTAAACTTTTCGAGCCAAAGTAGCACAATTTTTTTACATGATTTGAGTTACCTCTTAGATGCAAATTGCATACAACTTCTTCAACAAATGTAGTTTGGAAAAATCTCCCATTGATGGTTTGCATAACAAATGGATCTTATAAATCACGAAAAAATAAAGTATATAACCAGAGAAGAAGTTGTTGAAAGAAGGTAAGTTAAAGTCAAGGAAATGTATAAAATGAAAAAAGGATTACAGGATTTTTTCATCTCCCAGCAGATGTTTGAACTTTTATTAAGGCAGAAGAAGGGATCTAATTTTAAACAGAGTGGGCATAATTATTAGTCTGACTAGACATAAGCAGGTGCATAAAGTCATCGTCTCTACAATAAGAAAGTTTTTAAAAGAGAATAGTGCTCAACCGTACAAAAGAGATTAATAGAAATTTGCAGGAGAGCTGGTGCGCAACCGAGTCGTGAAATATCTACTACTTTAATGATAAGTATAACTGATGCGAGAAAAAAACCAAAACGTGCTACAGTACTAGAATTTGCTCTATTTTTGATGGAGACACCATCATAGTTTCTTTAAAACAAGACGTATCCCAACTATGTATTACATATCCCGCTTCTAAAAGCAAAGGATTACCTCTATTTTTCTTAGGATTAATTGTATAATGGCAAGTTTTGTCGTTATGTCAAACTACCATGCACTGCGTCCGAGCATTAACGACATAAAATGTACAGCGTGGATGTATGGTACACTATATACCCAAAATAATGATATACATGTACCGAAAAAAGACATAATGTATTACATCATATTGCAGTGGTATTACTGTTATGGTGAAAGAAACGCTAGAACCTGTCTGTACGTATTCTCCCATATTTGATGATGTAAACGAAACGGCATCTCTGTAAAGTAGAAAAGGGTTATGTTCATGACAGCAATGTAAATCAGCAAGAAAGCAAGTTTAAATGAAAAGGACGAGCCATCGAGGTTTACGTTATAAAGACAATTGATGGCATTATGTTGTCACATACATAATACACAATTCGATCTAACTACTATGCAACTATGCAAATCATCAACAAATGAAATAACACAGCATGACTTAACCATTTGTTCAGCGGACGTGTCTATGATGCTGACGTAAACCTGGTTAGTAAATGAACAACGTTAACCCACCGTTCTCTATATATTACAGCTACTAAACCTTGGGAGTTTACGATAAAGTTAGCGAGAATAGTTCACAAAGTTGTTCTGTACGACTCTGCTTTTGAGCCATCCGAGCACTGTGTCCCCCTGTGAAACGGTGTTAAACGGAGCCTTTTGTTTGTTGTATGCTTGTCCCACACATTCAGTACCTCGCGCGCGCATTAAACAGCATGTGCGGGGTGGGGTGTGGGGGCGAAAGATACTTTTTCCTTTCAACTAGGTTTTTGTTTGTACATTGTCCGTCCTCCATTCTTTTCCTGTTACCTGTTTGTTTTTGAATTTACAGCGCGATCTAAATATTCCAAGCTTCTTTTACTTTTCACACGATATTTACATTTGGGCAGTGTGTGATTACTTCTTATGCTCCTCTTCTCATCATCATAACTTTCTGCACTAGTCTATATACGACAAAGGAGAAGTATCTGCTTCTAGTTCAGAAAACGTGCTATAGTCTGCGTTGTCTTACTGTTGCACACAACAACAACGCTTTTCTCTTTTCGCATTTTACGACTACTACAATGAAATCGTACAACACGTAGAATATGGCAATAGCGTCTTGATTTAATGTGATAGAGCGTCTTATTGAATCTTAAAAAGTTCGTTTATTCTTTTAGCGCCACAAGTCAATAAACTCTTACCCGCAGTACATATGTATGCACATTGCGCGTACGGTCATTATAGCTTCTTATTTCACACACTAATACTATATGTATATTCACCGATACAGTAATGTGTTTTAAATTTGATATATATATAAAATCTCACGAATTCCGCCGCAGCATAAACCATTACATAATATATAATAAGTGAAGTTATGGTGCAAAACTTTACTTTTTACGAACGATGGCAGTGTATGGATTAATATCGTGGCAGAAATATTTTTCCTATCGAATCCTATCGAATGGAAAGTTCACACATTATTTAACCGGCAGCACAACAGCAGTTTGACAAGAAATCATAAATATAAAACGTTGGGCGGTTGGTGGTGTACAATCGTTCTCAAATAAGCAACCGCTACCGCATTAAGCTTACTTTTGAGGTAACGCACACGAAAATAAAATTCTGTTGTGTTTCAAAATTCGATGGCAGCACATGAATCGTGGCTTGACTCCATTATCCTAAACGCGTGCTTACATATCTATTTGTCACTAATTGATAGTAATATTCGTTCCAAATGCATCGAGAACTTGTTGCTACGAGAATTTTGTCATCGTTCCCAATTAGTTCTCTAAGCGGTTATCGTTAAGTAGTAGCAGTAGCAGTAGCAGTAGCAGTAGTGGTAGTGGTAGTGGTAGTGGTAATGGCAGTGGTAGCTAGTAGCATGATGTGCCATCTAGCAATCCTATATTTGCTACTAGGTACATGATAACGGTTCTTTACGATATTTGCACTCGACAAGTTTTCTCCCACAAAGTAAGAGTTTATGACGCTTGTAATCCTTTTCTGCGCAGCCCAATCTCCTAGCCCCAACACCTGCTGCTTGCTCCCTACTCAATCACGATTGACTAATTTCCCAGATTGATGATACGCCCAATTAAAGGGATATAAGGCAATATATGTTTCCTTAACAAGTTAATTATCTATCCAAAGGTATGGAACAAGGTATTGATAGTTTTCGCGTATATATTTTGCGCAGTGCAAGATACCTCCCCTTTGTACGACCCTTCTTCCACCGTCAACCCACAAGCAAGCTTATCGTGTGCAACCATTGCGGCCCACCTGCCGCGAGCTTCCCCCACACAACCCATCTTCCCCAACCTGTCGGGGCTATGCGCCTTTCGAGCCTTTTCACCGCTAAGACTATACACACGCACACAAATAACCTTATTGTCGAAAAGAAATTTTCTTTATTATTATACAATTTTACTTCTTTGCAATTGCTATTGTTTACATACAAAAGTATTGAGCTGTTTGAATTGGTCAAATAAAATCATTGGAGAGAAAGGAGAGGTCGAACATGCATTTAAATTATAGAAGCGTGGGCATAAATTAAAAAATGATTAAAGACAAGGCGGTTGAGAAGCATTGGGAGTACTTATATCGGTGATGAAATCAGACAGAGAAGGAGATGCAGGTGGAGAAGGGGAGGGTGAAGAAGTGAGAGCTCCATGATTGATATGATGATGATGATTGGGCGAAGTGGAAGAATGGGGAGATGATGATGATGCAGTAGTGATGGTGGATGCAGCAGTAGTGGTGGTGGCAACAGTAGCAGCAGGACCAGCATGGTTATTGTTGCTGTTGGTGGCACTGCCGCTACTAGCAGGAGTAACGGAGGCAGTGACGACGGGCGGCCAAGAGACCTGGAAGCGCACGTTAGTAAAAGGCAGCGAGAAGAAATGCAGGGTGGTCGGAAGATTGGTCAGGGTATAGAGACGAGTTGTGGATGCGGAGACGATGCCTTTGACTTTGGAGAATGTCCGGAGATGATCGGCCACTTCTGCGCGTCGTGCCACAATGTATTCCGTGACCCTGGGATCGAGTGGGACCGAGTATTCGAGATTCTCATGGATGGGCTGGAGCGCCTGGCAGATTTCGTTCGCATCCGGCCGGTTTTCGGGTCGTGGCTCCAAGCAGGCCACGTATAATTTCTGATACCACTCCGGCAAGCCTGGCACTGTATCCACTCGATATACGTTGTCCTCGTTGCTGTTCCCCCCTGCTGCCGTCGGCGTGTTGTTGCTCGAGCCGTCCAGTAATACGTCGGGCGAAGGGAAGATCACTTTGCTGACCAGCTGCCAAATGATAACCCCCAAGCTGTAGATGTCGGACTTTTCCGTGTAGATCCCTTGCCGCACCTCAGGCGCAATGTACGGCAGTCGTCCATAGACCGCCTTCGTCAGTGCTGTCACCGACGATGATTCTTTCGATGGCGTCGAAAAGCGGTAATCCACCAAGAAATAATCGCTGTCTGTGCATACTATATTTCGCGGATGCACGTTGCGATGGCACATGCCCACCTTGTGCAAATCGGCTAAATTCGCTGCTAGCCGTAAAATCGTACCCGTAATCGTCTTTAAATCCAAGTCGCCTAGTGGAAGCAGCTTCATGTGATCTTCTAGGTTGCCGTCGTTGCTCACTTTCATCACCATCATAAGATCGCCCGTGCTTTCGCATACAGTGAGCCCCTGGAACAGCAATGGTAGAAATGCTTTGGACTGGACCGCAATCTATGATTGTTGTAACATCTTAATTCCCCTTCTTCGCTAACGTCCCATACATCATATATCCCTACAAGGGTTTGCACTGGTACATCAATGTCATCTCGCCACCCACCCCCCCCCCACCCCAACAATTGCATACCTCGTTCAAAATCTTGTCGTCGACGATTTTTAAGGCAATTTTCATGGGCTGCAAGTCGTACGGCTGGGTAATCACCGCCGCATACACAGCGGAGAAGCCGCCCGCCCCGATAAATTGCATATTCGAGAACCACGACCATGGAAACCATTGCATATATTGATCCAACTCGTCCACATAAATCTGCGATGCTGCCTTTTGTGCTCGTGGATGTGTCGACGCAATGACATTGTCCCGTCCGTACTTTTCAGCGAGCATCTTGTATGATAATTGCTGTCGCCATATTAATGCCCAATGCTTAATAATAAGAATAAAATGAGTTTCAAAGTCTTGTATAAATACGGGTCATGACGAATCCGTGAGAACCTCCCCACACCCACTACGCTCGACAAAGTAAAACACTGTTTCCTCTCCAGCTTGACCCGCTCAAACCTTAAACTCGCCGCCTCCTCCTCCTCCTCCTCCTCGTCAATCCAAACCCGCACAAAAATAAGAGAAATGATACAATACCCAGGAATGATCGAATGTGATTGAATTCTCGCTACAGTATTCACAGACCTCCTGGTACAGCTGTGCTAGTTTCTCGGGCACTGTCGATAAATATCGAGAATCAGCCAGAATGAGGTTTTCAAGGCCAAATTCATGAGGGTACAATTCAATGAGGCGAGTGACGGCCTGTCGTGTTTGTTGCAAAAGCTCTTCTTGCACTTGCCGAGTATATAGTTTCTCTAGTTCGTTATCGTCCATGCAATGTTGCCCTCCAGTAAAGATTAATGTGGATGTTCTTTTTGTTGAAAAAGAAAGGTAAAGTGAGTAAGAAAAGAAGAATGGGAAAAGGAGAAGCTGGAATAACTGACACACCGGAGATTCTTTTGAGCTCAAGTCACTTTCACGCACACCGAGTGACTGAGCAACAGTGTCACCAAACAAACTCATTGGTTCAGGCGGATGAAAACAAAAAAGGAAGCCTCATCAACCCCGCACTTCAATAAGGGCCAACCGATTTGGCAACGGAAAAGGCTTCAGCACACAACGTGGGTTACTATTGTTTTAATTATTACGTTATTATTAATAAGTAGTAATAGCGCAAACTACTGGATGGCGTTCTCTATTTAGATTTAACGCATCATTGTTCATCTCTTTTTTTTGCATGTTTGCGATAGGGTGCATCAAGCGAGATAGATAATGCGTGTGCTGTGACACCGGTTCCGCACATTATCAGGCCCGTGCGACTACCACTTTCACGGTAACAGCGCTATCAATCAGATACCGTTATCAGTATTTCTCGATAGGGTAAACGATTCCATTATATTATTGAATAACAACAACAATTTTTGTGGTGATTAAAACTTTATGAGAGTGGTGAATGGATAATGTTATAGATGCGAAAGTCGAGATTACGATGGGGTCGTGTATTATGTGCTTTTTTTTTCTTTGCGTAAATGTGTGTGTTATGCAATATCTAAAGAAATAGGGCTGGGTATAAAGAAATAGAAGGGGGAGAATGATAGGATATATGGATGGATAGATAAATGGGTAGATAGTGATATAGTGTATAATTATAAATATAAAGTAGATCCTCAAGTCGATTTTGGAAAAGAAGTTGACATGTGGGCGCCAATACTTATGCAAGAAGCTGTCGTTAAGACTGCCTGGTAACACACTAATAAAGCTGGCACATGCAGTCGTAGTGTGGTAAGTTCTAAAGAAGAAAAAAGTGATACAGAGTTAGCATTGGACACACTTTATGCATGCTGAGGTGCATTAGCTCATGTAAGTAAGGAGCATGACAGTGTCGATGAGCGGACCCGTTTATGCAAGAGAAAGTAAAGATTATATACTAACCATGCTAGTATGATTTTAAACAAAGAAAATGACAAGAGAAATATTTGGCTTTGCGTTTGTTTGTTTGTTTACTTTGTGTGTCGGTATTGTTGGATTAATGGGCTTCAAGGAGGCGGTGGGAGTGAATCCACGTCAAAGCCCATTTCACAAGCACGTTGCTTCATATAGGTGTACATTTTGTATTGAAGCTCAAACAAGGGCGAGTCCCGCTCGTTCATTAAACCGGTGTCTGACATTTCGGAGATATATGACTGAACACCGAGAATGAGGTACAGTAATGCATCGTTATTATAAGAGTCCACGCTTGCTGCGCTTTGTCTGTCTTCTTCTTCTTCGTTACCACCGCCCTCGTTGTCATGACCATCATAGTAGTATTCTTCTGTTTCGCCTCCTAGAGACTGCTGCCGCTGATGACAAGGATCTGTGGCTTTTTCGTATAGCATGGCTGCCGCTGCTGACGTGCTACTGGTAGGCTCGACGCTGTGATTTCGCTGATGTTGATGGCCATTCTGGTGGTACCGGCTGCTCTGCAGTCCGTAATAGTAGTCCTGAAGATCCGCTTCGAATCGTACTGCTTCCATAGCATGATCGTATTCGTCGAAATAGGAGGGATCGGCTATGGAATCACTCTGGAGTGATGACGTTGAAGTAAAATCATTGGAATATTGGTGTTGATGGGAACAGGAAGAAGGATGTCGATGCCTGTGCTGCTGCTGCTGCTGATGGCTATGCTCGCCAAGTACGACGTGGTCAAAGTTCATGTTTTGCTTGCCTCTTTGTATTTCGATTTGCCGTAACTGCTACTGCTGTATATATTATTAACGAATACTATCCTTTTTCTTTTCCTTAAGCTGGAGAGAAGAAGAATATGGGTCCGTGAAAATTAGAGTGAAAAAAAGAGGCTTATAACCTCACTAATAAGTAATAATGATTATAATGTAAAGAAAACAAGAAAGAGAGAAAGACAAGTGTACAGACGGAAAGAAATGCTATATAAGGAGGAGACTAGAAGTAAAGAAAAACGAGGGATAAGCCCAAAGAAAGGGATAAGGAATACCTCCTACCCGGGTAGCAGAAATGCTATATAATATCCACACATCGCACTCATGTACTTATTCATATACAGTATTTTTTGCTAAGCTGTAGTACAAATGATGAACACGTTGATCCTACGTGATGTTCCTATTGCAGGTGGTGCGTATATGATTATGTACGTTATGTATAAGCTGTTAAGACAGCAGTACCTTCTATATCTGTTTTTTTTGGCATTCGGGATGTCATATTATTGCCTAGTACATACATAATAAGAGAGAGAGAAAGACACACATGATGGGGGGTGATTGTGTGTATATTTAAAGACACAGCTCAGCAGCCAACAAGTAAATTCCGCTCACATTCTGTTTTTCTCTATGTACACACTCCCAACACACCGTCATGGCTACCCCCCAATCGAGACTTACTCCCTTTGTCATTATATTCTTTCTTTATCTTCTGGGTAAAAGAAGACGTCGGATGTGAGTAGGAGATGGGGGGTTTAAGAGAGCGAAGGAGCTCTTTCTTAAGATGCTAGTTTGCATATGTTGTGGGAGAAGAGGAGCATAAGATGAGCTATAATAAAACATTCGGAATATCTTATTGCCTTGCAATGAAACATAGTACACTTTGTACGTAATTCGATTTTTGAATGCAAGAATCGAAGTATGATAACCCAGTGAATGATCATGTTGATCCGTGTAATTCATCCGCAGTCGCCATTTTTTTTTCTGCTGTTTTCTATTCCCTCTCAACGCACAGATAATGAATATTCGTACTGGTCACCTAGATCAATCTCAAGGCAGGGTATAAACTACCACAACAGCAGCAGCTGTCGATTTTTATTATCTTTTATTTTTGGGGCTATAGGGGATGGGATGATATATACTGTCATATAGACAGTAGGTAATGCATTATGCATTACTGGCAGCAGGGACAATACCTATTTACTCTTCACACTTGGTCCAATATATGCTGTTGCTGCTTAGTAACCGCTATTATCTCCTTGGTAGCCACTCGTTGTCATGGGGATGCTATTGGGTACCATCAATCAATACATGGTTGCCTTTTTAACTTCTTTACGTATTCTATTGAGCTAGCGTTCGTACAGTAAAATCATCCAAATCTATATTGAGCTCCGCCCGTGATTCGCAATAACAACATGAACAACAGCGGCCCTGAAACTCTCTAAACGCCATAGGAGGGGTAGCTAAGAAAAGTTCCCCTTGGCAAAAGTAACACCATCACCCTACTACTACTGGATGATATGTGCGGAACCGGATCTATTATAGCATGGGTTGGATGCTGTTCCTCTCCCCACCATATTCTTTCGGGGGTGCTGTAATTATGATGTTGATATTAACACATGCATTCATTTAGGCTTTGTTGGTTCCTTCCATCATCCCCGACACGATTTTTACAGACAAAGAAAAAGCTAGTTACACCAAAGCAATGCACTATCAACAACCACATGTTTTCATAGCTCATAATCCACACCAGTTGCACCACATTATAGTACGTGTCATAGGTCTGAATATGTATTGAATTTTTCCTCATGATTGGCTTGACGTGATACCAGTTTCTAGTTGGCGCTGAGAGGGTGTTTAGTACATGAGACCCACTGTTCTTTTCAGCTTGGCACCCATGGTTCATGTCGAGTCAATATAGAGTAAAAGACAAGGTAAAAGAAGATAAGTTAAATAGCTGCAGCCCTGACTACGCGTGAGAGCGCAGTGATGTGAGTCGTTTGCCTATGACACAAGCGAGGCGCTAGCGAGAAACACCAACCCTCAGTATAACTAATGTGATTGTCTGCTGGGAGAGGGATACGCTTTTTTGCATCATATATGACGACAAGTGGGACAATGACAACGGTAACTGATAGCAAAACATGCAACAACCACCGATATTTATCTTGTCCTTGAAAATCAATGCATAAGCGACTGTACGACAAGTACGTCTTAGAGCACTTTCGCTTTATCTAAAAACAGAAAATGGGTCCATCAAAAGTACTCTTTTACTTATCAGATGCATTGGCCATTGTATGTATATCACTCTGGATATAGTTTGACCGCCGGGTCATATAGTAATGAAATGAGCGGATATCCCATGTGAGCTATGATAGTAAACTTGCGGTGCGCACCGTAACATAAGCAAATAATGTCATATACCAATATACGTCTGAGCAATACTGCTCTTCGTGTGCGTATCCGATCGACGTCAATGGATTCTACGTAAAACCACAGTGTCAGAGAGCGCATCCTTCATGACCCTCTATTTGACGAGTTTCGAGCCATCCGTTGCATAAAAAAAGGAGCCATCCGTTGCATAAAAAAAGAAAAAAGGAACGATAGGTCTATTTACTCCAGTGAAAGCAATGCCCGAAGTGCAGGCAGCAATCATGTTTACAGTTCGGGAAAATGTAAGAAATGCGCATATTGATACCTTCCACCCTCAGTAGACAGTCCAACAACATGACACGCATATCGTGGCGTCTTATTGCCGTTGCATCTTTACCTTGTATTTTTCTCTATATTGTCTCGACATGAACCATGGGTGCCACGTTGAAAAGAACAGTGGGTGCCATGTACTAAACACCCTCTCAGCGCTAACTAGAAACTGGTATCACGTCAAGCCAATCATTAGGAAAATTCCAATATCAATGCTGATCTACGCGGAGGATTTGGTGGTGAGTGCTGTGCACTATGTGTGTGCACAGACTCAGTGGCGGCACCAGCGAGAGGATGATGAAGATCTCAGCACCATAGAGTGCATGGGACTGGTCCCGCTTACATAGCAATTATACCACAATCATGCGTAGTGGATTCATCACGTTTATACAGTATTCAATATCGTCCTGCCGGTAGCATACTACAGCGAAAAGAGGACTCTGTTGTCAATTCTCTTTCAAAGCTGTGTTGCTCTCTTTCATCCACATTAAAGAAAAGGCTGAGCAGAGTTTTGAGCCACATCTCACAAGTTCTATTCTTGGGACAATGGTTACACCAGAGCAAAGCCCGCGCTTTACTATCCATCAAACAGGTGACACAACTGTGGCCCAGTAACAAAAAATAGCCAAGAAATGGTATAGTTTCGGAAAAGAAATCTTTTTCAATGGGTAAATGTAAAAATAAGGCAGGGATGATACTACATTTTGGGTTGCAAAAGTAGAGGTTCTTGTGTGTGCGAGGAGAAGGATAAAAGAGAAAGAAGTATGTATAAATGAAAGAAGAGAGAATGAACGAGTGGAAGTAGTAGTTAATATACACAGACTATGTGGGCTAAAAAATAATGGGGGACGTTGCTATGGAATAGATAAGTCTGGGAAGAGAGTGTTTTACAGAAAAAAGGAATAGTTGTTGTATGTAAAAGAGTAGGAAAGATGATATGTTTTTTAATACACTGACGTCTTGTAAGAAGTCTGCGGGAAATCTTCCAAATCGCGAAGTGGATGATGCTGAACACGCTGCTTGAGGCGGGATGCGTACGCAGACACAACACATGCAAAGTATATCTACATAGACACATGTAGTATCCGAGGGATCAGAAACAGACACACTTAAACGCAACCTTTTCCCTTGTATATGTCTACTCTTCACTTACCCCTATGATGTTGCCAACCACGACACCGACACCGCCACCAACCAACATTCCAGTGACGGTCTTGTTACACGCATCCGCAGCCTCTGTTCCGGAGTATCCGTACTGATCAGCATAGTTATCAAGGTAAAACTCGCAGCCAGACACGACATCCTCACGACGAACAATCAAAAAGATCCACGTTGCAAATGAGACAATCAAAGCCAAGAGAGTCATGATCCAATAGACGAATTTGAAAATGTTGACCAAGCCTCGCTTTTGCTATAGAAGACACAGATCATCGATCAACCCATTAAAAGTTGGAAATCTGTACACCTCTGTGGAGAGAGAGAGAGAGAGAGAAGGGTCGAAGCAGCTTACAGCAATAGCACCAATGAATCCGAACAGTGCTGTGACGATAGCCAGACAGCCGATCGCAAGGCCGGCGTAGTAAGCTGCTTCCATATTAACATAGGTCGCTTCATCGTAAGACAAGATGTCTAAAAAGAAATCAAATTATGAAAGCGTCAGATTGCTTGATTCGAGTACTGTTTTTGTTTCGCGTGCGGGTATAAATGTCTGTGCTATTGTTCGTACCTGATCGAGCGATGGCGAGGTAAGCGACTGCTGCGGCACTAGCAAGCTATTACAAAGGGAAGAAAGGAATCAGTATACATGACGGCTTTCACATACAAGTGTTTACGTACCAGATCCAAAATCGCGATAATCAGAACGCCAACTCTGGTGCATTAAAAGCAATATTTTTATTATTAGTGTGCTCGTCTACCAGAACAAATGTGATATGTCGTAATTTACCTTAGCGAAATACAGCAGCAGCACTTTTGCATTCTTGTATTTGTGTTGTTTAACGTGTAAAGTGAAAAAGTGAAATCTAAAAAAGAAAAGAAGACGTTGTCGTCGTTGTGGAGAGGGGAAACCTTTTTATTTTTGACTGGACCTGCTTGTTTATATATATAACTTTCTGGCTCTTCCGCTTCTTGTGCACACTTTAGGAATAGTGACCGGAATGGTGTAACACTCCAACCCGAGCCTCACCGTGTAACTTTTTTGTTTGCTCAGGCGCTAAACTCTGCTAGGCGTCTCTTTCATATTCACAATAGCCGATCCAAAAAGCTCTTTTTGTTTTGGTTATACAAGGAGATAAAAATAGTAACCTTTCCTCTTACTATTTGCCCTGGCTGGCGACTACTGTACTGTGGCTGTTTAAGAAGGTAAAAGCCCAGTCGAGCGACAAAAAAAGAAAGATACATGGTCCAAAACCAAGGGAGAGAGTGAAGGATGATGCACTCAGCCTCTTTGCTTTCGTTGCAGCTAGTCGCTTTTTCTTGCGGTGTTTTCTGTATGCTCTATGTAGGTGCATCGCATTCACAGCTGCGATCTGTCATCTGAAAACATGCATGCAGGCTGAGGGCAGCAACGACAGCAACAGCCTATTTTCCATTGAGCTATTATAGACATGGGGTGATGGATACGCCGAATTCGGACAAGAGCTGCGATGACGATGAGGTTGTATGTGAGGGTCGTTTTGGCAGTCAGTTCGTCGGGTGATCGGTCCCCATCCGGAATTCTTCGTGTTATCCGTTTTGTGTCACCAGCATGTCCCCTTTACCTTTTTCTTTCCTCGCTGTGCATTAGCCTCTCTGAGCCCAGCTACGTATGCTATTCGGCAAGTGAGAGCGCAAGCCTCGTTTAAGATGGTGAGTGTGTATTCCAGAGAAACTGATTCTTGTACTAGTCGTCTTCTACCCTGTTGCTACAGGATTACAGGTAGTGAAGCTAGTTTTTGCCTTCTGTCTACGACTGACGATCTTGTGCATATCTTCTATTATGAACTTGAAACGGAAGCAAAAACAAATAACACTGCCTTTACAACATTGGACAACGACCGTCGAATAGTGTATACAAACGAGTTATAAGAAACCTTTCCTGTTGATCAGCGGCAGCACCGCCACATCAACATAGTGTGCGAGCACCGCTCTTTTAGTCTACAAGAATAGTTTTCGCTCTGGACAATAAGGATAGGCCCGGGTAAAGTCCAGTTATCATGAGTGTAGCAACATCCGCCAAGGAAACCGGGAAAATAATACAATGACGGGACACAACAACTTTAACTCTTCTCATCTTTCTACGCACCATTCCTTTTGCTTCGTAGCTTACAATGTAATTGCAGTGAAGAAAAGTGATGAAAGGATATAAATACAGTCGATACAGTCGTAGGTTTGACAAATAATGTCCGTCTATAATAGTACAGTAGATGCATCCGTTATCGCAGCTTAAGCTCAACATTCAACTAAGGTAAATATGTAGGATGCAAAGAAAATTACAGGGATCGGTAAGAAGAGTCGTTGATACTCCTACCTTAACAAATACTAGAAAGTGGGAGATACCATCATCGTCAACGAAGAGTCATATAGTACATGAACGCTTAGCATGACTTGTTCTTTTTCTAACTCTTACCAAATGTGTGTACGTGTACAGTGTTTCCAAGAAGCAATGTCGCAGCCAATCAAGATTACCAGTCAGAATTGATATCACAGGCGAGTCAGAATCAATGTCGCCAGCCAGTCAAAATCAATTTCGCATTTTCAGAAATGTTGTCACCTGTGCAACCCATTCTGAGTATTTGAAAAATACGGCCTCTGGCGAATCTTCTTTGGCTTTTTCAGTGGCGAATGAAAAGTCAAAAGATGAAGATACTCGTATGAAGGAGGCAAACACTAAACGAGATTATGTGCGATATACTGTCCGAGATAATGTTAGGTTTTTCGATCTGAAGATTGAAAAGTGCATGAGTGCATCAGCTGTGGCAAAGCAGTTGGGTATACACATTCGAACGGCGCAGAGATGGGCTAAACAGCATAGCATGAGTCCTGGCAACATTTTTGACAGTTGTACTAGAATCGGTCGTAAATGTATTTTAACGGAAGAGCATAAAAGGACTATTATCAATTTCATTGATGCCAATCCGTCTGTTACTGTGGTTGAAGTCACAGAGCATTTTGGATCGATTCAATGATCTTAAGGTTTCACGCAGTACTGTTTATAACTTTATGAAAAGGGAATGCAACCTATCGTTGAAAAAGGCTGATTTTCATTCCATTGAAAGAAACAGTCCAGCAAAAATTGAGGAGCGATACGATTGGGTTTGCAAATGGCAAAATACAGATATGAACTTCATGACGAATTGCGTGTTCCTTGATGAGTCTGCTTTTGACATAAACATGAAACGGTTTAGAGCTTGGTCCACAAATGGGTACTCGTGCTATTGTTACTAGACCTACCACGAGAGCAAATACTACGTCTATATTGGGTGCCATTTCTGCATCAGGTTTGATTGCAGTGGGCGTAAAAAAACCGAGACCTGCGAAGAAGAGAAAGGCTGAAGGATATATCAGCTCAGGAACAGTAACAGGTCACTATATCAGTTTCCTAAAAATGACTCTTGATGAAATGGACAAGTATCCACATATGAAAGGTCATTACATAGTTATGAACAATGCACCTATTCACACACATGAAAATATAAAGAAATATATTGAGTATCGAGGATATAAGTGTGTGTATCTTCCTACTTACTCTCCTGAACTTTACCCCATAGAACAATCTTGGGCAGATGCGAAGAGTAAGGTTAAGCGCCAGAGGTTTTTGCAAGAAGACACTCTAACAAAGAGAACTACGGAAGCTTGCAAAAGCGTAGATAAAAGTCAGTTCAGAGGATTCGTTTTAGATTCTTACAAATGTTAGGATACATATCAAAACAAAGAACCCATGTAATGATCAACCAATTCATCGAAGCAAATAATGCTGCGAAAAATATCAGGTAAGCAAGCAACAGTAAATACACACTATTAACAACCTTTTGCTATTAGCAATATATATTCGTTTTTATTATAACATCAACCAATTCCAAAAAAAAAAACGTTTTGGAATCGAGAAAAAAGAAACGACTTAAAAGTCGCCCTCTCTAAAAAAACCCAAAGGGTTTTTGTCGACACCTTTATTTTTCTGACGTTGTCGACAACAATTACTGATATCTCTGTTGTTGGCAAGATCTGATAGCCAATGAAAAGCCGCCTTTTCCAAAAAAACCAAAAGGTTGTTGTCGACACCTTTATTGTTCTGACGTTGTCGACAACAATTTTGGGCTTGTGGCCTAAGTCCGTTCCAAAGTCTATTCTTTATCCGCACCTACACTTTATGTCGAGCAAACCCGTCTCTAACGAACGCTCCAACATGTCGTCTCTAGACCTTGGTTGCGGCTCTCAAGTAAGTTAAAAGCAAATGCGCGGCTTGTGTCAGGGTTGTTTGGTGTCATTACATTATGCATGATACGGGATGCTTACAAAGCCAAACTAGCAAAATTCCAAATCCAAACTATTGCGGACCGGTGCACACGAAGGACAGAAGCAAAGGGCACGAAACACACTTGCAAGCTCTGGCTTCATCGTGACGGCAAGTTTGACTGCTGGAGAGATTCCTGAGTAAAAAGTCCTACTTTCACAATCTACATCTTTCTTACAGTGTTTGTCGTTGGTTAAGTTTCTCTTGCTGTTTACTTTATCACTTTAAACATATTATTGATAATTTAATACGATCTCATTGAATCCAAGTGATTCTGCTTGAGTTAGCTGCAGTTTTACTTGCCTGCAAAGATGCTTCCCAAGGAGGCTGGATACGAGCCGAGGAACGGCTTTCAAGGGCGATTTCCGATGCATACAACTGCCGGTATTGCTATTCATTGAAAACCACTGCCCGTCGGACGACTGTAGTTGAAGAAAGAAATCATAGCAAGCTGATATCCTGCTAAGAACGATAAAATTTGAGAATGTAACGTCTATGTATCTATAAGCTAGTGATCTCAAAATCATACCGAAACACACAGAGCATGACATAGAGAACAGTCTCTACTATGTTCGATATCTTGCTCTCATTAATAATAACCACTATTGATGATACCATTGATACTTCTAAAAAAGTAAGGAATGATATCATAGGAGAAGCTCCCTAGCTCTTCTTTCAAAAAGCGCTTATCATACCGCAAAACATCAGTACAATTCATAACCATGATATAGAGTGGTTTGATTTTAATTTGAAAGAGCTTGCATTAGCTATAGTTCAGAACAAGTGTATACAGCCGGCGCTCACTGTACGGTGAAATTTTACATATGCACATTTTTGCTTCATTTAACTTTTATGCTTCAGTGATTGTGGGGATGTGGTTTCAGCCGAGCACTTCTGCTCGAGTTTCAATGAAGAACAATGTGTGAGAATTATATTTAGCTTAAACTGTCGCTGCATCCTCGTGGCAAGGTGGATGTCGAGAAGGCAAGACAAGAAGTGTCGCGCTGTTGCTGTCTGTACTATCATATGAAACTTGAGCTTATGAGTATGATACTTGTCAATAGTAATCTTAAAAGCTGGTAGATGTGTAGCTGAGAAAAGTTTGTCGCGTGGAGCTGTAAATAGCGTGCATTTACTATTTGTTATTTATCCATACATGCGCATGGCGTACTTCATCACCATCTTCATTGAAAGAGGGAGTGGGGCAGAACTGCATATCCAACAGAAGCAGTATCGTCTATCCTTGGCTCAAATCGCAAATACTTTCAAACGATTCTCGGGCGGCCAATCAAAATCGACAAAAATTCCCACTCATTTTTTGCCATGGTTATAAAGTCCGGCTATCTCAGCTCAGTTTTTCGCTTCTCTTTCCCTTATCTCCATGCTTTTCTATTTCGCGCAGTCGTAATCGTCATAAACGCGGCCTTAGACCAATCACAGGTAAATTCCTTTATAACCCTGCTTCTGCTGCTTTACACACGCTCACACTTGTGTTTTAGCTTTGAAGAACCGTAGTGGGTTGTTTCAAAGGCCCACCACTTTTTGTATGTGTCGGTAGTGTTTCTGGGCACGTTTGCAGGTTCGACTCCTGGCTTGACACAAAGGTGGGCGCTACGTCGAGGTCTATTGTTCATTTTGGGAGACCATTAGTCGCATCGGCCCCGCGCAAAAGAGCTCGATCACCTTCAGTGGCTATCCTGAACGATCGGGTCCCGCCTTGGACGATACAAGCGTGTCTGTTATAGCCTGGACTTGCCGTACTCTCCGGAGTATGGTGTGCCTGTCAGATAGTCTTGAAATAACGCTTGAGGAATTGAGGGAATAAGGAATTGACGGAAAAGGCATTGGCATTGGTGTCATTCCTGAAGGCTTGCCGGAAGGCTTGCTGGAAGGATTGGCGGTGTAGGTTCCAGCTTCGAGCTGGGACTGAGGCTGTGGTGGACATGGAGGTTGAAAGGTGATTTGTGCCTTTTCTCAACCTCCTTCTTTCTCGTTCATTGTCAAATCAATGGACCAGAGAATTGCCAATGCCTTCTTCTTTTTCTTCAGCTAGACACTTTTTTCACCTTTGTTATTTTTCTTACATTCTTTGAAATAATAAAATAACTCTTCCATCTGTTTCCCTTTACAAATATATCTGTTTTTTAATAGCGTATATCACGCGAGCTTTTGTCGCTTTGATGTAATAGACGTTTGCGATGGCAACCGAGGCATAAGTGACCGCTAAAAGTCGTTGCTATAATAGTATGGCCTGTTCTCGCTGTTGCGCAAGACAAAGTGCTTATCAACGGCGTAGTGATGGGATCGTCACAATTCTTCATTCCCACATGGACTCTGTGACCAAGTTGCCATCGCTGGCTTCACTGGAAAACACTTTGCATAAATCGAAGCGAAGCCCTCCAAGCACGCAATCTCGCGACAGCAGTTCATTAATCTACCTCAGCACTCGATCGGCTACACAGATATTTAGAGCAGTTCCTGGCAGTCTGCGTCGAAGCATACGCGCAACAGGGCAAAGTCGTAAAGGTGTATAGTGATGCCCTATTCTTTGTCGACAACTTTCCCGGCTATTTGAGGACATATGGTATCGCCACACGTATTTTTGATCAGACAACAGAGATTCAAGAAAGCAATAGCGATATGTGCAGGGTTCTGAATAACGGTGAAGGAGGGTTCCGCAACTTCCGATATAATCCGCTGGCGGGCACATTGTTCTACCTCTCCAATGAAGCTCACCATATGCTTGAAAAGCGTATGGACATGATGAAAGTGCAAGCTTACGATGTGCTCACCGTGATACTAAACGAGCTCTCTTTTGGTGACATCCTTCGGTGCATGACTGTGTCGCCAATGCATCAATGATTGTTCTACAATGGTACGCTACAAAACTAATATCCACATTCGAATGACATAGGATCCTGCGAATTACGAACAGAATACAACGGGGGGATGGATCTAGCATGGCACTTGGATGCGTCCTATGTCTTGAACAAGTAAACAGCAACGCCTATGAGATACTCTAGTAACTACAGCACCAGCAGCGATAATACCCACATTTCGTCGCCATGTTGTAAAAGCGAAGGAATAAGGCTAAAAAGAAGGCACTACTGTAGGAAGGCTGACTGAATTAATCTTCTTCTTCTAGCTCACGTATTAGGAAGACACTAAGAACCGCCTACTATGTAGTGCTACATTGTCTCTTTTCACGCAGTCTGATACTCTATCCACAGCTCCAAGTTAATCAATGGGCAATGTCTGTGAGCGTGATAAAAATACCCTGATGGTGACTGCGCTGTGGGTGTTTCTTAATTATAACAACCATTGATTAACCAATCACCACCGCGAGTGAAAAAAAAATAGTTCGGGATCTCGGTAAGTTTATTATTGTTCGAAAAGTAAAGTTCAAGACTGAGGCAAGAGGTAAAAAGAAAAAGGACGTACTTCGTCGTAATATTCGGAAGGCTGTATGATATCCATGATAACCCTTTTTGGGGGCAGGTTGCCAATTTCCGTTGTTGTTTTATACTCTTTACTGATAATGGATGATGGGCAGGAATAGTAAAGGGAAGAGAGCGAATCGACCAAGAAGCAATCATAATCCTTTTTTTTTGGAACGCAATTTGAATTTAGTGTGTCTGTGTGTCGAAACCACTGCTCGCTACACGGTGTGGTATCGTGACCTCAGTCATGAAAAGAAAGGGTTGTCCTGTGATTGGTAGAAGAAGCAATCAGATCATGCGTAGTGCTCGGCTGCTTTGTCTCTTATTAATCATCTCAATGTAATCCAAGTATTACAACACACGTCTGAAATGGAAACGCATGTATTCATGACTTGAATGAGTCATTTTAATCGCCCTTCGTCAGCTGCCTGCCTGCTTTATCCTGCTGCGCGAAAGATGCCCTGTAACAAATATGCTTTATGTAGCCGGAAGATCACTACATGTCATCGAGCACAAATATAGATTTCCGTAAATATTGATCTCTCCTCGTCCCCATGTGCAATATTACGCTGGGTAAGCTGAAGGAGAAATGCATCAAACTGTCAATATCTTTCGACAGGTCATCCTGCAAAACAATTGAACGGGTCTAAGTTACACAAGGATCTCGTCGTTCAAGTAAGGCAGTCTCTCTTTCACATTCTCTAACGTCTTTGCGCATCTCTCTCCAATGTGAAGTAATAATAAACGATTTTACACACAACATTGTCCAAAACGAAACACGAATGTGCTCGATATGCGATGAGAGTTCTAAACGGAAAGATGACTTGTGGGTTTTGGCCATACAACCCAACGTACAGTAACATTTTGCAATGACAAGCGAAGGAAATTAACTCCAATAACGGCGCCTTCTTGGTATTGGTACTTTACCAAAAAAAAAAAAAGGTCAGTTTGAAAGGAGGATCATCACGGCAACCAACAAAAGCACCAACTTATTAATATATTGCATTATTCGTATCTTACACCTGAAAACGCTTTTCGACCACACTATTCTCGTTGAGGTAGTCGCCACATCGGAATCTGTAATTTTAACTACTAGCGATCCTTATAAGAAGAGTTTTTTACTGGATTATTCCTTTTTCTCTTCATCCAAACAAAGGGCGTATATCTTGTCTCGTTCCGTATCACGTTATCGATGACTAAATTCCACTAAACACCATACTCGTTACTCTCAGGAAATATGCCAATGAATCAATGTATCTACTACGTGTTATAAATCGATAAACCATTGTTCAGTAATTATTCCAAGACACGATTGGATTGAGAATAGATAGCAGGAAAAGGTGTTATCAATGTATTCAGACTATAAGATGGATAGAGATGATGGAAGGCCATAGAACGAATATTAAGTTACGAAGTTTGAAACATATAGTTTGGGCAAGATCATCTTATCTAAAGGCTGAAGAGTGTCTAGGTGCCGAGATTACAAATCAAAATAGCTTAGATCCATTTTATTATATAATTTTAGATCCTTTTTACGTGTCCGACATAACTGTCAAAAGTTATAAAAGCACGGGCGTTTTACAAAGTTAATAAAGATCAGAACATTGTCTGGACCTGTCAATTATTACAGTTTCCTATTAACATTTTATTTTGAATTCAATACTGTATTTATTGTCCATTTTTTTCCAACGATTGTATGCATTC